CTTAAACTGTGAGTGTTGTCTTAAACTGTGTCATCTTAAAACGTGAGCGTCTTAAACTGTGAGTGTCGTCTTAAACTGTGAGTGTCATCTTAAACTGTGAGTGTCGTCTTAAACTGTGTCATTCTTAAAACATGAGTGTCTTAAACTGCGAGTGTCGTCTTAAACTGTGAGTGTCATCTTAAACTGTCATCTTAAAACGTGAGCGTCTTAAACTGTCATTTTAGAACGTGAGCATGTTAAACTGTGAGTGTTGTCTAAAACTGTGTCGTCTTAAACGTGAGCGTCTTAAACTGTGTGTCATTTTAAACTGTGAGTGTCGTCTTAAACTGTGAGTGTCGTCTTAAACCATGAGCGTCTTTAACTGTGAGTGTCTTCTTAAACTATATCATCTTAAACTATGAGTGTCATCTTAAGCTGTGGGCATCTTAAACTGTGAGTGTCATCTTGAACCATGAGCGTCATCTTAAACTCTGTCATCTTAAAACGTGAGCGTCTTAAACTATGAGTGTCGTCTTAAACTGTGAGTGTCGTCTTAAACTGTGTCATCTTAAACCATGAGCGTGTTAAACTGTGAGTGCCATCTTAAACTGTGAGTGTCGTCTTAAACTGTCATCTTAAATCGTGAGCGTCTTAAACTATCATCTTAAAACGTGAGCATCTGAAACTGTGAGTGTCGTCTTAAACTGTCATCTCAAAACGTGAGCGTCTTAAACTGTGAGTGTCGTCTAAAACTGTGAGTGTCATCTTAAACTGTGAGTGTCGTCTTAAACTGTGAGTGTCGTCTTAAACTGTCATCTTAAAACGTGGGCGTCTTAAACTATGAGTGTCGTCTTAAACTGTGAGTGTCGTTTTAAACTGTGTCATCTTAAACCATGAGCGTGTTAAACTGTGAGTGCCATCTTAAACTGGGAGTGTCGTCTTAAACTGCCATCTTAAATCGTGAGCGTCTTAAACTATCATCTTAAAACGTGAGCATCTGAAACTGTGAGTGTCGTCTTAAACTGTCATCTCAAAACGTGAGCGTCTTAAACTGAGTGTCGTCTAAAACTGTGAGTGTCATCTTAAACTGTGAGTGTCGTCTTAAACTGTGAGTGTCGTCTTACACTGTCATCTTAAAACGTGAGCATCTGAAACTGTGAGTGTCGTCTTAAACTGTGTCATTTTAAAACGTGAGCATCTTAAACTGTGAGTGTCGTTTTAAACTGTGAGTGTCGTCTTAAACTGTAAGTGTCGTCTTAAACCATGAGCGTCTTTAACTGTGAGTGTCTTCTTAAACTATATCGTCTTAAACTATGAGTGTCGTCTTAAGCTGTGGGCATCTTAAACTGTGAGTGTCGTCTTAAATCATGAGCGTCATCTTAAACTGTGTCATCTTAAAACGTGAGTGTCTTAAACTGTGAGTGTCGTCTTAAACTGTGTCATCTTAAACCATGAGCGTTTTTAACTGTGAGTGTCGTCTTAAACTATGAGTGTCGTCTTAAACTGTGTCGTCTTAAACCATGAGCGTCGTTAACTGTGAGTGTCGTCTTAAACTATGAGTGTCGTCTTAAACTGTGGGAATCTTAAACTGTGAGTGTCGTCTTAAACTATGTCGTCTTAAACTATGAGTGTCGTCTTAAACTATGAATGTCGTCATAAACTGTGAGCATCTTAAACTGTGAGTGTCATCTTAAACTTGAGTTTCTTAAACTGTGAGTGTCGTCTTAAACTGAGTGTCGTCTTAAACTGTGAACATCTTAAACTTGGTCATCTTGAACTGTTCGTGTCTTAAACCGTGAGCGTCTTAATCCATGAGCATCTTAAATCTGAGTGCCTTAAACTCGGAGTGTGTTAAAGTTGTTCGCCTCTGTCTACACAGCAGTTGTGAATGGAATCACAGTCAATCGACAGGGTCGCGTGTGGTTGGGCAAAGTGTGGGGTGCTCCCACCTCTCCCAGGAAGCTTGTGGTGTGAACAGGAAATTGCAGCGCCGCACCTTTACTGTTCACGCTTCTGAATACGATGCCTGAAAATTAGATTGTTTTTCAACGATATCATGGGGTCTTGGTGCTTTCCCCCCCCCCCCCCCGTTTCCTAAAATTTATTTATTTTTTGGGGGGGTTTATTTTCATCTCTAACGCATTGCCTTTAATGTCGATTCAAATCTGCGTCCCGTTAGCACTGAAAAATGTCACCTCCGGAAAGGTTACGCGGGACTCACGGCGAGATAATCCGGCTTCCGGCGAGACGCCGACCGCCACGGGAGGTCAAACGATTTCACGGCACATGCCGTCTCCGACAGCCCGAGGTGCCAATTTCGCCAACCAGCAAACTTCCGCGCGAGTCGGAGCGGCATCTCTTTTCGTGGAGCCGATGCCCCCCTCCGCCTACCCGGTTTAATGAGCTCACCGGCGGGGGCGAAGCAGCGCAGTCAACGGGTGGGAAACGTGGAGCCGGATTTTTAGCGCTCGCTCCCTGATGGTCCCGAGACTGGCGGGTGGCCGCCGCTCCGGATTGGCGCCCCGCGCGCGCTCTTTCGGCTCTGCGAAACGCGGCTGAGAAACGAATATCGGTTGTCTGAGCGCACGTATGCGTGCGCACCTACGCACGGACTCGCGTCTTTCGCACCGTACGTAGGCAACCGTGCCAATCGCGCGGTGGCAAGGGACCACAAACTGAACACAGCAAAGCAGTTCTCACGAAACAAGTTTTCAATCTGGATGATTTAAAAGTGCATAGCTCCAGCGGCTTGATGACGAGGTGGTGATGGTTTTGACGAAAGTGATGGGGTGGTGATGGTGGTATGTAGGGATGTCGAACTTCTTTTGCACCGCACGTAGCCAACCGTGCATATTGGAAGTGCGGAGAAAGGCTAAAAAGCTAATCACAAAAAAGCAGTTCTAAAGAAATGAGTTTCAATCTCGATGACGCAATTATGGTACGTATGTATGTATGTTGAACTTATTTCGCACTGCACGTAGCCAACTGCGGTAATCAGAGGTGCGGGGGAAGGACAACAATGAAATGATGGGAACGTGTGAACACGCCATAATCACATCTGTACATGATGACGAAACCCCATGGTAGCAGAACAATTGTCTGCAGGCCCCCGAAAACCGACTAATGCTTTGGTGTTCACATTGCCCTTGTACTGCTCGCCTTTTAGTTGCCTTTATATCCATAGCACTGGTGGTACAAAGCCATCAAAGAGGCTGTCTCTCGTGCAGCCTAATTAGTTTCAAGGACAGTGCATACGTTATCAAAGCACACTTGTTTGCATTTTCATAACAAATACGTGTGGCTCTTGCAGAATTGATAAGCCTTGTAATAGGTGTCTATTTGAAAGTTGGCCACGTAGTCACAACGTACCAATTAGTTGCTAGTTCAATTTACTCTCCAACACACCGGTGTGCTGAACTAGTAACGAATTGGCATGTTCTGTTCACGTGACAAACCTTACTCATTGGCTTCGTCGAGTGGTGGCGGGTTTGACGACACAACATTTATATTCACGCCACCTGACCCCAAAAACCTTTGTTATGGAAGAGGAACCACAATGCACTTGGTTCAGGCAATGCTGATGGGTATTTTTTGTTTGCACCATGGCTGAGGGTCGTATGCTATTTACAAATCTCTGCGTGTTTTGTGTGAACCTTGCGACAGACAGAGTCCGAGATGGACAAACGATGTTGTGATTGTTATGTGAGTGGAAGGGGGGGGGGTAGCAATTGGGAGGTGGTTAGAGGTGGAGGGAGATAGGACGCCAGTGTTTGTTGCAAAGCCAAACATCGCAAAGCTTGGAGGTAGTTTCACCGGAGCAGACATTGATAATCGTGGGTAACAGGGCGGAGACCCTCATCAGAATCCTTGTGAATAAGGAGCCACGTTGGTCACAGGTGCACGCGGTTACAGCTCAGCAGCAAGCTTCGCCGCGATCGTAATTACTCCAACAGCCACGTCACAGAATGAGATTAAAATGAACACAACCAGGATGTACAATTGTTTAAGTAATTATTGAAGTGGAACAAGTCGGACGTCCGGAATACGAGCTTCATTCGAGACCCAAACATCGCAACCTCCTGGCTTTGACATTCCTCCTCCCTCCCCCCCTTCATCCTCCCCCTTCCCCCCTCCTCCCTCCCCCCTCCTCCTCCTCCCCCTCCTCGAAGACACCAGTGGTGGAACCGTCAACCGCATCACGACATCAACAGGCCGATGTGCAACATCTCAATTCGTGAATTGGAACATTTAAGACAAAGCACAGTCATAGTGTGATCATGGCCATGCATGGACCGTATTGTAGGGCACTGCAGTCTGCGCTCCTGTTCACCAGCAGCGTTCATCCGGATCTGGATGAGAGTCTAGGATGGGTGACAGCAGCAGCAGCAGCAGCACAATCCTAGACGGGAGATCGGGACTCTAGCGCCACGGTGGCGAGGTGTTAACTACCTCGCCTGATGCACAGGAGGTCGTGGGTACGATCCCGACCCTGACGCCTGCTGCTGTATATTTGGAGTTTGCGTCTCTCTCTCGCCGTGGTCGCGTGGATTTTTCTCCGCGTCCTCTGCGTTTCCCCTCCACATTTATAAACGTGCGCTCAGAGTATTTGGCTGCTATACATTTCCACGTGATAAGCCACTTCGTTGAGCTATCATTTGTGGCCGGATCGCTTCTGAAAAAGAGCTTCATAGCTCAGTGGGGCCTCACCTGGTAAAATAAAAGTAGTTGAGTCGAGTCCCAAAGAAACACGACCAATCACAAGGCGAGAATCAGCCCGGCTAAAATAACTGATGTGCTTGGCGACGTCACAATGCGCTTGGTGACGTCGCAACGCGCTTGGCGACGTCACAACGCGCTTGGCGACGTCACAACGCGCTTGGCGACGTCACAATGCGCTTGGCGACGTCACAACGCGCTTGGCGACGTCACAATGCGCTTGGCGACGACGCTGTGTCCGTGTGCGCGTACAGCGGGGCGAGTGCTCACCGTGCGTTCCTGCAAACCCCGTTGTTGCTCCGCAGGTCGACGAAAGCCCACCCCGGCTCCATCGTGCACATCAGCGACAACCCCGTGGATGAAGGGAAGGTAAGTGGCGTACGCCGGCCTCCCCGGGTCTCGTGAAGCACTCAGCGCCACCGGGACCCGTGCTCGCAAGCGTTGCCCGCTCAGCTCGCGCCAAGTGAAACTGAACACGAAACTAGAGAAACGTATTTTTTTACTTGCCGGGAAGGACCACTGAGCTATAAATTAGCTCTTTGTTGCAGACGAGACCTGGCCACCGCAGATGACAACTCAACCGAAGGGGCTTATTGCGTGGGGTTTTATAGCGGAGGCCAAATACTCTTGAACGCGCGATGTCCATTCTAAATGTGGAGGGGGGGGGGGGGAAACGGGAGGACCCGGAGAAAAATCCATGCGACCACGGGAAGAGAGAGACACGCAAACCTCCAAATATACAGCAGCAGCAGCAGCAGGCGTCAGGGTCGGGATCGAACCCACGAGCTCCTGCATACCAGGCGAGGCAGTTAACATCTCACCACCGTGATGATGATGAAAGAGAGAGAGAGAGACACGCAAACTCCAAATATACAGCAGGCGTCAGGGTCGGGATCGAGCCCATGAGCTCCTGTATACCTGGCGAGGTAGCTATCATCTCCTTGCCACCGTGGCTTTGTGCGTCGAGGAGATCAGCCCGCCCCACCACGGTGACGCCAGACGTGTTCGAACCGACGTCTCCTCGTGTCTCGCCTGCAACGTGTTGGCCATTCCCACCTTGAGGAAGCAAGTTTTCGAGGCAGTCTGCCGCTCTTTGAGAAATGTAAATGCCCTGATTAAAATCGGCAGCTGCACTTCCTCCGCTCCGTAGTCCATTGCCGTGATTGCTCAGCGTGACATGGCGGACGGCGATTTAATGTAGCTTGAAATTGAGTGCGTTGGCGCGTGTGTGTGTGTGTGTGTGGTGTGCCTCACCGTGAATGTCTCAAACAATAAATGTGCCGTTAAGGAATTCAAGTAAACGGTTCACGACGACGGGACTGACGACGACTGATGATGGTGATGGTGGTGGTGGTGGTGGCGGAGTCGGCGATGTAGCCGACAGTTGGCACTCACGGTTTTGCAACAGCGTTTGACGTTCGCCGTGATTGCGCAAGTCGATGCCGCGCGGTTAGCCCAACATTTTCCAAATCTTTTTCTCCGCGAAGCGAGCGGCTGCTTAAAAGGAGTCGCGTCCGTTGGGCCTCGCTCTGTGTGCTGCGCAAAGAACATCGCCAGAATGGGCATGTCTCCCTGGAGGGATCCGTTGAGGTGTGACGCTCCCTATCACCCTTGCCTTGCCCGCACGACAAACCGTCTGCCGAGTCCATCCACGTGTTTCGCCATCTTCCACTTCGTCATTGGGGTTCGTTTGGGTCAGATTGTGTCGCAATCGCTTCGATTCCATCTCCCGGCGTGGCATTTGAAACAACTTGTGGTGAAGGTTTTTAGATCTCCCTCCCCCCCCCCCCCCCGTCTCTTTCCAACCCAGAAGTTTACAATACACCGCAGTTGATCAGATCGGCAGGTTCGCGTACGGTGGGTGCAAGCTGTGGCTACTCCCACCTCTGCCAATGTGCGTACTTTTGCTGATCTTCTTCCGCACCGTATGCAGCCAACCGCGCTAATCGGAGGTGCCGGGGGTGGAGGGGCGGGAGGAACAACAAATTAGCGTGGAAGAGTAGACCAAACTACCCTCTCTCTAGATCTCGCTCTCGTGGCGGTCCTTCTGCCAGCGGTGGCTCGAGCGGGCGTGTGCATGGCTGGAACTTTGCCACCCTTTGAACATCTCCGTGAAAAAGTGCCACCGTGGGGAGGGGAACGGCTGGCAGCAGCAGTAGCAGCAGCGTGGGAGCCGTCTGGCGAGCGGCGCGGAGCCGGCAGGAAGGAGCCCATGCACCTTCCCGCAGCGCTATCAGCGCATTCTCCACGACTGCCAATCTCACGCTACGGTGGCGAGGAGATGTTAGCTACCTCGCCTGGTATGCGGGAGATCGTGGTTATGATCCTGACGCCTGCTGTATATTTGGATTTTGCGTGTCCCTTTCTCTCCCCGTGGTCGGGTGGATTTTTCATGCTGGTCCTCCGGTTTTTCCATCCACATTTAGAAGAATGCGTTCAGAGTATTTAACTGCTGTAAATATCCACGTGACGACAAGCCACTTCGTTGAGCTATCGTTTTGCGATAGCCAGGTCGCTTCTGAAAAATAGCTACGTAGAAGCTCAGCGGGATCTTACCTGGTACAATAAACAAAAGAGTCAAATGTGGCTCACAGGGATGGCTTCTCTTCTTCTGTTGTGTTGTGCCCTCTCCCCCTGTGCCCCCCACCCCGTGCCCCTCCCCCCTCTTTTAACCCCCCCCCCCCGAAATTGCGTCCCTCTGTGCGTTCACAGCTGCTGATTGGCTACGAGAGGGGAACCGTCGTGCTCTGGGACTTGAAGTCCAAGAAGGCTGATTTCCGATACTATTACGAAGAGGTATGGTCGCTAGTAATAATTACGATACTAAATCCATTACATTGTACTAAGCGTCCTCCTACAAGATACTCAAAGCGATGCACACCACGTAAAAAGAAGTCGTCGACATTCGTGATTCAACGGGCGACCAATTTGGGAGACAGAGACAAGAAAAGAAAAAAAACAGCGTGGGAGCGAATTGAGAAGAACGACGAACCAGCGACGGGACGAGTTCTGATGTCGGCGGAGTTTAGGAGCGACACTCTCCGTTGTCTCCCGACGGGCGAACAACACTGGGCCAAGCGTTCCCTCGGATGGGGGGCGGGGGGGGGGAGCGGCACAATCCGGCGAAACGCTGTCTCGGAGTTTTAACCGACAGCCTTGCACTTTACATAATCTTTGGTTCTTTCGGTAAAGTCACGTAGGTTGAAAAAATAATAGATCACGACGTTTCGATCACCACACAAGCAATCGTCCTCAGCTGATCTATAATTTTTTTCTGCCTTGGTGACTTTACCGAAAGAGCCAAAGATTTGGGATTCCTGCAGTCACGAAAGCTTCAAATCAAGCCTTGGTCTTGCTTGGTCACCACGCGCCCGACTGAACATCCCTGGCCATTTGTGCGTTACGTTACAATCAATCAGCATTTGTGCATGACCTTACAATCAATCAGCAAACCAACTGCGATTTTTAAGCCCGGCTTAGCTGCGCGGCTGTTCTGCTGATGTCACGGCACCGAGAGAACTGTTTGTTTCGTGTTTAGTTGTCCTCCGTCCGCCGTGGCCTTCCCGATTAGCACGGTTGGCTATGTACGGCGCGAAAGAAGTTCAACGTACACACACATACACAAACTCGATTGGCACAATTGCCCCACGTTGACAACGCGATTTGTTTGGCGCGTAGCTCTTAATTGTACGCAACGCGATCTGACCAATTAAGGAACCGATAATGATGAATCACTACGCGCGTGTTGGTAGAGCAAGGGGTGTAGTGAGCACAGGACGCGTTCACGTCGACTTTTGCCTTCCGCTCAGCGCCGTATCTACCCGCAAAAATGTCAGCAGCTGACCAAAGGGAAACGTCGCTTAAAAAGAAAAAATAAATCTTTCTCGGCGTGTAGGGTGATATAACATCCGGAATTTTTAAATCGGTTTATTCACCTCCTCGCGCAACCACTTTGACATGGTGTTTAAGAGACGGACGCGCTCGCTAATTTATCACGACGCACCGGGCGTCTTTTGCGGCTCTTCGAGAAATCCGGACACGGGATTGCTGCTGCTGCTACTGGGGCGGCTGCTCCCCATTTCGGAAATAGAGCGTCTGATTTCCCCGGAGGAGTCATAACGGTGGAAGGCGTGGGCAGCATCGCTACGTGTCACTTGGAAAGGCGTTGTAATCCTCAAGCCCCCCCTCCCCACCCTAGTCCGGGCCCCGACACGCAAGGTTATTCAGCGCCACACACCTCTCGCCGTGACTGACGGGACAAATTGCGCGCTCCACATTGGGGAACGCCTCGCCGTTGAGAGTTCGACGCGCTATCACGGCACCGTTTGTCACCCTCCTGCATTGCACCTATCAGGAGGCGATAGATGCATTTTCACAATGATGAAAGTTTCGTTTATTTACTGTACGTACGTATAATGCGTAACGTGGCGTAATCATTCGTGTCGTTACGGGAAATATAAGTGATGAACTAAGATGACAATGCGCCTCTTTCACGTATCTGTCACTAGAAAAAAATAGTATTTTTTACACATCCTACCAGCCATACTGCCTTCTGGGAGTGCACCATCTTAGCAGCGTTGGTTCAAAGCAAACGAAATTCTGGACCGGTTTTGACCTTCGGTGTCTCATCAGTGAGCCGTCTCTTGCTTTTACACGTCCAATCCCGCCTGAGGCTTACCAATTCCGTAAGGGCCCAATACAATATTGTATCCATCGCTTCGAGCATCCGAGCCGCACCAATCGGCTAATCGAAGGGGAAATATTTTCGACCTCATTTCAGCACGCTTCTCTGAGTTCTGCCGAGTTTTGTGACTTCGAAGTTGGGCCGCTTTTTGTTGTAGCTCTGTGATATCCGCTTCTGCGGGCCCGTCGCCCAACTCGAAGGGTCGCGCCGCTCTGTGGGAGGTCTGGTGAACGGCTTCCTCGTCTCATTTACTCGACGCCGCTCGCACAGTTGGGATAGAAATGGTCGGGAAATGACAAGATGGCAAGAATAAGAGAACATTTTTGAAGCGTGCCACTTCGAATTGTATGTGTGTACGTATGTACTGTATGTCGAGTGTCTTTCACACCGTACGTAGCCGTGTTAATCGGAGGTGCGGTGTGTGTGCGTGCGTGTGTGCGTGTGGGACGGTGGTGAAGCGGTGAGCGCTACGCCGCGCTACGAACCCGGCGACCCGAGTTCGATTTCCGCTCACGGCCGACACCAGTGACGATTATCTGAACGGGTCCTGGGCCTTCCCTAGGTTGACTCAGCCTCGAATGAGTACCTGGCGCGGTGCATAAAAACATCGCCACTGGGGAGACAAAGGCGGTCGGGCGCGGTGCTGGCCACCCACCCCCTCGTGTACCGTGCCGGCCTTAATCGGTTCCACCTTAACAGCACTTGCCCCAACAGTCCGTTAAAGGCTAATCGGGGGATCTTTGTTTTGGGGCGTTATATAAATCCTAACTAGAATAGAATGTTGGTCGTGTTGGACTCCCCTCGCCGTGTATCCCCCCCTCCCACCCCCAGGAGATTCACTCGGTGTCGTGGCACCACGAGGGAAAGCAGTTCGTGTGCAGCCACTCGGACGGCAGCCTCACCACGTGGAACGTCCGCAGCCCCGCCAGGCCCACCGGCCTCGTCGTGCCCCACAGTACGGCCGTGTCGTCGTCGTCGTCGTTCGAAGATGATGATGATGATGATAATAATGATCTGGGTTTGTAACGGGGCGCCGGAGGTGCCGCGCAGTGTTCGCACCTCGCTCTCGAGGCGAGAGGATGGCTCAGAGGCGCGGGGAGGAGCCACAGACGAGCGGGGAAAGGCAGCGGCCAGGTTGTGACCCGCCGGCAACAATTGCCCGAGCTCTGCGGTCCTCTATGCACCAAGTTGTATTCGGCCAGTTAGCGAGTTTTTTTGAGACAAGTGGGAGACCCGGAGAAAACGCGTGTGCGCGAGGGGGCAACGCTCTATCCCGCAAGGGTGGAGTAGATGGAGACTAGTTCATACATTGCTGTACCGCCTTCTCCTGCTGGCAAGTAAGGCGGGAAGGGAGCTTCGCAACATCTGCCCGAAGGTCCACCGAACATCGCTGCCTTCGCGGCCCTGGATGACGGGCAGCATGCATAGCGAACGCCACACGCTCATGCGCGGTGCTGTGTGGCCAGCGACGCTCGCGATGGCATGCCGGTCGCTCCCAACGGACACGTTCCCGTTACTTCCGCATGGCATTGCTCTTGGAGAAATGATTTTATCACTGTTTGAATGTGCGTCTGTGCGTGCCTGTGCGCGTCTGTGCTATATGCGTGTGTGGGGGGAGCGGTGGTGGAGCGGTTAGTGAGCAGCGCTATGAACTAGTGGTACCCGAGTTCGATTTCCGCTCGTGGCCAACACCACTGACGATCTTCTTTGGTTCTTTCGGTAAAGTCACGTAGAATGAGAATAAAATAATAAATTGATAAAATAAAATAACACAATAAAATTCTCACGACGTTTCGGCCACAACACAAGCGGCCTTCATCAGGTGAAGGGACGAGACTGTCTGGAGGACAGCGCTGGAGCGAAAAAGCCACGCTCAGATCGCGACCTTTAAGCTGTGTGAGAAGAAACAAAGCGCCTTGACAAAGGAATTAGCATATAATTTATCATTGAAATGGCTGAGTGATTAGCTTGTGACTGGTCACAGAAATGGCTATGTTAAAGTTAAAGCATACACATCCGCAGAGGCACCCATTGACAAAGGAATTAGCATAGAATTTAGCATTGAAATAGCTGAGTGATTAGCTTGTGACTGGTCACAAGCTAACCAGTGACGATTATATGAACCGGTACTGTGTCTCTCCTAGGCAGACTCAGCCTTAAATGAGTACCTGGTGCGATGTGTAAACATTGCCACTGGCGAGACAAAGGTGGCCAGGCGTGGTTTTGACCACCCACCCCCCTCGTGTGCCGTGCCGGCCTTCATAGGTGCTCGCTAACAGCACTTGCCCCAACAGCCTGTTCAGGCTATATGGGGGATCTTTGCCTTGTGTGTGAGGAGCGGTAGTGTGGCGGCTTGCGAGCCGCGGTACGAACTCAGGGACCCGAGTTCGTTTCCTGCTCGTGGCCAACACCAGTGACGATCATATGAACCTCTCCCTAGGTCGACTAAGCCTCAAATTAATACCTGGTACAGTGTGTAATAAACTTCGCCACTAGGCAGATAAAGGCAGCTGCGCTTCGTGCTGGCCACCCACCGTGCAGTGGTAATGTTTTGCTAAATAATTATTTTGAGCAGCATCTTTCTCAATCCACTGCTGGATGAGGGCGCCCCTACACCGCCTCTGGTCAGGACTGTTCGTCCATAAAATGGTCCCTCGTGAACAGCACTCCGCTCGCTGGGTTTCGTCGGACTTCGGCCGTCTTGAGACTAACCTTCCGCTGCAAGCGTAGCAGCTCGGACCCGGCGATTTGTCTCAATGCCGCGCATTTGAATTGCCAATTTCTCCGTTGTTGTTTTTTTTATTATCACAAGCTACATTTTAATAGGCGGGTGGGGGGGGGGTGCGAACCAAAAGATTTGTGAGGAGAGAGTTGACGATTGAGCGGCGTGCTCATAGCGGTGTGCCGTGGAGTGATTTGGGTCCGTGGTGGTGGTGGGCGGGAGAGGGATCTAATTCATGCGGTATTCTTCTGCGGCGAGGCACGGCCGTGAATGTTATCGTGGGGTACTTTAAAAGAAATAAATACATTTTCGCCTAGAAGATTACAGAAATAAAATGAAGCCGCTTAATGAAAATGTTATTCTATTCATAGAAAGCTTACGTATTTATCACCCCCCCCCCCTTTGTTAGCTTTAAATAGTGAAATTAATCATGCGTCGTATAATTTAATGTAATGGCTTTCGTTTGGTTGTGGGCTTTCTTCTCTGCTGTCTGTTAATGCGTCGTTCGGCACGATTTATCAGCGAGTTTTAAGGGAACACGATTTCACCTTTAACTTTTTTTTAATCATCCCGTGCCGTTCGCGTGCGGCATTTACATTTCTTGTCGGGGGAGAAGGATTGGTTACGAGCTTGTTATTACTTCTCGATATCGGTTCGCCTCGATGGAACATGTCAGAGACTACCTTTTGCAGACCTCATGCGATTGATGACATTCTATATTCTTACACGTTTTTTACAAAAAGTTCACAAACCTATGGATTATTTTAGTTTTTTTTCTTCTAAATTATGATTGCCATTTAGAAATACCACCACGGGACACGGACGAGCAGCGAGCACCTCGCCTGAGAACGTTGGGCGACAGGATCAAATGGATGCTCGGCGGATTTTTTACATTGCATGATAATGACAGACTGAGTAGGCCTTCATCCAGCAGTGGATTGATTATCGATAACGATGGTGGTGGTGATTCGATAATTTTGTGCCCTTACATGTATGTAAATCATACGGGGGGGGGGGGGGGGGGAGACAGGACGTATGAGACAGGCAATAGAATCGAGACATTACAAATGGGAAACAAGAATCAATTCTCAAATCAAACCATGACCTTGTGTCGTGACAATGCACGGAATTAACGTGAGGGTGAATCTTCACATACTGAGCGTGCCTACATGACTGTGTGTATGCGCAAACGGGGCAAAGATCCCCCGTGTAGTCTCAACGGATTGTTGGGGAAAGTGTTATTGGTGAGCACCTCACTAATAACGCCTGACACCCACTGGAACAGCACACGAGGGGGTGGATGGCCAGCACCACGCAACGGGACTCCTTTGTCTCCCAAGTGGCGATGTCTGCACACCGCACCACGTACTCATTTGTAGCTGAGTCGACCTGGGGGGGGGGGGGGGGCCCAATCGTCACCGGTGTTGGCCGTGAGCGGGACTCGAGCGCGGAGTCGCCCGGGTTCGCAGCGCAATGCGCTAACCGCAATGCCACCGAATTTAAAAGTATTAGCATGCACGCGCACATTGACCTATCCAAGGGTGCACCTCTGAAATATGGCCTGTAAAAATGTTTAAAGTGTAGCGCCAACGTAACTCAAACCGCTAAAGGAAATATTACTCCGCTGGCCCTGGGCACAGGGCCAGCGTGTGGCACGTGGGCCTCTTTATAAACACCCTGCGAGTGACCAGCCAGCATCCATGTGCTCCGCTCAGAGTCCACCATTCTCTTTCTCGCGTTAGACCTTTAGCCCTTTCACGATACTTACTGGGAAGGGCCTCGCGGGGGTTACAAAGAAAATGATTCGGTGATGCTGCTGCTGCGTTGGCAGTCGTGTACAAGCACAATAAACAACGATTCAACAAGTTCGTCAATAGCAACACTGCGACCTTACTAGAATATACAAATAATACGCAACAACTATCATTCCTACAATGTAATTTGTATATATATTTTTTGCACATGCTATGAAAGTGTGCCCATTGCCCGAAACGTCACCTATTTTATTGTTTTCCTTCTTGAAAAGCCACGATGTATTCTTGACGAAAGTGTTGAGTTAAAAAGAAATATTTTATATTGATTTGATTTGAGATTGATTGATTGATTATTATTATAAAAAAAATTTACACACGAAGAATGATCGGGCTTGGGTTTGGTGGCTCACGAACACACACGCGTGCGTGGGGGCGTGTTGCCGCTCCAACGTGGGACCTTTTCGACAGTCTCAAAGCATGAACACACAAAATAAGAATAGGCTGCCTCTGGTTGTAGGCCAACGAGTTTCAATGACGACGCATGTATTATCAGAACGTGTTTATTTGCATGTTCACCACAAGTACGTGTGGCTCATGCAGACATTATTCATTGCAAACGGTTTCTTTAATGGTGTTTTTGAACATCTCAACACCTCTGTTTTAGTGCCAGAAATAGTAAAACCTCTTCTTGTTTTTGTTCCGCGGATTGCACAAAAAAATTGTCTGGGAAGCGTGCGAGCGTTTAACACGGCGTGGAAAACAAGTGGAGGTTTTACCCTTTCTGGCAAAAGAAAAACAGGTTTTAAGATGTCCAAACACCAACTTCATTAGCTTTTGATACTGGCAAAGAAAAGGCCCCCATGATATGTTTAACACGGTTGTTGTTGTTGTTTTACAAATGTCCCATTACCCTTCCCTAGAAAAACCTTTCAAAGAAGGCAGGAAGGTGGACGTGTGTGGGCCCATCTTGAAGGTGGAACACAAGACCTGCCGGACTGCGTAAGACCAAATCAAGAATAACAATTTTTATTTATTCATGAAAACTGAAGGAATTCGGAGCTGTTCCTTAGGAACTGGGCTTAGGGGGATATTTCAGGGTGAGGGGGGTGGATCTTGTGGTGGTGGGGAAAGTGGGAGAGTGGGAGTGTAGCGGCTAGCGCGCTGGGCTACAAACCCGGCGACCCGAATTCGATTCCCGCTCACGTCCAACACCGGTGACTATTGTCTGAACCGGTCCTGGGCTCTTACCTCTAGGTCGACTCAGCATCAAATCAATACCTGGTGCGGCGTGTACTGGCCACCCACCCCATCGTGTGCAGTGCCGGCCTTCATGAGTGCTACTTGCTAACAGCACCTGCCCCAACAGTCTGTCGTGGCCATACGGGCGGATCTTTGTCTTTGGTTGTTCAGAGTTAGAGAGGGGAAGAGATGAGATGAGAGGAAGGGGTCGGAAACATTGCTCCATAAGCTGTTCTCACTGTATGCAGCACAAAATATAGCCGGAATTGTTACTCCCTCGCTGGTCCATTAAAGGAATAGGTGGCCACGTGTATATATAATGTATGGAGTTGCATGAAGGCTCAATGATGATAGGAGAGATGGAAATGATGATGATGGCGATTTCAATTATTGCGGAATGCAGGATGAACAAAGATTATGATGATGATGATGTTGTTAGTGTTCGTGACAATGTTAAGCAATTCGAATGATTATTTATAAAGCTTCAATTAGAGATGATGATGATGATGGTGACGATAACGATTGCACGATAATCACGAATTACTCGTAGTGTAAATGATTCCACCTTGTCTGACCCTTTGTGTTCATGTGCTTTGAAGAACAGCCATCGCCTGACACAACACCTGTTATATGTTTTAACTTTTTTTAAGGCCACGGGGATATTGACAAACGTGTTATTTACGTTGCTTGTGCACCTATTGCCAACGCGGTAGCGGCAGCAGCAGCAGTATCACCCAATTATTTTCTTTAAACAGTTTGTTTTGTGGTTGCAGTTAGACGCTTCATGAATCCAAATTGCATTGCATGCTCATGACGATGCATACAAAAGTGGGTCTTACCTGCTGCTGTTGATTATCATGATGAAGACCACGATTGGTTCAGAAGCGATCCTACTGGGAGACTATGATGTCATTGATTACAATAGTCGTGATGTCCGTTCAAAGAGTGGCCTCGCCGACGAACGATCGCAATCATCTTGACGACGGTGAATTAAATCAAATCTGTAAAGGGTGAGAAGAAAAAAAAGCGACCAAAACCATAGCGCAGGGCTGGGAAACCGTGAGTTTAAAACCAGACAGACGACCAAATGTGTCAAAAAGCATACGCACATTTTACCCCGCCCTCACCCCTCCCACCTGATTAAAGCTCAGCCTCCTTTCTGAATCCTTATCTCTCTCTCGCACGATGTGCCGTGTCCTTTCTCAAGGACGTCGGTAGTAATCGCGGCCTTCCTTCCGTGAAGCTGCTGTCCATGGCATTCGCTCAAGAGCTCTGCGTTAGATACTCCCAGATGCGCGAGGTTGCTTGGAATGCTTTTGTAACTTAATTGGCCTTCTTCCATGGCTTCCCACGGCACCTATACTGTTCCCGGCCATAAAACATTTACGTTCAATCCCCCCCTTTTCTCCGCTACGTGTCCAAGAAATCTAACAGCTTAGCGTTCTCCAATGAGTATTATGCAGCGCCTTTTTGTGCCTGCTCTTCGTAATACAATTAATAATTCTAACCCCTTGTAGTCAAGTAAACAACAAGACGAATCCGGATGCAACATTTAAACACCGCCGTGTGCGGCTGTGGTAACGACTCCCCCCCCCTCCCATTGTGACGACTGCATACTCACAACGTCCATACACAAATCTGGCTGTCGCCTGATGAAGCTAGTGCTAATAACTGGCGAAACGTCGTACTCTAGATTGTAAATGTTGTGGCTTTGCTCTCCAACACACCGGTGTTGCTGTACTAGTGACGAATTGGCACGTTCTGTTTACGTGACAAACCTTACTAGTTGGCTGTGTCGGGTGGTGGCGGGTTTAACGACACATTTATATATATTTACGCGATCTAACCCAACAAACCTCTATTATGGATGATATTGGTCGTGACAGCCTCCTACTAGGTGTTAAACTGATATACAAACCGTGTAAAGTCGCTGGAAGGATCTGGACAGACCCAGAGGTAGTTAGAAATCAAGAGGATGGGCGGTCGCAGTGTGTCCTGTGACTCTACGGTGGCGAGATGCTGACCACCACGCCGGGTATACAGGAGGCCCTTGCTTCGATCCTGAACCCTGACGCCTGCTGCTGTATATTTGGAGTTTGCATGTTTCTCTCTCATCATCATCACGGTGGCTAGGAGATGTTAACTACCTCGCCTGGTATACAGGAGGCCATGGGTTCGATCCTGAACCCTGACGCCTGCTGCTGTATATTTGGAGTTTGCGGTGTCTCTTTCCTTAGTGGTCGCGTGGATTTTTCTCCGGGTCCTCCGAGTTTTCCCTCCACTTTTAGAGACACGCGTTTAGAGTATTTGTAGCTGCTCGACATGTCCACATGACAAACCACTAAATTGAGCTATCATTTGTGGCCAGGTCGCTTCCGAAAAAGAGTTATATAGCCCAGTGGGCCTTACCTGGTAAAATAAAATAAAAATAAAAATCGTAAATACACACAGGGCGAGAGCGACAGCAGAATTGCACGATCGACAAAAGCGGCTCGTACCGTGGCTAACTCTGCGTGTTTGGCGTCTAACACGCGCGGTTTAAAGTTTGTTTCACACTGACGGTCCCGTGCCCTCCCCTTTACACAAGGTGACGCTCTCAGGCCGCACTGCCGTTGCGTGGAATACAACGCGCGGCGTTGTGCGATGCTGCGTGACGCTGCGCAATGTTTGCGTTGCTGTCTGATGCTGTGATGATGCTGTGTGATGTCTGGCGATGCTGTGTGCTGTCTCGCGACACCGTGTGATGTATGCTCTTTGGTTCTATTGGGTAAAGTCACGTAGGTGAAAATAAAATAACAAAAAATCACGACGTTTCGGCCACAACACAAGCGGCCTTCATCAGGTGAAGGGGCGAGACTGTCTGGAGGACAGCGCTGGAGTGAGAGAAGCCACGCTTAGATCACGACCTTTAAGCTGTGTGAGAAGAAAACAAGGCGCCTTGGCATTCACCGAGGCACCTAGTACTAATCAAACAGGATAATTTAGCGAAACACAACCACGCTCAGACAGCGGACCTTTAAACTGTGTGCGAGCAAACAAGGTGTCCTGACAAAGAAATTAGCATAAAAAATAGCATTTGATTGGCCGATTTTAGGAAAGAGGTGGTGTACGTGCCGGTGGACTTGGTACTAGGTGCCTCGGTGAATGTATATGCTCTGACTTTAACATAGCTATTTCTGTGACCAGTTACAAGCTAATCACTCAGCTATTTCAATGCTAAATTCTATGCTAATTCCTTTGTCAAGGGGTACCTCTGCGGATGTGTATACTTTAACTTAGCTATTTCAATGAGCCATTTCAATGCTAAATTATATGCTAATCCTTTGTCAAGGCGCCTTGTTTTCATCTCACACAGCTTAAAGGTCGTGGTCTAAGCGTGGCTTCTCTCACTCCAGCGCTGTCCTCCAGACAGTCTCGTCCTTTCACCTGATGAAGGCCCCTTGTGTTGTGGCCGAAACGTCGTGATTTTTTGTTATTTTATTTTCACCTACGTGACTTTACCCAATAGAACCAAAGAGTATGGATCCTAGCAGTCACGAAAGCTTTAAATCTAGAACCGTGTGATGTCTTTGTGTAGTGTGTGGGGGGAGCGGTCGTGTCGTGGTTAGCGCGATGCGCTAGGAACCCGGCGGCCCGAGTTACATTCCCGCTCACGGCCAACACCAGTGACGATTATCTGAACCGGTGCTGGGCCTCTCCTAGGTCGACTCAGTCTCAAATTAGTGCCTGGCGCGGTGTGTAAACATCGCCACTAGGGAGACAAAAGCGGCCGGGCGTGGTGTTGGCCACCCACCAACTCCCCCTCCGTGTGTCCGTTCTGGCCTTGATAGGTGCGCGCTAACAGCACTTGCCCCGACAGTCTGTTAAGGCTATACGGGGGATCTTTGTCTTTATTTTTTTGCCTCTGATGTTGTATGATGTGATGCTGTGTCATGTCTGTGACGCTGTGTAAACACTGTGACGCTATGTTATGCTGTGTGGCACTGTGTGCTATCGTGTGACGCTGTGTGATGCTGTTTGATACTGTGTAATTACTCTGACGCTGTGTGATGCTGTGTGACGCTGTGTGATATCTGTGACGCTGTGTGATGCCTGTGACGCTGTGTGATTCTGTTAGATGCCTGTGATTCTGTGTGATGCTGTGTGATGCGTGTAATTGTGTGCGGTGCCTATGACGCTGCGTGATGCCTGTGATGCTGTGTGATGACGCTGTGTGCGTGATGAGGCTGTGCGATGACGCTGCGTGATGCCTGTGATGCTGTGTGATGACGCTGTGTGCGTGATGAGGCTGTGCGATGACGCTGCGTGATGCTCTGTGATGCTGTGTGATGACGCTGTGTGCGTGATGAGGCTGTGCGATGACGCTGCGTGACGCCGTGCGACGTTCGTTCCCCCCACGCAGGGAGCCCTTCACGATTTTCTCCGGCGGCCTGGTGGAGGGCAAGGCCAAGCGGAGCAGCCTGTCGGTGATGCATGGCAGGAACATCACCGTGCTCGAGATGGACTCCAACATCGTCGACTTCCTCACCTTGTGCGAGACGCCTTACCCCAGCGGTAAGCTCCCGTGACCTAATCAATGTACGACAGTCAAGGGACGGCATTGTACGTATGTTGAACTTCTTGTATTGTGTTTCTATCTGCGTGAACCAAAGAACACGAATTCCTGCAGTCACGAAAGTTTTGAGTCGAAATTCTTGCGCGTATGTTGAACTTCTTGTACGTATGTTGAACTCCGAATCGGAGGTGAGCGACTCGGCCGTGGCTCAGGTGTCAGGCTCGTGGACCACGCTCAGAGGCGGCTCGAGTGGAGCGCGTGGCCCTGAGCTGGCTCGCCTGAGCCAGAGCCGAGCTTGAGGCGAGCCGCGGCGAAGAGTTTGGGCGCGAGTCTCCGTTTTCCAACGGGCAGTTGGGGGGTGGTGGTCGTGCGCCTACTGAGCCCGTGGGAAGAATCCATAGTTAATGAGCGAGCCGTTAAAGGGCTGTAACGTTAATTTTGAAGACTTTTGCGACACCCGTGGAGTGCTTAAAATCAAAATCGACGGTCAAAGTGATTGTGATCACAATTGCGCGCGTGCGTACGTAAGTGATGGTAATTGGATATTAATGTATGTATACACATGCTTGTAGTCTCGGTTGGTCACAGGGCCATTCTCATTTATTGTAATTAACCGCAAGTAATTCCAACCAATTCTCAGAAGGTCCCAAAAGGCCTCCCCGCGCGTGAAGCTAAGCGCAGATCAGTCGCCTGGCGCTGTGCGGGTGAAGAATCATTTACGCTGATCGATTGCAATCGCGCAGCATCGACGGCAAACGAATTGCGATGATTACACGTTCATCCACAAACATTCCGAGGCGATCGAGCCCTCAGCCAAGAGTACTCGGGGTTTTATTGCCTCAGCCGGCGAGGTCCCCCTCCCGAATATCGAGATGAGCGGCTCTCATTAAAATGGAACCATATCGCGAACAACCGCATCCAACGCCCGCTCCCTCCGGCGGCGGGGACCGAGCTGCATTTCGCCACGCGACTGCCAAAGCCACCGCTTGGCTCGCAGACTTGAACTTGGACGTGTGTGCGCTGTGCACACACGTGCCATACGCGAGTAGTGGCGGTTCAGTTACGTGGACATTGCGTCGCTGCGATTGTAAACTGCGCAACACTAACGGGGAACAAGCGCCGACGAGAAATGGCGTCGGCCCGGCTCGTAGCTGCCTTGTCCCTCTGCCCGTCGTCTGCGGCTCCTGAGTCGTCCTCCCTCTCTGTCGCTGTCTCTGTGCAAGGACGAGCGAGTGCTTGCACGGCGTCGGTACGTTACAAGTTGAAACGATCGCCGTTGATGGAAAATAAGAAAGGGTTTTACCCTTTGTGGCAATAACACATGAAGTGTTAAGAAGTTCAAACACCAAATAGAAATATTTTGCAAGGAATCACGTCTGCGCTATATCTATTGCAAGAAAGGGTACAACCTATTCTTATTATTCTTCATTTATATACTGGCAAACAGGTCCCATAGATATAACTGCGCTATAAATGCTCTGATACTGGCATTGTCTTTGTACTGTTCGCCTTTTGGCTTCTTCTGGTCTGACACTGGTAGTGAGATAAGGCCGTAAAGAAGGCTGCTGTCTCTGGTGTAGTCCAATCAGTTTCAAAGATAATGCATCAAATATTAATTAGCAGAGCGTGGTTGTTTGCATGTCTTTTCCCACAAGTGCCGCGTGTTGTTAATGCAGACATGGCGCCTTGCAAAGATGTTTCTATTTTGGTGTTTGAACATCTTAACACAACTCCTGTTTAATTGCTGAAAAGGTATCCCATGGAACATTGTTTAAAATTAAAAAAGTTATTTCATTATAAAAAAATCAGGTAGAAAGGTTCAAAGAAAATAACAAGAAAATAGCAAAAACTACGACGTTTCGATCGCAACACAAGCGTTCGTCATCAGGACGAGGGGGTTAGCTTCTAAAGGTAAGCTGTTTATGACTGTTTGAAATGGGCGTAGAGCCCAAATGTCAGCAGCCTAATGTAGGTGGTGGGCAGCGACCGCGACGGTGGTGGGGTTTCCCACCAATCAAAGGGCTGCCCGGTAAAAATTAGCATGTCAATGTAAGATCGTTGAGAGGCCTCCATGGCGGGCGCCCTCCCAGCAACATAGCCACCGCGCTCGCGGAGCCCCAAGGAAGCGGCGGGCTTTTATTTTGTTTTCCGCTCGCGCATCCCGGTTAAGTCGTTTCATTGACTTGATGGATTCGCTCCGTCGAGTTTGGCGGCCCGGCACGTTCAATCCGGCGCGTCGAACGGAGCCCTCTGACGTGCGCTCTCAGGTCGCAGAGGTAATTGATGCGCAGGACTGATTGATCGACCGCATTAACGGCCGGTCGAGCGTTGTCAACTTGTGGAAATGAAGGAAGCGTGCGGCTGTAAATTGCACCGATCGATGGATTAATGTCACGGATTTAATTGTCACGAGTCATTTGAACCTCGTTGGTGGCACATCAACCTTGCTATGACTTGGGTCTCCCCAGAGCAAGAGACATTTTTAACGTATTAGTCGGCCCTCACCTGGTTTTTATTTATGGGGCGACTGACTGCCTGCATCACCAGTTGTAAGACACAATGTTCAGACCAGAGCCTGGTCCACTCTGTCCAAACAGTCAGTGCCACGGCAGTCAACATATTCACCGCAGCTACATCAGCAGCAGCGGCTACAGCAGCAGCTAGAGCAGGAGCCGTAGCTAGAGCAGCAGCTACAGCAGTAGCTACAGGAGCAGCTACAGCAGCAGCTACAGCAGCTTCAGCAGTAGCTACACAAGTAATAGCTACAGCAGCACCTACAATGGCTACAGCAGTAGCTACAGCAGCAGCAGCAGCTACAGCAGTAGCTACAGCAGTGGCTACATCAGCTTCAGCAGTTGCTACATCAGGGACTACAGCAGCTTCAGCAGTAGCTACAGCAGTTACTGCGGTAGCTACAGCAGTAGCTACAGCAGCAGCTACAGCAGTAGCTACAGCAGTTGCTACAATGGCTACAGCAGTAGCTACAGCAGTGGCTACATCAGCTTCAGCAGTAGCTACAGCAGGGACTACAGCAGCTTCAGCAGTAGCTACAGCAGTTACTGCGGTAGCTACAGCAGCAGTAAAGCACAGAGCTGAGCTTCTCATGTGCTGTCACTTTCCCACCCTCGGCTGTGGCGCTGCTCTTTGCACGCACGGGGGACGGCACCGTGCCCCCTTGATGCGGCCTCGGCTCTTTCACTCGGCTCGCTCAGCCGGGCAACGCCGTTGACTCTTATTCGGAGGGCTCGGCAAAGTGAGTTGGAGTTTATTTCACGGACACCGCCTCAAAGTACTGTCAACGCCGTTCGCTTGAACCGATACCCACGTTCTGAGATATTCGTTCAAAGGAATGTCACGATCACGGGACCTCCCTTGTCAGTATCTAAATCTAAAAATAGGTTTGACCCTTTCTGGCAATGAAACAGGTGTGAAGATGTTAAAACACCATACTGAAACCTTTTGCAAGGAATAATGTCTGCATTATATGTCTGCAGTATATGTAGTTAATGCAGACATGATGCCTTGCAAAAGGTTTCAGTTTGGTGTTTTAACAATTTAGCACAACTGTTTTATTGCCAGAAAGGTTAAAACCTATTTTTAAGGAATGTCACGAGTTAATCTTTTGTTTATACATACGTCTCAACGTTCAAGCTTGTGTGCTCGCCCTGAACCTGAAACCGGGGGACAGCTTTCCATCACTCTGAAAAAAAATATCCACCAGTGTCACGTAAATCATCGGCCCAACAGCGTCCATTATACAGCGGCACCATATTTAAAATGTTATCCACGTAGGCCGTTCTTCAAGTCGGCCGTACGGATGACATTGGGAGGGTGCCGGATCTGGGTGGTGGATAGAGGAGAGGAGTCCACCTGGACTGTGCAATGACATCTAGATAAATTATATTTTACTATGTGAGTCTACGGGTATCTGTGCAAGTCTATGGGTCTCTTTGTTAGTTTACGGGTCTCTATGTGAGTCTACGGGTCTATGTGTGAGTCTGTCGGTCTCTATGTGAGTCTACGGGTCTCTGTGTGAGTCTACGGGCATCAGTCGATCGAGGGAATGAATTCCAGGCGACTGGAGGTGCGGTAGAAGCGACGTCCGCCCCCCGTGTCCGGCTCAGAGAGACTCGCGGCTTGACATTGACGAGGCAGGCTGGAGATTGCGATGAAGGGATGTATGATAGAAGATAAAATCAGCCGAATTGCTACATCACAGGACGGCGATGGCTTTGGTGGATGCCTTCATCCTGCGTTGGACTGGTAATTTCTGATTGATTGATGATCATGATATATTTCAACAGGTTTAATTGAACTTCTGCAAAAGAGATCACCCGAGGCCAGTCTTGGCTGGGTAAAGGAGAACATGATCGTGTTATGGTTGTCACTGTCGTCATCGTTGTTGTTGTTGTTGTCGTGTTGTCATTCAGATTTCCAAGACCCTTACGCGGTGGTCGTGTTGCTTGAAAAGGACATGGTGGTGGTTGACCTCACGCAAAGCGGGTGAGAGATGTGCCACTGAAACACCGCGCGGCCCACCGAATTTGAAGCAATCTCGAGCGTCGTTGTGAATATTAATAAATGGATAGATAGATAAATAAGTGAAAAAAAGCGGACAATATGTTAAAAAAGTCATTGTCTGCTCATTTTTATTTCTCACAGTGAGGCTCATGATTATTTTGAGGTTTTGTATGATACCATTTCGTGTTCAACTGGGACCCACATAGTGCAAATAGAGGGTCCTGGGCCTGTAAGAAAGAGAGTTCACCAGCGGTGATTCAAGCGAGCGTGACTCTGCTGATGAGACACTGCATGCCGAAACCGATCCAGAGTTTTTTTCTGCTGATGCGTTGCGTCCGAAGTATTTACACGTTGCGTCAGAAGTATGCGGGGACATTTTGTGCAATTAATTGAGTGGCTTTTTTGGCTGGATGCAGTATCATAATGTTTAGCTTTACGTAGCGTCACCGTTCATGCAAATGATATCTCACAATCGGTGAGGAATCACAGACGAGCAGGACGGCAGCAGCCGGGTGGCGAGCCAGTGCTACCAACAATTGCCAAAGCTCTGCAGTGTTCTATCTATCGAGATGTTTTCAGTCAATGAGTCCTTACATGTGGAAGGAAACTGGAGAATATCCACGTGGGAGCTCTTGCCTGGTTTTAAATAACGTTCACAATCCATGCTTGCGTACCATTACTATTATAATTATTACTCATCGAGGCCACCGAGGTTTGTGCTCCCAGGACAGTCCTGCCAAATTGTTCTGAGCAGCAGCGGGCAATGTTGCTGATGCAGCTGCTTGTACTGTGTGTAATCCAATTTGAATAAATCTCAGCTAATTCCTTCAGCATTGGGATGCTTTGCCAATGCCAGTTTACGTTACACATTCACTTAGCGTGCGTAAATTGTCTGATTCTTGTGATGCTAAATATTATTACACCCTTTTTGAAGGCGTTACGGATAAAGACCAATTTGCCCAAAGTCTGGCCTCGCATATATATTTACATCCCTTGAGGACCAGGATGCTATTGATGAATGTGTCGGAGTCGCTGTCATTTGTTCGATAACATGCTGGTATTGGAGACTGCAGAGTAATGTAACTGAAAGTGGAGTCAGGAGAGATGATATGACCTTTGACCTTCAGACCTCACTGGCTCTTTGCCTCATTTTGGAGGAGCTGCTGACGGGCTTGGCTGTAGGCCAGACGTTTACCCTCGGTTGTGTCTGTAGTGACCTGAAATGAATCTTGAATAGTTTGCTATTAAAATGTCAAAGAGCGTTTATTATTCATACATGATGTGATGTAAACATTAGGCCAAATTACCCAGAATGCACCAAATCTCGTCAGATCTCGCTGACGTGAGAGTGGAGTGAGACACGCTGAATGACTGAACATAGAGGCGCAGTGGTGGCACGGGCGGCAGGAGGTCTTGTAGCTGACCCTGCTGGTGATGGTGGGAAGCCAGTGGAGGAGGAAGTGGAGGCAGGAGATGTTGTAGCTGACCCTGCTGGTGATGGTGGGAAGCCAGTGGAGGAGGAAGTGGAGGCAGGAGATGTTGTAGCTGGCCCTGCTGGTGATGGTGGGAAGCCAGTGGAGGAGGAAGTGGAGGCAGGAGATGTTGTAGCTGACCCTGCTGGTGATGGAGGGAAGCCAGTGGAGGAGGAAGTGGAGACAGGAGATGTTGTAGCTGACCCTGCTGGTGATGGAGGGAAGCCAGTGGAGGAGGAAGTGGAGACAGGAGATGTTGTAGCTGACCCTGCTGGTGATGGTGGGAAGCGAGTGGAGGAGGAAGTGGAGACAGGAGATGTTGTAGCTGACCCTGCTGGTGATGGTGGGAAGCCAGTGGAGGAGGAAGTGGAGGCAGGAGATGTTGTAGCTGACCCTGCTGGTGATGGTGGGAAGCGAGTGGAGGAGGAAGTGGAGGCAGGAGGTCTTGTAGCTGACCCTGCTGGTGATGGTGGGAAGCCAGTGGAGGAGGAAGTGGAGACAGGAGATATTGTAGCTGACCCTGCTGGTGATGGAGGGAAGCGAGTGGAGGAGGAAGTGGAGACAGGAGATGTTGTAGCTGACCCTGCTGGTGATGGTGGGAAGCCAGTGGAGGAGGAAGTGGAGACAGGAGATGTTGTAGCTGACCCTGCTGGTGATGGAGGGAAGCCAGTGGAGGAGGAAGTGGAGGCAGGAGATGTTGTAGCTGACCCTGCTGGTGATGGAGGGAAGCCAGTGGAGGAGGAAGTGGAGACAGGAGATGTTGTAGCTGGCCCTGCTGATGATGGTGGGAAGCGAGTGGAGGAGGAAGTGGAGACAGGAGATGTTGTAGCTGACCCTGCTGGTGATGGTGGGAAGCCAGTGGAGGAGGAAGTGGAGACAGGAGATGTTGTAGCTGGCCCTGCTGATGATGGTGGGAAGCCAGTGGAGGAGGAAGTGGAGACAGGAGATGTTGTAGCTGACCCTGCTGGTGATGGTGGGAAGCCAGTGGAGGAGGAAGTGGAGGCAGGAGATGTTGTAGCTGACCCTGCTGGTGATGGTGGGAAGCGAGTGGAGGAGGAAGTGGAGACAGGAGATGTTGTAGCTGGCCCTGCTGGTGATGGTGGGAAGCCAGTGGAGGAGGAAGTGGAGACAGGAGATATTGTAGCTGACCCTGCTGGTGATGGTGGGAAGCGAGTGGAGGAGGAAGTGGAGACAGGAGATGTTGTAGCTGGCCCTGCTGATGATGGTGGGAAGCCAGTGGAGGAGGAAGTGGAGACAGGAGATGTTGTAGCTGGCCCTGCTGATGATGGTGGGAAGCCAGTGGAGGAGGAAGTGGAGGCAGGAGATGTTGTAGCTGGCCCTGCTGGTGATGGTGGGAAGCCAGTGGAGGAGGAAGTGGAGACAGGAGATGTTGTAGCTGACCCTGCTGGTGATGGAGGGAAGCCAGTGGAGTAGGGAGTGGAGAGAGGTGAGAAAATCTAGACGAGGATCACAGTCTCTGTGGACGATGTGGGTGACCATGGTTTGGCAATTGTTTGGAGTTTCTTGAGGTGCCTAACGCTTGCATTCCCGTCGGTTGCAGCTACCCAATCTTTGAAAACCCCTACGCGATGGACATCCACGACTCACCCGTCACGTTCTGCGAGTATTTTGCCGACTGCTCGGTGGAAATCATCCCGGCGCTGTATTCTGTAGGAGCCCGTCAGAAGAAGCAGGGCTTCAGCAAACAGGTCTCTCTTCGTACTACATCAGAAGCAAAGTTTTCTGGCGGAAATTCCTGCCTGCCTGCTTTGGCGTGCACCAAAGTGCGCATGCGGCGGTGGTGACGTCGACGTTTAAAAATTCGTTTCTGAGAAAAGTGGCCCGGATGGTCCAAATAGCCTATGGGCCAGAGCAGAATTGGATATCACCCCAGTTGGATATCACCCCAGTTGGATATCACCCCAGTTGGCTAAACTTTATTCCTGCCCATGTACAGTGAGGGAAAAAAAAGTATTTGATCCCCTGCTGATTTTGTACATTTGCCCACTGACAAAGAAATCATCAGTCTATAATTTTAATGGTAGGTTTATTTGAACAGTGAGAGACAGAATAACAACAACAAAATCCAGAAAAACGCATGTCAAAAATGTTATAAATTGATTTGCATTTTAATGAGGGAAATAAGTATTTGACCCCTCTGCAAAACATGACTTAGTACTAGGTGGCAACACCCTTGTTGGCAATTACAGTGGTCAGACGTTTCTTGTGGTTGGCCACCAGGTTTGCACACATGTCAGGAGGGATTTTGTCCCACTCCTCTTTGCAGGTCTTCTACAAGTCATTAAGGTTTCGAGGCTGACGTTTGGCAACTCGAACCTTCAGCTCCCTCTACAGATTGTCTATGCGATTAAGGTCTGGAGACTGGCTAGGCCACTCCAGGACCTTGATGTGCTTCTTCTTGAGCCACTCCTTTGTTGCCTTGGCCGTGTGTTTTGGGTCGTTGTCATGCTGGAATATCCATCCACGACCCATTTCAATGCCCTGGCTGAGGGAAGGAGGTTCTCACCCAAGATTTGACGGTACATGGCCCCGTCCATCGTCCCTTTGATGCGGTGAAGTTGTCCTGTCCCCTTAGCAGAAAAACACCCCCAAAGCATAATATTTCCACCTCCATGTTTGATGGTGGGGATGGTGTTCTTGGGGTCATAAGCAGCATTCCTCCTCCAAACACGGCGAGTTGAGTTGATGCCAAAGAGCTCCATTTTGGTCTCATCTGACCACAACACTTTCACCCAGTTGTCCTCTGAATCATTCAGATGTTCATTGGCAAACTTCAGACGGGCATGTATATGTGCTTTCTTGAGCAGGGTGACCTTGCAGACGCTGCAGGATTTCAGTCCTTCACGGCATAGTGTGTTACCAATTGTTTTCTTGGTGGCTATGGTCCCAGCTGCCTTGAGATCATTGACAAGATCCTCCCGTGTAGTTCTGGGCTGATTCCTCCCCGTTCCCATGATCATTGCAACTGCACGAGGTGAGATCTTGCATGGAGCCCCAGGCCGAGGGAGATTGACAGTTATTTTGTGTTTCTTCCATTTGCGAATAATCGCACCAGCTGTTGTCACCTTCTCACCAAGCTGCTTGGCAATGGTCTTGTAGCCCATTCCAGCCTTGTGTGTAGGTCTCAATCTTGTCCCTGCCATCCTTGGAGAGCTCTTTGGTCTTGGCCATGGTGGAGAGTTTGGAATCTGATAGATTGATTGCTTCTGTGGACAGATGCCGTTTATACAGGTAACAAGCTGAGATTAGGAGCACTCCCTTTAAGAGTGTGCTTCTAATCTCAGCTCGTTACCTGTATATATGACACCTGGGAGCCAGAAATCTTTTTGATTGAGAGGGGGTCAAATACTTATTTCCCTCATTAAAAAGCAAATCAATTTATAACATTTTTGACATGCGTTTTTCTGGATATTTGTTGTTGTTATTCTGTCTCTCACTGTTCAAATATACCTACCATTAAAATTATAGACTGATCATTTCTTCGTCAGTGGGCAAACGTACAAAATCAGCAGGGGATCAAATACTTTTTTCCCTCAATGTATATAACATGCATTGGCAATTAGTTACTTGGACTTCATTTTTGCTTATGAAATTTAATCAAACTTTGCAACAAAGGACAAACTGCAAAGTTCAAATTTGTCAAACATGATAAATCAAATACTTGTTTCCCTCACTGTATTTAGGTGGCTATTATTACGAGTTATCTACGTGATTACCCACTCGTTTCAAATGGTTGCCACATAATTTCACTGTTATTAGCCACGTAAAGTCATTTGAACGAGTAAAGTTATGCCACCTAGGGTGGCACCAGCTAGTGAAATATCTGGTCTGGGCTCATGGACTCAAAGGTCATTGCACCTGAGACTGCACCGCTGAGATCCTGGCTTCAATTCCTTGCAGCTGCCTGTCATTAATTGGGGCTCTCCAGTGTAGCTACGAGTTGGCGGTCTCAGCGTGGTCACAAGTGACTTGCACAACAACAACAAATACGGCATCACGTTTGAAATCTGCTCTTAATTTGACTAAACTCGGCTCTTCGTTTGGCTAAAATGCCAGCGCTGAGAATAACAATTTGACTGTCACGCGACGAACCTTATTTTGACACGCAGAGCACGTGGGAACGTCTGACCGGCTGTTTCAGTGGGGTTATTGGAGGTGATAAATCAACTAACACAAGATTCTAAACGACATCAAACGCACACTGGTGCTGCTTCAGTAAACCACATGCCGAGGCAAGTCAATATTAATTAGCGAGCGTAAACATCGACACTGCTTTGTGGTAATGAATGTCAAATAGAAGGGATCATGGATTTGCATGTTAAATAACTGTACGCAAAAAAAATGCATTAAAATTAGTGAAACAAATGCATTATTACGATTATGTTTTTTTTAAAGATACGAATGTTTTTCTTTTAGTGACTTTCCCCAAACTTAATCCCCACTGCGACGGAGAATCTCCCCCCCCCCCGCCCCCCTCCCTGGGAGCTGATTCGTGTGCACGCTCCGAATGCTCCCTCGTCCGCGAGCCGAATGAGGCCAACGGGTCACCCTGCCCCCTGCTTTAGGAGTGGCCCATTAGTGGCGGCAGCTGGGACATCGGCAACCAGAGCTACCCAGAGGTGATCATCACAGGGTGAGTGCGCGGGCCCCCTCTTTCCTACTCCTCCTCCTCCTCTTCCTCCTCCTCCTCTCACTCCTTTCTTGGGCGCCACGGTAGATAGCTGTTAACTACCTCGCCTGGTATACAGGAGGTCGTGGGTTCGATCCCGACCCTGACGCCTGTTGTATGTTTGGAGTTTGTGCGTTCTCCCTGTGGTCGCGTGGATTTTTCTGCGGGTCCTCCGGTTTTTCCCTCCATATTTAAAAAAAGCGTTTATAAATATCCACGTGAGGATGAGTCACTTCGTTGAGCTATCATTTTGATAGCCAGCTCACTTCTGAAAAGAGCCATATAGCTCCGGTGGGCCTTACCTGCGAAAATAAAAATAGTTTGTAGAGTTTTTAAGTTCGCAGACACGAACCCCGCTCAACTGCCCGTGAGGTCCAGTCGCGAAATCGCCGTCGTGATATCACTGTCGTGATATGGCCGTGGTAATATCGCCGTGGTGATATCGCCGTGGTGATATCGCCGTCGTGATATCGCCGTCGTGATATCGCCGTCGTGATATCGCCGTGGTGATATCGCCGTCGTGATATCGCCGTCGTGATATCTCCGTCGTGATATCGCCGTCGTGATATCGCCGTCGTGATATCTCCGTCGTGATATCGCCGTCGTGATATCTCCGTCGTGATATCGCCGTCGTGATATCACCGTCGTGATATCGCCATCGTGATATCGCCGTCATGATATCACCGTCGTGATATCGCCATCGTGATATCTCCGTCGTGATATCGCCGTCGTAATATCTCCGTCGTGATATCGCCATCGTGATATCGCCGTCGTGATATCACCGTCGTGATATCGCCGTCATGATATCTCCGTCGTGATATCGCCGTCGTGATATCACCGTCGTGATATCGCCGTCGTGATATCTCCGCAAAGCTGCTGCTACTGTCACGTAAAGTCAGTTGGTCACTTTGGCTCAAATACATTTTCAAGGCGACCTAAGACAAAAAGACCACAATGCATTTTTTCAGCAAATGTGGATCGTTGTTTTTGCATAACTCATAGGGACTGTGTGCTATTTAAATGTCTCTCTGCGTTGTTGTTGTTGTTGTTTGAAACTTATGGTTTTCCGGCCAGCACTACTTCTCTGTTACGATTATGGGTTTGCTTGCTCTTCAGAGATTTGATTACTGTTGGCACGAGCGAAGGTCATGGGTCCCATGGTGGGCGAAGTTGGGACTCCACGGGTATAGTTTCTCGGGGAAGGCGTTGGTGGCTGTGCTGATGACAATGAATCCAGTCCACAGTTGTCTATCACTGCATGGCTGCCGCTGCTTTCAGTCGGTCAAATTTGCTGGAATTTATTTTGATGGAGACCTTAGATGTCAGGACCAGAATGGATTTTTTGTTGTTGCAGAAAGCACAAAGGGCTGTGCGCTTTAAATGCAGCTGAGCGAGTTTGTTTGAAACTCCTGATTGAAGGTCATTCCTTCCCTTTCGTTACCTTCAAGTGTTGATCAGGACCCCCCCCCCCCCCCCTTTCGGCTTCTGTGTGTATTCACCTTTCCAATTAGCAATTAATGACCGGTCTGTTTTTTTCAAATTGCTGGCATGATTAATGTTGTTGAATTTCACATTCGTGTCAAATATGTACGTGACACAGAAAACCCATCACAGCAGAAAACAATTTCGCATGCTGGGAACAAAGGATGCAGTATTTCACATGGAAAAGCTCTTAGCCTTGACTCGGACATTCAGTTCATTTGAGCTGGTAGTCTGGACAATGCTGAGAGCTCTTGTACAACTATTCTTCGTTTCAATTTGGTTTCTCAACTTACACGGGACTAAAACGCCACACATTCGTCGAAAATGTCACCCTAGAAGCAATTTATTCATGTCCCTTGTTCAGAGCACACGCGCTACGTCATTGACGAATGCGTTGAGGGCTTTTTTTTCCTTGTGCACCAACTGGCAAAAGCGGTATCATCCAAAGAATTGCTTTGCCTGAATTTGTCGATATTCCGACATTCAGGTAATATAACGTCAGTTCCAAATATTTGCTCGTCATATTGCAGCGTTGAGCGGTGGGTGCGCTGCTGTGTTTACGGTCGAACGACTGCCCCAGCACCCCCCCCCCCCAGCACCCCACCACCAACCCCCCCCCTCCACCAACACCCCACCACCACCCCCCCTCCACCCCCCCACCACCCCACCACCACCCCCCCACCACCCCACCACCACCCCACCACCACCAACACCCCACCGCCACCCCACCACCACCCCACCACCACCCCACCACGATCTCTGGAGCGCGTAGGTTGCCCTTCTGCCCACGGACGTATTGACAGAGCGGTGTAAACAAAACACATCATGTATATTGAAAATATTCGACGCAAAGGTGACAGTGACGTTTCCAGAAGACAAACGGACGTAGCGAGGGATGTGGCGCTGCTCGAGCGGCGAGGGTCAACCGGCGGCGCCTCTCGCCGCGTGGCCCACTGCCCCCTTCCCCGTTACTGAGCGGCCAAGGTTACTGAGCGGAGAGAGATTCACACTTTTATTTATTTATCTCCCCGCCCCCTCCCCCCCCCCCCCCGCTCAATCCTAGGCACGCGGATGGCTCCCTCAAGTTCTGGGATGCTTCCGCCAGTAAGTGTTGCATCTCGTGCCACACAACCCCCCCCCATCTCTCTCTCTCTATGCAGTGGCGAGTTAAAGAGAGGTGCACGACTCATAGACATCCTCCAGTGAGTCAGAGACAGGCGGACGACTCACAGACATCCTCCAGTGAGTCACAGACAGGCGGACGACTCACAGACATCCTCCAGTGAGTCACAGACAGGCGGACGACTCACAGACATCCTCCAGTGAGTCACAGACAGGCGGACGACTCACAGACATCCTATAGCGAGTCACAGACAGGCGGACGACTCACAGACATCCTCCAGTGAGTCAGAGACAGGCGGACGACTCACAGACATCCTCCAGTGAGTCACAGACAGGCGGACGACTCACAGACATCCTCCTGTGAGTCAGAGACAGGCGGACGACTCACATACATCCTCCAGCGAGTCACAGACAGGCGGACGACTCACAGACATCCTCCAGCGAGTCACAGACAGGTGGACGACTCACAGACATCCTCCAGTGAGTCACAGACAGGTGGACGACTCACAGACATCCTCCAGCGAGTCACAGACAGGTGGACTACTCACAGACATCCTCCAGCGAGTCACAGACAGGTGGACGACTCACAGACATCCTCCAGTGAGTCACAGACAGGTGGACGACTCACAGACATCCTCCAGCGAGTCACAGACAGGTGGACGACTCACAGACATCCTCCAGTGAGTCACAGACAGGTGGACGACTCACAGACATCCTCCAGCGAGTCACAGACAGGTGGACTACTCACAGACATCCTCCAGCGAGTCACAGACAGGTGGACGACTCACAGACATCCTCCAGTGAGTCACAGACAGGTGGACGACTCACAGACATCCTCCAGCGAGTCACAGACAGGTGGACGACTCACAGACATCCTCCAGTGAGTCACAGACAGGTGGACGACTCACAGACATCCTCCAGCGAGTCACAGACAGGTGGACTACTCACAGACATCCTCCAGCGAGTCACAGACAGGTGGACGACTCACAGACATCCTCCAGTGAGTCACAGACAGGTGGACGACTCACAGACATCCTCCAGCGAGTCACAGACAGGTGGACTACTCACAGACATCCTCCAGCGAGTCACAGACAGGTGGACGACTCACAGACATCCTACAGCGAGTCACAGACAGGCGGACGACTCACAGACATCCTCCAGCGAGTGGGTCCGCATGAGGATGACGGCCCGTCGACAGCAAGCGATGCGGAACCCGTCGTCGCTCGGACTCGAACGCCCAGCACCCGCGTATTAACCGAGCCTCTCGCGCTTATCCCCGTGTGCCCCCCCCCCCTCTGCCGCCCCCCCCCCCCCCAGTCACCCTGCAGCTGCTGTACAAGCTCCGCACGGCCAAGATTTTTGAACGACCCGTGGCAGCCGGGGTCGCAGTTCGTGACGTCGGCAAGGGTGGCGGCATCGTGCCTTCGCCTGCCCCGGCGGCGGTGACGGTGGACGAGCCCGAGGACCCGTTCGCTGTCCAGCTGCTGGCCTGGTGCCCCGAGAGCCGGATGCTGTGCGTCGCCGGCGCGTCGTCCCACGTCGTCTTCTATCGATTCAGCCGTCAGGAGGCCGTCGGCGAGATTGCGGTACGAGAGACTCGCGCTCGCGCTCGCACGCCGCTGAACTCGTTTGGGCCCCCTTGATGAGACGCCGTGCCCACGGGTTCCACGTGAGTGTCAGCGCCAGTGCCGGATTATCTTGGTAGCACAAGTAGCTACTACATATGTAGTTGCATATGTAGTAGCTGCTGCATATGATGCTACGGGCCCCGCACTTTCATGCGGCCCACGTTAAATGCTTTCAAGCTATCAATTTCGTTTCAGTGATTCTGCACTTGCTCTACTACTATAGTACTATGCCGCCTTCAACTTTCATGAACGACGGGGTGTTTCAGGTTACCGATTTGTCGTATTATCTGGCTGTATAGCAAGTGAAAAGATACGATTACTTTACTATGCAAGTAAAAAATTTGTGTTTTTGAATTTAGGGCCCCTTTATAACATCGGCTACAGGCCCCGCGCTAGCTTAATCCGGCACTGGTAAGCACGTGCATCTCTTGCTTTCCTACCCCCCCCCCCCCCCCCCCCCTGCAAAATATTCCACCCGGACAAATGTCTCGGTGTCCGTGAACAAAAAAGACTGCGAGTGTTGAGCACTTTGCTGAATTATTCATGGCATCCGCACGGTGAATCTGTCCAGTGATGGAATGTGCGCCCCCCCTCCCACACCCAGGTTTCACATTTAGGGGGAGCACACAGAAGCGGAAACGTTGAGACATATAAAAAAAAAAATTATGAACTGATGACATTCTCTTGCACGAATATGAGTCCAGGTGGACTGTGCACCAACCATCCACCGCCCAGATCCGGCACCCTCCCAATGTCATCCGTACGGCCGACTTGAAGGACGGCCTACGTGGGTAACATTCTAAATATGGTGCCGCTGTATGATGGATGCTGTTGGGCCGACGATTTACATGACACTTGTAGATATATATTTTAGAGTGATTGAAAGCTGTCGCCCGGTTTCACGTTCAAGGCGAGCACACAGAAGCTTGAATGTTGAGACGTATGTATAAACAAAAACAAACAAAAACTCGTGACATTCCCTTGAACGAATATCTCAGAACGTGGGTATCGGTTCAAGCGAACGGCGTTGACAGTACTTTGAAGCGGTGTCCGTGAAATCATCTCCAACTCACTTTGCCGAGCCCTCCGATTTAGAGTCAACGGCGTTGCCCGGCTGAGCGAGCCGAGTGAAAGAGCCGAGGCCGCATCAAGGGGGCACGGTGCGGTCCCCCGTGCGTGCAAAGAGCAGCGCCACAGCCGAGGGTGGGAAAGTGACAGCACACGAGAAGCTCAGCTCTGTGCTTTACTGCTGCTGTAGCTACCGCAGTAACTGCTGTAGCTACTGCTGAAGCTGCTGTAGTCCCTGCTGTAGCTACTGCTGAAGCTGATGTAGCCACTGCTGTAGCTACTGCTGTAGCTGCTGCTGTAGCTACTGCTGTAGCTACCGCAGTAACTGCTGTAGCTACTGCTGAAGCTGCTGTAGTCCCTGATGTAGCAACTGCTGAAGCTGATGTTGCCACTGCTGTAGTTACTGCTGTAGCTACTGCTGTAGCCATTGTAGCAACTGCTGTAGCTACTGCTGTTACAGCAGTAGCCATTGTAGCAACTGCTGTAGCTACTGCTGTAGCCATTGTAGGTGCTGCTGTAGCTTCTGCTGTAGTTACTGCTGTAGCTACTGCTGTAGGTGCTGCTGTAGCTACTGCTGTAGCCATTGTAGGTGCTGCTGTAGCTACTGCTGCTGTAGTTACTGCTGTAGCCATTGTAGCTGCTGCTGTAGCTACTGCTGTAGCTGCTGCTGCTGTAGCTACTGCTGTAGCCATTGTAGGTGCTGCTGTAGCTACTGCTGCTGTAGCTACTGCTGAAGCCCCTGTAGCTACTGCTGTAGCTGCTGCTGTAGCCATTGTAGGTGCTGCTGTAGCTACTGCTGTAGCTGCTGTAGCCACTGCTGTAGCTGCTGTAGCTACTGCTGTAGGTGCTGCTGTAGTTACTGCTGTAGCTGCTGCTGTAGCTACTGCTGTAGCCATTGTAGGTGCTGCTGTAGCTACTGCTGCTGTAGTTACTGCTGTAGCCATTGTAGCTGCTGCTGTAGCTACTGTTGTAGCTGCTGCTGCTGTAGCTACTGCTGTAGCCATTGTAGGTGCTGCTGTAGCTACTGCTGCTGTAGCTACTGCTGAAGCCCCTGTAGCTACTGCTGTAGCTGCTGCTGTAGCCATTGTAGGTGCTGCTGTAGCTACTGCTGTAGCTGCTGTAGCCACTGCTGTAGCTGCTGTAGCTACTGCTGTAGGTGCTGTAGCTACTGATGTAGGTGCTGCTGCTGTAGCTACTGCTGTAGGTGCTGCTGCTGTAGCTACTGCTGTAGGTGCTGTAGCTACTGATGTAGGTGCTGCTGCTGCTGCTGTAGCTACTGCTCTAGGTGCTGTAGCTGCTGCTGTAGCTACTGCTGAAGCTGCTGCCTCTGTAGCTCCTATCGCAACTGCTGTAGTTACTGCTGTAGATGATGTTGCTATAGCTGCTGCTGCAGCTGCTGCTGTAGCTATTGTGGCTACTGCTGCTGTAGTTACTGCTGCTGTTGTAGCTGCTGTTGCTGCTATAGCTGCAGTAATTTTTTTGAATCCTGTTTTTGTAATTCTGTGTCTCAGTGGGACCTTCTGTTTGAGCCGAGTGAATCCAGTCTCTGGTCTGGACAGTGCATTTCGGAACTGGTGATGCAGGCAGTCTGCTGGTCCTTAATTTCAAACCGTGTGAGAGCCGATTAAGACTTTAAAAAATGTCTCTCGTTCAGTGTAGACCCAAGTCATAACAAGGTTGATGTGCCACCACCACGACAACGAGGTTCAAATGACTGGTGACAATTAAATCAATGACGTGGATCCATCGACCAGTGAAATTTCACTGTCACATTAGTATGATAATGCGTCCTTCATTTCCACAGGTTGAAAATTGCTCAACCACCCATCACTGCAGTCGATCAATCAATCTGTGCATCAATTAACTTCACAACCAGACAGAGGCACGTTCGGAGGCTCCATCGGACGTGCAGATTGGAAATACGAGAGCCATCAGTCGATTAAATGAATCCATCAAGTCAATGAGCTGTTCAACCAGATGCAAAAAACATGATTTTCCTCTGGCTAGTGGGCTAAAAATACTCCACAGCAATCAATAAAATCAACACCAATCAATTAAATCGATCAGTCAATTAAATCTCATTTCGAGCCACCAACGTTTTAAAACTTAATAAGTGAACGGTTATAGGAGATTGCGACCCACGCAATATGAGCTCCCGTAATGTGTTCATCATCTGTTCATAAGGACTGCATTAATTTTCAGCGAAAAACCGCAGCTGAGGCCTTGTGGCCCTGGGGCCAAGTTCCAGGCCTTCAGATGGAATGGGGGAGCGTTATCAAATTGTAAAGCATTTTATATCCTTATATATATTTTTTAAATTCCCGAAGCAGATGGCTGCTCATAAATAGCACCCTCAGATATCCCCCTTCTCTCTGTGCCGCCGCCTTTGCTTGGCGTTTTCGACATCCGCACTTTTTTTTGCTTCCACTCGAGGTGATTTCCTCGTCGTGGATAGTTCACGACGATCGACATGTGAACATGTTGCGCCTTCTCTGTCTGTCTTCTTCATCAACCGCGTGTGACACTACTGGCTGCGGCACGCCACGTCCCGCTAATGGTAAAAGAATCCCGTGGTATTAACAATGAAGCAATTTTATTTTCTCTAAAAAAAATGCGAAAAAATTTTTCGTCAATTTGTTGGGTTTTCTCCAGGGCAAGTCTCTGTAATAGCAACACAACTTCATGCTATAAATGTCCACGTGATGGGCCACTTTGTTGAGCTATCATTTGTGGAAGCCAGGTGGCTTCTGGAAAATAAGCTAATACCTCCGTGGGCTTTGGCCTGGTAGGATAGGGATGGTTTAGTGTTGTGTTTGTGTGTTGGGAGATTTGTGAACCTTTCTTGTCCTCTGCTCGACTGTCGTGTTTTTGTACTGTTTGTTGTTGTAACGTTCTTACCCGCCCCTACTGGACATCTGCGAAAAAGAGCTTCATAGCTCATCCGATTCCTCCAGGATGAATAAATAGTCTTGTGTTCACGTTTACCCATTCTGCTCCGGTGAGCACGGTTGGCTACATACGGTGCGAAATAAGTTCAACATACGTGCGGTTCAATATACAACGCATCATGAGTTTGCGTACAGTTTTTTTTTGGGGGGGGGGTTGAATGGGTCCCTCATAATTTATACGGAGCGATCTTGCCAATAACATTTGGTCACCCAGACGCATTTGTTTAACAAGCCTGCCCTGCTGACGAGACCCGGAATATCGAACCGGTCCAGGGTGTTTTTTTTTTCTCTCTCTCTCTTGTTTGCTTAAACAAATCCTGTGGTGCAGCATCGGCGTGGGAAAGCCAATAGGCGCATTAGTGTGCCAACAGCGGAGCGATGATCGCTGCTCTGTCTGTGTGTGCAATCCCAATTGAGCCATTTGCTGAGCGATTTTCGAATTTGGCGAATTTTGGGTTCCTGACCGCCGGCACGCAACCCGTTCCTCTTGTTGAACGACGTCACGGGGCATGTGGACGGCGCGCAGCAGCAGTAGCATTACAATTGCTACACGCTGTGGTATTAACCGGGGCGGCTTCTGGAAACCGAACCGTGAGCCCCTACAGCAGGCACGTTAAACCCCATTCCCTCTGTGAGACGTCTGCTAGTTGCGTGGTATTGGGTGTCCCGTTCAGCACTGATTCTGGCGGCTCGGTGTTGATTTTATTCAGCGGAGGCGTCGGCAGCGCCGTTGTTTTTAAAGACGTCGTTACTCACCGCAGAGAACCGTAGCGACACGACCGCCATCACTCTACGAAAGCCGGCGCCAAACTCTGCTGCACGACCTGCCGCGTGGCCTTGTGGGAGCCTGGGTAGCTGATAACGTCATCTGATGACGGATGCTTGTGTTGCGCCCGAAACGTCGTGATTTATTTTATTTTATACCCACGTGACTTTACCGAAAGAACCAAAGAGTACGTCATTTTAGAGTTTTTCTTACGGCTCCATTGCCGAAAACTGGAAAATTCTTAAGCTGCACAAGGTCGAGAGAAGTGCAAATGGAATGCCTCCCATTGAACGTGGCAGTAAATCCCTGAATTTGAACGACATTCGTAGGGATGTGCATCAATGTCCGTGTTTTGCACCGTGCTATGCAGCGACGTCTATCGTGTTCGCCTTCACGACCCGCATTGACCAGCGCGGTGAAGTATGGTTCAATAATCCCCACGTCCCGCACAGCGCGGGGAGGTTCCTCATCCAGCAGTGGATTGACAAAAGGTCTGCACGCCTACGGACGTGCAAATCGCAGTGCGAAATAAGGAAAGCAATTTCCCCATGCATTGTAACATTTGTTACGGCGGTGTCGGAAGCAAAGGTCTCGTAGTAAAAAAAAATAATAATAAAATGTTTTGATAACCACGGGACATTTCATTACGTACGCATGCAGCCTGAACCAGAATCGCAACGCGTAACAACCCAACGGCATTTGCCGTTGTCACGAAGCTGTGCTTCAGCTGCGCGTTTTTTGTTTGCACACAAAGCTGAAGCGTTTTGACAGCTAATTATATGATAGCAATATTTTTGACAAAAGAGCGCAAAATCGTGTGGCGTCCAAGCGGAGATTTGCCACTGACTCTTTATTCACAGAGATCCAGAGACTCATAAAGAACCACAGAGACCCACAGAGACCCATACTCAACCGTATGTGCGTATGTACGTTGAACTTATTTCTCACCGTACGGAGCCAACCGTGCTAATCGGAGGGGCGGGGGGACAACAACACACTAAACACAATAATGGAGTTCCAAAGACGATGAGTTTTCAACCTACAAGGAACAAGCATTCTGCCTGGCGGCTGCAGGTGCTGGAGGTGAGGATGCAGCCGGAGCCAGAGGGAGCCGAGACTCCCGATCCTGACGCGGTGATAGCGACCGTCTCCTCCTCGTTGTCCTCATCGTCCACGACTTCTGCTGCTGCCGCTGCTTCCGGTGCCGCCACCTCCTCCTCCTCCTCTTCCACCTTCCCCTCCTCGTCGCTTCCGCCCCCCCCGGCGCCGTCCGGACCCGGCCCGGGCCTCCCGGCGTCGTCATCGCAGCTGCCGTACCCTCGCGGGCACCCGTCCAGCGCCAGCACAGGCTCTGGCGACGGGGCGGTGCCGTCCCTCAGGTGCGAGATGTTAACCCCCTGGACCGGTGCGCAGGAGGTCGTGGGGTCAATCCCAACCCGGACGACGGCTGTATATTTTTTGGAGGTTGCATGTTCTTCCCCACGGTCGCGTGGATTTGTCTCCGGGTCCTCCGCTTCCCGCCCCCCCCCCCCCCCCACCACTCCACACTATGGAGTACTTGACTGCGATACATTTCCACGCGATCAGCCACTCTGTTGAGCTATCATTTGTTAAAAGAATATTTTAGCTAAGTTCTAGCTGACCCCACGTGTGCATTTCTCTGAAAATCTGGCGGTTTACTGCCACCCCCCAATAGACCACACTCCACCTCACTCCCTCGCCCCCCCCCAGGCCTATGCATGCCCAGCAAAGCGACACCCTACCCCGGTATCCTAAACCCGAGCAACCCTCTTGCCCGCGCACACCACGCAAATTCAATCTCGCCCCCCGCCCCCCGGATGTTTGCAAGTCGCCGTCGTTTCCGAAGTGCGCTGTCACCGGCCAGCGCAGCGCAGTTTTAGCGTTCCTTCTTTGTCTCGCCACGGAGCACGAAGTGGCACCGCACGCGCGATCCGTGTACCCGTCCCTGCGCTCTCTCTCTCGCGAGCGCTCTACGTGTCCGTGGGCGTTTCAGACACTCTTCGGACCATGCTCCCCCAAAATAACCGAGAGGCTCGCCGAGTAATCTGGCCAAAGCGGGAGTCACGTTTTGTTGCTGCTGTTGCTGTTGCTGCTGCTGCTGTTGCTGCTGTTGCTGCTGCTGCTGCTGCGTGTGCGCGCCGTTTCTTGGCCAGGGTGAAGAGCGAGGCCGTGCGCCAGTCGCCGGGCTACCAGGCCGAGCTCGTCGTGCAGCTGGTGTGGGCCGACGGGGAGACCTCGCAGCTGCCCACCAGCTTGGAGGTCAGCTCCGCCTATGGCCTGTGAGTACCCCCAGGGGACATCGAGAGATGGTCATCATAATTATAATGATGACAAATATTAATATTTACTCGTTATTTTTCCGTAATATCCCGCGGCAGAATCGAAAACGGCAGCCACAAAGAGGGGTTCGCTGTCAGAATCAAATTTTGTCACGGTTTTTTTTGCGTTTTCCTTGTGAAATTTCTCCTCCCTCTCCCTTTGCTTTCGATGAATTCCCAGCGGTGGCCACTTAGCAGAGGTGAAATAAATCTTAGGGTAAACACAACAGGCCGGCCTGGATTTATTATTTCCCCCCCCCCCTCCCTTAAAATCGTCTCACAACAGGGTCGATAACAGGCACGGGCTCGCGTGTAAACGCCTGGAGGTTTGGACCAGGGGCAACGTTGTGAAGAAGAACTGACGAGGGAGAAACGGGATGCATAATCCCTCCTCGTTTATTGAATCCTTCTCAACGCACACGCATGGGATTTCCCTACGGGCACTCTGTGAGTGTGTGCGATTGTGAGCGTGTGCGATTGTGCGCGTGTGCGATTGTGCACGTGTGCGATTGTGCGCGTGTGGGGAGTGGTGGCGCAGCTCTGCGCTATGAACACGGTGACTCGAGTTTTTATTTCCGCTCACGGCCGTCACCAGTGACGATTATCTGAACCGGTCCTGGACCTTCCCTAGGTAGACTCAGCCTCAAATGAGCAAATGGTGCAGTGTGGAAACATCGTCACTGGGGAGACAAAGGCGGCCGGGCGTGGTGCTGGCCGCCCACGACCTTATGTGCTGGTGCCGGCCTTCATAGGTGCTGCTCGCTAACAGCACTTGTTGAGGCTACTATACTGGGTGGATCTTTTTGTCTTCGTGTCTTTGTGTGTAAGTTGTATTCGTTTATTTATTGCAACGTTTGCCCGAGTGCTCCACAAAGCGTAGGGCCTTGGGCAGTGACAGAATGTGCCGACTAACTCCGCCCGGCCGCCTTTGTCACTGGGGAGCCAAAGGCGGCCGGGCGCGGTGCTGGCCACCGACCCCCTCGGGCGCCGTGTCGGCCTTCGTAGGTGCTGGCTGAAAGCACTTGCTTCTGAGATGTGCTCAGGCTACACGTGGGATCTTTGTGTCTCTGTGTGTGCCTATACTGTGCAGGGTGGCGCTGGGTACTTGCAGTGGCCTCGTCGTGGTGGACGTCCTGCAGAGGAGCATTCTTCTCAGCCTGAGCTGCCTCGACCTCTACGGCTCCAGTGACCCCTACCAGAGACAACCCAAGTCTCCACGCAAGAGCAAGCAGCTGGCTGCTGGTGAGATACCCTCACCGACACACGCTGTGTGTCTCGGTAACCACGCACACAAGAGTTAAGCTGTGCACGAGACGGGACGTGCATGTGCTTCGGTAATTCTTAAGCTACTCGAGTTGCCCGTCTGTTGTATGAATGTACTACGTGAACCAGCGACCTTGGACGCTGCGTACTCGGCTGGAGGCCCCCATTCTCTCATCGTTTTTGTTTCCTCACCATTGTTTGACTCGTACTTTGCATGCCAACGAACTTAATTCTTCAGGCACGTCAGCCACTGTCATCGTTATTAAGTTGTTCATTAAATCACGTACGCGTTAACCACTTATGTATGCAATTATCTAGGTGTGATTAAAACGTATAATGGTAATACTAAGTGATTTAAATGCAGTGTGCCAGACGTCCTGAAAGAGCAAACACACTCTCCCCCACTATTAGACTGTCTTTCAGAGGGTTTTTCTTGAACCAATAATTATTTTAATTCCAATACAATAATAGTAATCAATCAGTCATGCACACTCCCCAGAAAGACAAATATTCCCCCGTATAGCCTTAATGGACTTCTTGGGCAAGCGCTGTGAGCGAGTAGCACCTATGAAGGCTGGAACGGTACACCAGGGGGTGGGTGGCCAGCACCACGCCCGGCCGCCTTTGTCTCTCCCGTGGCAATGTTTTTACACACTGCACCAGGTACTCATTTGAGGCTGAATCGACCTAGGGGAGGCCCAGGACCGGTTCATATAATCGCCGCTGGCTTTCACAGCGAGCGGGAATCGAACCCGGATCGCTGTTTGTATTGCAGCGCTCTCACCACTACACTATCGCTCCCTACCAAAGATGACAAAGATCCCCCGTGTAGCCTTACCGGACTGTAGGGGCAAGTGCTGTTAGCGAGCATCTATGAAGGCCGGAACGGTACACGAGGTGTTGGGTGGCCAGCACCACGCCCGACCGCCTTTGTCTCCCCAGTGGCGATGTTTTACACACCGTACCAGGTACTCATCTGCTGAGATCCGCCCAGACACGTTTTGACGTGGGCAGAGATTGCGTACCTTGGAACGGCCTGCCGCAGGATCTGAGGGCATTAGATTCGGCGAATGTTTTTGTTAAACGACATCTTTAAAACGTAATATTTTCAAGAATGGCTCTTTATTCGGATGCCCCAATTGTGTGCTTATCATGCTTTTAAAAAAAAAATATGATACCGAATTCACTATAATGTTGCGTCTTTCTTTAACGTATCAATCTTATCGTTGTTAAACATGGGTCCGTCGCTTTAAAATATTCTTGTAAAAGTACTTTGCAATTGCACGCGATGCACGTCATTGTGCTAGATCCACGTGCACAACATTTAATTTGACTTTCCAACGATACCCACCGGATGCGGTGGACAACCACTGTGTGACACGGATGAACGGGAGGTAAAAACACGCTCCCCCCCCTTCTGCTTGTTTACTTAATGGGGCCCGAGAGGGGATTGGTTAGAGGCAGGGCAGTCGAAGGGGATTGCAGGTAGAAGTACAACAGTGGATGAGAGAGGGAAACGGGAGGATGATCGACGGGGTGGGACGATGGGAATCCGTTCGGAAAAGTGTGGGAAGATGAGTGGCTGGAGGGAAAGTGGAAGGTGAAGGAACCTTCGGGCAAGTGACTTGAGGGATACAAGTGGGGGGGAAGCGAGAGAGTTCGGGACGCTTGGAGCGAAAGGAATCCTTTAAGATCACCGTGTATGCCTCGAGCTGGAAGCAACAAAGACTCCTGCTGCTGAAGACTACTTTTGTCGGGTGTCACTACACGTGCCACCCAAAGCTGCCCCCTTGCTAATTGCCCCGTATTTTGTTGTCATCGCCGTCATGTGCAGCCGTGACTCACACGCACGCGCGCGCGCGTCATTGTGTGTTGGGGTTATTTTTTTGACCCAGAGCGCGCGGAGCGTCTTCGTGAGGCGTCGGCGTAATTGGGGTGACAGCCGTGCAGATCCCTCCGCACTTGGGAGATATTTTTGGTGCCTCCCACGGCTGTGAGCCCTAAGGCATCGTACCTGATCACCCCCCCCCCCATCGCTCCCCACCTGCCCTCCAGCTAAGGTGGCAGGGTGGCAGCAGTCGTCACGCTGATTGTGTCTCATAGTACAGGTAAGAGATGGAACGGGTGAGAGCATGAACAGGGGAGACCCTGGGCAGGTGAGAGCCTGGACAGGTAAGGGTCTGGACAGGTGAGCATCTGAACAGGTGTGAGCCTTAAGCTGCTGCTTGAAGGTGGTTGATGGTGCTTGGATGCTGCTGTTGCTGCTGCTGCGAATGTGCAGCAGTGGAAGAGAGAGACAGTTCCAGACGGCTGCTGGTGGTGCAGCTACGGAGGAAACCGCCCCTCTCAGCCGCAGGGGATGGCCCCGGTCGTGCAGGGTGCGATGAGCAGCAGCAGCAGGTCGTAAGATGAACTGCGTAGGACACGGCGACTTGCCCGGGGTACATTGGGGAGTGACAAGGGTGGAGGAGAGGTGAGGTAGAGATACCTTAGAGAGAGAGAGAGCACGATGGCACAGATGATCGCGATGTTGTACTTGCTACTCCTGGAGTGGATGGGGAACCAGTGGAGGGATTTTCAGCGGGGCCATTGAAGCCGCGTGACTTGTTAGGAATTGTCGGCACATCCATCGTTTGTTGTCCGAACCACGCATGGGTGGGCGGGGGGCATCGTTCTCAGCGATTCTAACGCCCCGCGGGTCACCGTTGACAAGAGTCACCCATGGCCCGTAGCAACAATGGCAATATCTTTAAAATCTTACCCTGCTATCTTCTCCGAGCTCTCCTTGCCTCGTATCCCGTAGATTGCATCGTCGCTTGCCGTTTGTCCGTCCCAGGCTGCCCGAGTGAGCTGCTTCACGGAGCAAACGAATGTTCGTTTTCAGTCACACCGTCGGCCCGCTCGCGCTCACGGCGGCACCAAACGGCTCCGGAAGACGTCTTGGCAGCTGAAGACGTCTTCGCAACCAGAAGACGCTTTTGCAATGGAAGACGTCTTCGCAACGGTTAAACCTGCCGGTTATATCCGCGGGCGGGCGGACGGGCGGGCGGGCAGATGTCGATTTGCGCCGTGGGTGAACCCGCGCCGAGCACGGTCGGCTACGTACGGCGCGGAAGAAGTTCCGCTATCTCGATGGGCGCGCGCGCGCGCCGGGTTCATCGCTGGGCGGCTCCTCGCGTTGCCGTGGGGGGGGGTCGAAAAAGAGACGCGGGCGGGCAAGTGAAAGCGATAGCTTGAAGAAGTCAACGAAAAACAGAGGAGGGCGCACCGCACATCTTCACCACCACTACCACCACCCCCTACCCCCCCCCGTCTTGCTGTGCGTAGGTAAACAGTCAACATGTTTGCGTTGCATCATCCGCGTGTGTTTTTTTGCTTCATCCGTCGGTTCTGTTTTTTTTTTAACCTCGACGTAACCCCGCCACCCACCCACCCACCCCGGATTCTAATCAAAGCATCAGACTGTGCTTCTGAAATCGCTTCAATCGGGCTTGCGCACCCAAAGGCAGGCAACTTGGGTGATCCAGCCGTCAGACAAAACCCGTACGTCTTTTTTATTTTAATTGATTTATTTCAGTTCCATGCGCGCGCGTGTGTGTGTGTGTCGTATTTGATTTCTCAGACCTTCTCTGCCTCAGAAGTGTGAGGCAGTTTCATTATTGTTTTTTTTAAACAACCGCGAATGGTTGGCTCTGTGGATTTGTCCCATGGGCTCACAAGGGCAAAGCTTCCCACAATGCAATGTGCCAGCAACATTTAGTAATTTTAATATGAATGAGTGGATGTATTCGTAATACTTTTCCATTCGTGAAGGGGTTTGTCTGTTACTCGTGAGCTACTATAAAGTACTTATTCAAATGTCCAGTTAACCCTTTCCCGTTCCCAGACATCTGAAAGTTTGCAGGGTGGGTGTCCGTTTAATATGAAAGCGGTGAGCGTTAATTTTATTTCGAGAGACGTAGCGCCTTTGTTTTTGTTTTAAATACATCGTTACTCAACGCTGAAAACTGTAGCGACACGACCGCTGGCGGCCAAACTGTGCCACACGCCCCTCCCGCATGGCCTTGCGGGAGCCTCGGTACTGATGAAAAATGTATTTTCTTTTAGTGTTTCTTTCTGAGTACCTTTAAAAAAAATGGTACTGGGAAAACAATTTTAAAACGTAAATCTCATCAGGCCGCATCGCGTGTTACAGAGTGCCGGGCAACCATTACGCCCGCGGGTGGCAGCATCCACTTCGGGAAGGGGAGGGAAGTGAGCAAAACTTTTCCCCCTGAATTGTTCTTCGGTCCGATTGCCACCCCCCGCCCCCCGCCCCCGCCCCCACCCCCCAGGCCTGGCTGACATCACAGAGGGTATCGGGGCCCCGGACACAGAGAGGAGCCGCTCGCCAAGTTCAGGTGAGAGAGCTCCGACATGACACGGCCCTCGGGCCACGTTGGCAGCCGAACGCCGTCTGTACACACGCACATGGACACACACACACACAAGGATCCCCCGTGTAGCCTTAACAGACTGTCGGGGCAAGTGCTGTGAGCGAGCACCGCTCAAGGCCGGAACGTTACACGGGTGGGTGGGTGGCCAGCACCACGCCCGGCCACCTTTGTCTCCCCAATGGCGATGTTTTTACACACCGCACCAGGTACTCATTTGAGGCAGAGTCGACCTAGGGGAGGCCCAGAACCAGTTCAAATAATCGTCACCGGTGTTGGCCGTGAGCAGGAAACGAACACGGGTCGCCGGTTTCACAGTGCGCTAACCACTACACTACCGCTTCCCCGGACACACACAGACAGACACACGGACACGCACACACGGACACACAGACAGACACACACGGACACACGTGCGCGCTTGTGTAGCACGGCACCCCCCCCCCCCCTCTCGACTCCCCCCTACACGTCCGCCGCCCCCCCCTCCCCCCTCAAAAAAGAAAGCAGTCGTTGTGATTCGCGTGTCACAAAAAAAGTTTCATTCCCACACTCGGCGAGATTTCCCATTACCCTCACACCCTGGCGAGAGCCGAAAAAGCCTCCTATGAGCTACACATGTTTGCTGGCAGTTTCGTTGGAAGCGCACCGAATTACGGGTAGGCGCGATGGCATTTCGCACACGGCACGATGTGATTAATTGTATTACCAGCCCCGATATTGTTTTCCCGTAACTCCGTGATTGTATTTGTGGTTGTTGTTGTTGTTGTTTTTCCCGTCGAGTAGGAATGAAGTACGCTTCAGTTGTTCATTCGGCTGCACTCGGTTCTGATAAGCCTGCCGTAAGAGAAAGAACCCTTTGTAATTATTCAAACTTTTGCCACGGCCACACCGCGGACGACGCTGCTACGTTATTGAGCCGCTCGGCTCGATGCGGGCGGGCGGCAGTGAGTGGCGGGTCGCGACCTCGGGGCCGCGGCTTTAAACGCCGCACTGGTTGAGTGACGGTCGCTCAATCGAAGGTGGTGGTGGTGGTGGGGGCTCAATTATTGTTGTTGTAATTTTTTTTCTGGCTTTTCGGCAACGTGCCTCTGGCGCGTTGCCGAAAAGCTAAATCAGTCGGCAGCGTTGATTGGCTCTGGTATCCCGGATGGCTCTGTGGGATAGAACTGCCAATCGGCATTGCACATTCACGTGACGATCTGACCCATAGGGTAACGAATTATACACTATGTAACACAATTTTTGTTCCTGGGTAGTAAGTTTTATTTCCTAATTGCTTATGCTTAAAAATAAAATAAAATGCTATTATTCCCCACAAATTTTGCTTTTGCGACCAGGACAATGATATTTTGAAATGTACCTATTTTCAATGAGAAAATGGGAGAAATTTGTGTCTTTTCGTTCACATAACATCAGAAAAAACAACATATGAATCTAAATAAACATGTATTTACACTAAAGTAATACAAAATGACTACAAAATATTTAGAAATTTAGTAGTTTTTCCAGATTTACGGTTATATTGTAGATCATTTTCACGAATCAGTCCCCAAATGTAGTCTCCCATCATGGTCTCGTTATACTGTCCTTGGTAGCGACATTCAAAGTCCATTATATCCTGGTGGAAGCGCTCGCCTTGCTCCTCCGAGTACGCTCCCATGTTCTCCTTGAATTTATCAAGATGAGCATCAAGGATATGGACTTTGAGGGACATCCTACAGCCCATTGTGCCGTAGTTCTTCACGAGAGTCTCAAACAGCTCCACATAGTTTTTGACCTTGTGATTGCCCAGGAAGCCACGAACCACTGCGACAAAGCTGTCCCAAGCTGCTTTCTCCTCACTAGTGAGCTTCTTGGGGAATTAATTGCACTCCAGGATCTTCTTTATCTGTGGTCCGACGAAGACACCGGCTTTGACCTTTGCCTCAGACAGCTTAGGGAAGAAGTCTTGAAGGTACATGAAGGCTGCTGACTCCTTATCTACAGCTCTGACAAATTGTTTCATGAGGCCCAATTTGATGTGCAGTGGTGACATCAGCACCTTCCGGGGGTCCACCAGTGGCTCCCACCTGACGTTGTTCCTCCCCACAGAGAACTTGGTCCACTGTGGCCAGTCCCGCCTGTGGTAGTGCGCCTTGGTGTCCCTGCTGTGCCAAAGGCAAAGACAGCAGGGAAACTTGGTAAACCCGCCTTGGAGATCCATCAGGAATGCCACCATTTTGAAGTCTCCGATGACCTCCCAGCCGTACTCATCATATTTCAAGGCGTCCAGTAAGGTCTTGATGCTGTTGTAATCCTCTTTGAGGTGCACCGAGTGAGCCAGGGGAAGAGACGGGTACTTGTTACCATTATGGAGCAGCACGGCTTTGAGGCTCCTGGATGAGCTGTCAATGAAGAGACGCCACTCATTCTGGTTATAGGCGATTCTGATTGACTCGAACAGACTGGTCATATTGTGGCAGAAGCAGAGCCCATCTTGACGGGCGAAGATGCTGCAAAAAGGTTGGTGACACTTCCTCTGATCTGCGACTTCACACTTTCATCCAACAAGTTCCACTGCTTGAGCCTAGATGTCAAAAGCTCGGCATTGGACTTGCTGAGACCAAGATCTCTGATCAATTCGTTGAGGTATTTTTGGTTGGGGTAGTATGGGTTTCTCTCTTCAGCTCCACCTCTGAAATTGTCATCTGGATCTACAACATCTTCCTCGCTCTCTAACTTGCTGCTCTCTTCTAAAGACGGCTGCTCTCTCTCCGGAGGAGTGGGTACGGGGAGCTCATGGCAGCGTGGCACCGGGGCTATGGATGATAGCAGGTCCATTCTTACCTGTCCCACGTTTGGAAGGGTCCACCATGCAGACGTAGCAGTTGCTTGAGTGGTCAGTGGGTTCCTGCCAAATTCTTGGAATAGCAAACTTCATGGCCCTCTTTTCCCATCTGGGCCATCCTACAAAAATACATTTATTTCACCCATGACTCATAGGTAAGAGATTATCGCAACACTTTTTCATGTATGATATATTTTTTCAATAACATTGAAAATTGTAAAACATTTTAAAATTAAAAACTTTTACAATAAAAAAATTACATCATTAGACCTCGTTTGCCAGTACCAAAATATAATAATAGGGGTTTGTTGCCAGAAAAAAAAAGGGGAAAAACCCCTATACTTACAATAAAAAAATTGTTAACAAATTTCATGAAGTAAAATTCCGAGCAAAAATTGTCCATCTTACTTTCCAGAGGTTTTTTTTACATTGCTCGCAGGTGAAATGGGGTGCCGAGGGTTTGTCTTGATCCCCGACAGGCATGCCGAAATATGCCTTGTAGGCCTCACACATCTGGGCAGATTCTTCCACAAGTACTTTTTCGCTCTTGTCTTGATAAATTGGTCGCAGACATAGCAAAATGCGTTTGCCAGATGCTTGCAGCCTCTTGATGCCATCTCAGAAAAATGCAGATACAGTGAGGGAAAAAAGCATTTGATCCCCTGCTGATTTTGTACATTTGCCCACTGACAAAGAAATGATCAGTCTATCATTTTAATGGTAGGTTTATTTGAACAGTGAGAGACAGAATAACAACAAATAAATCCAGAAAAACGCATGTCAAAAATGTTATAAATTGATTTGCATTATAATGAGGGAAATAAGTATTTGACCCCCTCTCAATCAGAAAGATTTCTGGCTCCCAGGTGTCTTTTATATAGGTAACGAGCTGAGATTAGGAGCACACTCTTAAAGGGAGTGCTCCGAATCTTAGCTTGTTACCTGTATAAAAGACACCTGTCCACAGAAGCAATCAATCAATCAGGTTCCAAACTCTCCACCATGGCCAAGACCAAAGAGCTCTCCAAGGATGTCAGGGACAAGATTGTAGACCTACACAAGGCTGGAATGGGCTACAAGACCATTGCCAAGCAGCTTGGTGAGAAGGTGCCAACAGTTGGTGCGATTATTCGCAAATGGAAGAAACACAAAATAACTGTCAATCTCCCTCGGCCTGAGGCTCCATGCAAGATCTCACCTCGTGGAGTTGCAATGATCATGAGAACGGTGAGGAATCAGCCCAGAACTACACGGGAGGATCTTGTCAATTATCTCAAGGCAGCTGGGACCATAGTCACCAAGAAAACAATTGGAAACACACTACGCCGTGAAGAACTGAAATCCTGCAGCACCCGCAAGGTCCCCCTGCTCAAGAAAGCACATATACATGCCCGTCTGAAGTTTGCCAATGAACATCTGAATGATTCAGAGGACAACTGGGTGAAAATGTTGTCATCAGATGAGACCAAAATGGAGCTCTTTGGCATCAACTCAACTCGCCGTGTTTGGAGGAGGAATGCTGCTTATGACCCCAAGAACACCATCCCTACCGTCAAACATGGAGGTGGAAACATTATGCTGTGGGGGTGTTTTTCTGCTAAGGGGACAGGACAACTTCACCGCATCAAAGGGACGATGGACGGGGCCATGTACCGTCAAATCTTGGGTGAGAACCTCCTTCCCACAGCCAGGGCATTGAAAATGGGTCGTGGATAGGTATTCCAGCATGACAATGACCCAAAACACACGGCCAAGGCAACAAAGGAGTGGCTCAAGAAGAAGCACATTAAGGTCCTGGAGTGGCCTAGCCAGTCTCCAGACCTTATTCCCATAGAAAATCTGTGGAGGGAGTTGAAGGTTCGAGTTGCCAAACGTCAGCCTCGAAACCTTAATGACTTGGAGGAGATCTGCAAAGAGGAGTGGGACAAAATCCCTCCTGAGATGTGTGCAAACCTGGTGGCCAACTACAAGAAACGTCTGACCTCTGTGATTGCCAACAAGGGTTTTGCCACCAAGTACTAAGTCATGTTTTGCAGAGGGGTCAAATACTTATTTCCCTCATTAAAATGCAAATCAATTAATACAATTTTTGACATGCGTTTTTCTGGATTTTTTTGTTGTTATTCTGTCTCTCACTGTTCAAATAAACCTACCATTAAAATTATAGACTTATCATTTCTTTGTCAGTGGGCAAACGTACAAAATCAGCAGGGGATAAAATACTTTTTGCCCTCACTGTATGTATCCATTTAGGCAGCTGGAACTAAACTGAACTGGTGGGCTTAAGGCCCCTATATTTTTTCTACTTTGTATATTACTGGAAAGTTCTAGAATGTTCTAGAAGTTGATCCAAGTTTACTCAGCACTGAATCTATCTGGAATGTTCTGGAAAATAGGTAAATTTCAAAATATCACTGTCCTGGTTACAAAAGCACAGTTTGTTGGGAATAATAGCCATTTTCTGTACTTTTGAGGCATACAAAATTCGAAAATAACACTTACTACCCAGGAACAAAAAAATAATAAAATTGTTACACAGTGTTATTAATGGGGTGGATTATTAACTTTGCTTTGTGTCCTGGTCACCAAAGCAAAGTTTGTAGGGAATAATAATAGCCATCTTCTGTACTTTTGAGGCATAAGCAATTGGAATAATAACACTTAGTACCCAGGAACCAAAATAAATGTTTTGTTACACGGTGTTATCAATCGCAGCAGTTGTCGTGCAAGCCTCGGGTGGAATTTTTGTTTTTTATAATTAATCCCTTACAGTCGGGAGATCTGAGTCGAGTATACAGTATACATTTAGTTCTTCTTATTGCAGTTTTACCACTATGATGATTATTATTATCATCATCAATGCGACTAAACTATGATTTAAATTTGATGTGTTTGCCTTTTTAATCAAAAATGCAATGCGGGGGTGCATTTTCTTCACGAGAAAATGTTTGGTCCGCTGTGTAAATTACTATTCCCGCTCACTGACTTCTGAACAAACTACTATACAGTATATACACACACGTACATATTTATCCTACGTCTATTTCATTTCGAACATTCCCATTGCACTACTGCTTGCTCTCTTTTCGTGAGACTTAAACGAAATTGAAAATGCAGAGAGAACGATTATGTAATTGGCCAGGTGTTGTGCACGCGGTTTGAAAAAAAACATACACTTTGTTGTTCCTGCATAAGTCTTCAAGCGGCCCTGCTCCCGTTAACAATGAGCTACACACAAATGCAAAGATCCCCCGTGTAGACTTAACAGACACTCGGGTAAAGTGCTGTGAGCAAGCACCTGTGAAGGCCAGGCACGGCACACGAGGGGGTGGGTGGCCAGCACCACGCCAGGCCGCCTTTGTCTTCCCAAGTGGCTGATGTTTACACACCGCACCAGGTACCCATTTAAAGCCCAGGACTGGTTCAGCTGATCGTCACTGGTGTTGATCTTGAGCGGGAATCGGGTGGCCAGGTGTCCTAGCGCTGGTCGCTAACCACCGCGCACACACACACACGAGGCTCCCCGAACGGCATTAGTCACCGTATTGTTTGATAGGGCAGATGAAGGTTTAAACAAAGTGACTCAGGGCGATGAGTCATGTTTCTCATACTCCTCAGTGTTGCATTTCTTGGTATCTTTCCTTGAGGAAAGTGGCCAATTAAATCTGAAGACGGTCGGCCTTGCAGACTGCTGGCAGGGATTAAACTAATGATTGCTAATTGCTAATTCGCCTCATTGTCGAGCCCGCACCTTTATATGCGCGTCTTTTTGTTGTTTTGAAGAAAAAGCCACCTTCTGTCACAGCTACTCGATGTCACGCTGTTAGACTGGTCACACCCCCCCCCCCCAAACAAAAAAACCACATAAACGCACACAGCTGTTGTGAGAGTCGTGGATGATGAAAAGGGAGCCGCTTGTGTTGCGATCGAAACGTCGTGGGTTCTTTTTGCTTTCTTCAATTTTAAATGTATTATTTTTTATTTTAAATATTTTTTATTTCAATTTCATTTCATTGTTTTTATTTGTACTTTCTATCTGCGCGACTTTACCGAGAGAGAACCAAGAATGTGGGAGCCCGGTAGGTAGACGCGGGGTTTCCTCTGCAGGCTGTGCACGCTCGTGGGGTTTCATTTCTCTCCGTTAAGCATCATCGGCCGCGCCTGTGCGGTTTCTACGGATTTTGCAAACTGGCCCCCCGCTGCCTCCCGTTGCTGACGGATATTTTCCAAAATACTGCACAGACGGACTGAAATTAATTTCTACACGTACGAGCATTTTCCGCCCCACCCCCCCACCCCTCTCCGATGTAATTCTGTAAGTGACGCAGACTTTGTGCTGACCCATTGCCCACAACAAAGTTGACACAGGGCCGCAGGGTAAACATGCACCAGGATGGGGTCATGTACACCTCATATATTTGTGAATGACACCCAAGTGTCCCAGATTTCTCATCTTCCCAATGGCCGTTTAATATGCGGCGACTAACCTCCAATTAAATACCCACGCATCTCGAAGCTCGTGGTAATTTGTTGCGCGATTGATGGGCAGTTATGCATCGGTGTATTGGCAAAAATCGCTGGCCTTTTGTTAAGCTCCGTGTCTGCGATGAGCTCACCCGCTATTAAGCACTCGCACAGTTCCAGTTAACGGACGCACTGTTAACGCACGGTTAACGCACTTACTCTCTCTGAACGAGGTGTTTTCCTCCTCATTTGCCGCTCATTTGTCCTCTTAATGGAGAGGGTGCTGCCACGCTGACTGGAGGAAGCTGTTCCTTTAGGGGTCCCTGTGCCACACTGTGGATTAATTGAACGCAATATGAAATGGTTACAAGATACAGAAGTGGGTAATAATACACCTTCCCATATCCGTACTGCAACATTAAAAAATAAAAACATTCTTTACACGCGTGCCATCAGCCACCACGGCTTTCTGGGAGTACGTTTTTTTTTTCTTCCAGCAGCATTGTTTTAATAAATAAGACACTCCTGAACGTAAATCGCTCCCAGAAGGCCGTGTGGCCGATGGCGTGTGTAAAATTAAATCTCCCTTTGTGTTTTTTTTTTATTTTTCACGTGGAGGAACAGATATGTGAAGGAGACGCAAGCGATTATTCTTCTTCGTCTATTATTCTGCCTCACTTGGCAAGGAATTAAGGCTGCGACGCATGGACATTCGATAGCTTTCCCTCTCACGAAATCCATCACGATACATCGCAAACTGTGGGTACGGTAGAAGCACAACGTCGGTACAACGTCACCTATCTGGCTGCCACTTATCCGCCCCCACTTATTTGTGGCCCACACTCCCAAGTGTGGTGTCCGCGCGTAGTATCACAGTAATCATCTGTAGATATTCACAAATGCCACCTTTTTCACTGACAGCCACACATTCTTAATCCTCCGTACATTCGCTCTCTTTCAAACCTCAGGAAGGTTTTGTGGCGTGTTTAAAGCGGCTTACTCTTTAAATTTGTAAAGTGACTTACTTGTGCGTGGTGTAACTGTCACTTTATTTTGATGTTCACATATCCGACTTTTCACATAGCTGCCTATACCTCCGTTCTCAACGCTTCGGATATTAGACACTGTACTGTACTGCCAAGTGCCCTGACCTCTAAACTGTCTTTTTTTTCTCACGTTAAAATGTCTTAACTTTCTCAAATGCGCAATTGGGCCACAAGTATCTTCACTGGCAGTTCATTGCCAGTGGTGGAAAGTCCTCATTCCCATGGCGAGGGGCAGATCATCCAAAAGGGTAAGCACAGGTGACCACTCCCACCCAGTGAAGTTTATGCGTAGGGCATCGATAGGGATTGCGACATCACAGGACCGTGAGAGATGGAGACGGCTTAGGGAGGCCTTCATCCAGCAGTGGATTGATCATGGCTGATCATCACGATGATGGGGGAGGTTATTTCACCAACTCCAGAGGAATGGTGGTAGTGGTGATGATGATGATGTTGTTATTTGCCGTCAATTGACCCTGGTCAGCATTTGAACTCAGGCTCTCACTGATGAGAGCCTCTGCCTGCTGTTAAATCAGGCCCGAGTTACGTTGTGACACGTATGCTCCTCAAATTTCCCCACGGTTGATTTGGTTTCGCCTATCGCCGGGTGGGTTACGTTAATTATTGCAACGTCACGTCATCTCGCTCGTAAGTTTAAATGTTTGAATAAAAAAAAAACAAATCTTGACAATTTTTTTTAAAAAAATTTCTTTGTTTCTGCATTTTCTGCGGCATGTTCGTTCCTTGACTCTTCATGCATGTTCAAGTGCTGTATTGCTTTTTCTCTTTGCCGCTACATTTTCCACAGTAGTGCGATCACGAAGATGGAGTTTTGTTTATTTAACAGGTACATCTGTGCCCTGGTATACGCTGCCCGTGTATACCATACCACGCTTGTTGCCGTGTGTTTGTATTCTCACCGTGCAACAGAAAGTCACAAACTGGCTTCTCAGGAGGCGAGCACCAGAGGTTCCTGGGGCTGAAAATCTCTCCGCTTTGTCATTCTTCTTGCATGAAAAAAAAAACTTTTATCTGAAATTATAGAGCAGTCTGTGCCTTTCAGCCAGATGACATTCTCACGAGCGAATTAAATACACAGATGGGGAGGAGACAGAAGGATGTAAAATTATGGACATTTTATTTTACTGTCACGCCTCGGCAACGATTGACATGATGATAAATTTGGCGTGAACGTGGTTTTCCATTGGCAGATGTTGGTACGCAAGATAGTAACGCTGGTCGGAGCCGGTTTTGGTGAAGGGAGTCACATTTTGTCTCGACTCTTGCTAACCACTCCCCTGGTGTGGCCGCCCCTATCCAGTGGAGCTGCTCAGGCTTACGAAGAAATGGGACATGGAGCTTCTCTGCCACAACAAGGCAGCGAGCCACTGACGAATTATGAAAAAAGAATAATCATGTTTTTTAAAAAAATTATATTTCAGTAGGAGCCCGGTACAAAGCAAAAACCGTGATGCGGGGGTGGGGGGGTACAGAAACTGCGCAGACAGAAGTCCCGAAGGCTGTGCGCCTGGGTTTAGATGGGGAGGGGGGGGGAAGATTGGGCTCGCTGCTGCCCCGCCACGTGGGGACCACGAGTGGGGCGTGCGTATGCGTGTGTGTGCCTGTGTGTGTGCGCGTGTGTGTGTGTGTGTGTGTTCGCGTGTGTGTGTGCGTGTGTGTGTGTTCGCGCGTGTGTGCGTGTGTGTGTGGGCCTGTGTGTGTGCGCGTGTATGTGTGCGTGTGTGTGTTCGCGCGTGTGTGCGTGTGTGTGTTCGCGCGTGTGTGCGTGTGTGTGTTCGCGCGTGCGTGTGTGCGTGCGTGCGCGTGTGTACTTTTGTGTGCGTGCGTGTCTGTGTGCGTGCGTGTGTGCGCGTGTGTGCCTGTGTGTGCGTGTGTGTGTTCGCGCGTGTTTGCGTGTGTGTGTTCGCGCCTGTGTGCGTGTGTGTGTGTTCGCGCGTGTGTGTGCGTGCGTGTGTGTGCATGTGCGTGTGTGTGCATGTGCGTGTGTGTGCGTGTGTTGACGTGTGTGCGTGCGTGTGGGAAGGTGAAGGTGAGGGGAATAAGAGCTTAAGGAAGGGAGTAGAGGCAGTGCGGGGGGGGGGAGTTATGGATGAAGGAAAGGGAGGAGCACTTAGGAATGAATCACTTACAAGCGCTGTGGTGAACTTATCAACCTGTCATAGTTTCGTAGGGCGCTAATTAACTCCCGCCCATCCCTGGAGGAAGGGCGGGAGGCATTCCATGCACCTCTCCCCGCCGACCTGCCGGAGTACCTCGCACCTCGCTCCACAGAAATGGGGAGCGTGTGGCCTCGAACTCCCGTTCCCTTGCCTTCACGTTTGTGGCTTAAATGGCGTGGAGGGTACCGTGCCATTGTTTCCATGAAGGGGGACGAATGACTCATTGATATATATGCAGGGTGCTTTAAAAAAAATGTTAAGACTTCTGAGAATTTGCAACGATACCACAATAAATGTGCTGCCCCTGGGCTCTTGAGACCACCTGGAGATGATTCCAGGCACGCGTTGACAAGGATGGCGAACAAGTGGAGACTTTTTGAAGCCATAAACATATATTTCTTATCACGTTACAGTGTATTATCCGTTCTTTCTCCATTAAAAACGATAGTCCCATGTAAGTGTTAACATTTATTTGAAGCAACCTGTATATACACACCACATTTAAAAATCAATTTAAATAGCGTAACGATGTAAATGCTCGCCCGTCGCATTCGGTGCATCTCGGGCAGGAATGGGGAAGGCCCTTGCGTGTTCTTCGCGGTGCCCGTAATTTTTGGCTTGTTGCTGCCCGAATGAATCGTGAAACGTTGAGGCCGAAAATTCACCGGAGACGTTTTTTTTGGCAACTCGTTACAATTTCACGGAATATTTGCCCACGAGACTGCGGTAACATTGCAGTGGCCGCACACGCAAGCATGGCGCTACACGGACACCTCCGATTAGCCGTGACGCTATACCACACCTGCGATTTGCACGGTTGGCTGCGTGTGGCGCGAAAGAAATTCAACATACACACGCGCATACATACACACACAGCCCTTTTGTCAATCCGTTGCTGGATGAGGGCCTCCCCATGCCATGTGCCTCTGTGGGGGTCAGTTGACCGTCACCCGCCACCCTCGTTTGCCAGTTGCGGGTCCGCTGCTGGTGGGAAGCGTGGACACGTGACCATAGCAGTACAGCAGAGCGTATTGTGTTTCACTGCACTTTGCTACCCACAATGGAGTACCGTGACCCATCCCACGGTGGTCGCCCACCAGAGCACCGTCCATTCTCAGCGCTCAGCTTCTGAGATCCGATGGGATCGTGCAAATCTGAGTGATTTGATCATGGGCGATTCCATCTCCTTCCTGGCGATAGCAACAACTACGAAGGGTTGGATCGAGCATAGACATTCAGTGAATGTGCATCATCGGATGCTTAGTGAACTCTCGCCGTCTCACCGACGGGAAGAAGTGAATATCGGTGTTGGGAGGGGGGGGGCGACCGTTCGCGATTATTTTTGTTGCGTGGAGTACGCCCTGGCACAGCTGCAGCGTAGATCGTCCCGTAATCATCGCCGCCCGTGCATCAGATGTTGGATATCCCGATGCGGTTGATGATCCACGCACTGCCGCTGGATCGGTAATACATGCACGGGAACCCCTGCAGCTTCATCTCGGTCCCGAGCTCCAACGACTGAATTGATAAACGTAGAGGAGTTTACACAAGTGGTCCTGAGAAGCCAGTTTCCTTCTTTTTGAGCACCCCCATTACTATTCCATCCATGTACTTTATTCTTTTTGTTACTTACAAATCAGGGCGCGATAAAAAAACGCCGCAACCCGCGGCACCGCGGCCGAACCGTCGGCCCCGGTGCCGCGCGCCTCGCATCGAGCGCCGCGGTCCTCGCTGTCGTCACCCACCGCTCGTGTCTTGACGGGCAGGGCGAGGAGGTGGCTGCCGGGCGTCTTCTGTTGTCGGCGGCGCGTAATGAAATGTGCGTTTCGCCCCGTGAGAGATTCAACTCCCGATCCTCCGCACCACCCCCCTCCCTGCCCCCCCCCACCCCCCAAGCAGTGGGAGGGGTCAAAGGGCACGCGTGCTGTGCTACTGCGATTCGTGACACATTCGCAAAGCCGCGCCTAACTTTTCAATGTACACGTTGATCTTCTTTCGCACCTTACGTAGCCAACCGTGCTAATCGGAGGTGAAGATCTCTTGTAAGCCGGATTTGTGCATTGCCAGTGAAACGTATTTATAAAATATAAAGATAATACAGCTATTACAAGTAATACATCTATTTTCAATTAGGTAATGTAATACATAAATGTTGTACGTGGTTCACATATTCATGCAATATTATGCTAATCTGGAAATGAATTAAGCATGGAGATTTTTAATATTTAGCATAAATGCTCAGGGCACATTTTGTATGCTGAAACACAACTCTTAATTACTGTAATTGGTTAGTTTAATTATGCATGATGCTTACCATTTTGTTCATATTTTCTTTGTAAATAACGATGCGTTGGAATGCTGACACCCACTCACTTTGGATTAAAACTCATTGTAAGTGTAAATTTTAGTTTGTAAAAAAATCGCAACAAATATCCTGTACACAGCACGTACATTATCCAGAAAGAATATGAATTACGACGATAAGAGTCTATTTATTTTCTTTGTTTCTCTAATAGCTTCACTAATTCGGAGAGGTGCGTCGTTATTCAACTTCGCGATGCAACATTTCCCCTGGTTACCATCCAGGTAACCAGCTTTGACTGCTCATAAATCGTCGAATGAAGAAGAATACCAAATGCGTGGGTTATCTCTCCTTCCGTCCTCACTTGATTGAGAGCAATTGCGATGCTCTTTGAAGGCAAGATGATGGCTCCCACACGATGGACATATCCTTATGGAAACCTTCCATTTTAACAAAATGGGATGCCACACAAATAGGAATGTGCAACTCACCGAGACTACGCATGAAGCGGGGTTTGGTACTCACACTTAAGGACGACATCCTGGCAGTACCCCGTGTACATAGCAGTGGTTTCCACACTGCACTAAGCACCAAATGAGCTCAGTTACCAAACGGTCTGAGTACGATTCTGGCTTTGTCCCAACATCAGTGGCGAGTGATACCTGAACTGGTCCTTGGGGTCACTGTAACCTCTAGCAATCTCAGTCCACCGCCCCAAGCCCTCCCTGGAAGTGGCAACAAGAGCTCTGAAGCTGAATGTTCTGTTGGGAAAGCAAGAAGATCTACGCGCGGGTTTCCAAAGTACCCGCGCGTCTCCTGGAACACCCATGGGGTGGCGTTTTTATTCCCCTGGGGGTCTATACAGGCCCCATGATCGATCAGGTGGTTGGCGAACGAATTGTGCTCAAGAAGAAGGGCGATTTGCCCAACATTTTTCCTATTTATATATTTGTTTCCTTTTAAGACCACAGTTAGGTTAATCCTCTTCATCCCCTACGGGGCATAAGGCCACAATGAGTTCCCTCCACGTCTTCCTGCCCTTGGCAACATGTTGAGCCCTCGCCCCGAGAGAGGTTGATCGCTGCCAGCTCCTCCTTCGTGGTCTCGCGGCAGGTGGCCTCGGGTCTCCCAGGGATTCCTTTTGCCCGGTGGTGTCCATCTTCGGGCAGTTTTTTGGTATATGGTCCTAGTCCATTCTGAGAACGTGTCCGGGACATCTTGAGTCGCCGTCTCTCGATGCCTCGCGTGAATTTAGTCCACAGTGTCTTTGACCCAAAATGTGTTGAGCCGGTGGTCAGGTGCCTTTCGGAGTTGACCACTAATATCCACCTCCGAACATCCTTGGAATGCCGGAAGAGCTCGCACGTGATCCGCACCGGCCTGTAAGAATCTGTGGGGGGAGCCCTTACTGTGTTCACCGTCGCTAATCCATTGCCGTGCAAACTCCCAGTCATCCTCACAGCAGCAGCAGCAGCGGCGGCGGCGGCGGCGGCTTTTAGATAGCCATCGAAAAAAAAACGGTCACAGGCATCACAAATAGACTTCTGCGGCCGTCTGGAACGCTCCTCCTTCCGAAATCATAAACCCACTGAGAGTTACGCACTTTGCAATCATAAAGATTGACCAACTCAGTTCTTCAGAACTGCTTTTTGCGTTTAGTTTGTTGTTCCTCCCCCCCGAACCTCCGATTTAGCACAGTTGGCTACGTATGATGTGAAAGGAGTTCAACATACAGTATGTACATACATCGCCAGTGGCGCAGCTATCGAGTGTGCAGGCAGTGAAACTGCACCGGGGACCCACGGGCTCGTTGGAACCGAGGTCCCTGGCTACCGACTGCTACGCCGGCGTCATCCACGAGTGAGGACCCTACAACCCCTTGTTGGACGTGAAAGATCGCTCGAAGCTTGCAGCTCCAAAGGTGCCCTACTTCCGTTTGCCTCTCTTTGGGCGCCACCGAAGCAGTATTAAGAGCCGAGTGCCGCAACCCCCCCCCCCCCCCCCCGACGTCCGTTGTTGCCGGGTCGGTTTTTCCCATTGTTGGCATCTTCGACGTGAGCTTGGAGTCGCCCAGCGACCACGGCGTGGTTCCTTCCTGGCCTCGAGCAACGTCAGCCAGCTCGCATGGACCCCCCCCCCTCCCTGCCTGCCCCCCGTTAGCTCAACGACAAACCCCGGGGGCAGGACACGCGACGGCGTCGGGGCCCTGGGAATTCCCACGTAGCCTCCACCGTGGCTGCTGTTCTGCACGGTGGAGCGGCGATCGGGCGCGCAGGCGATGCAACTGCACCGAGTGTCCCCCACTGACCGGAGTGGCCCAGGCGCTGGGCTACGACGCTCGGGGGGAGGAAACGAAACTAAAACTGCAAACTATATTTAGTTCATTTTATTTTCACCGGGCATGTGCCCGCCAAGCTGTGGAGCTCTTTTTTCAGAAGTGTCCTGGCCACCAACGAATGGTGGCTCAACGAAGTGGCTCATCATCATGTGGGAACGTGTAGCAGGCAAATACTCGAAACGTACGTCGATTCTAAATGTGGAGGGGAAAAAACCGGAGGACCCGGAGAAAAATCCACGCGACCACAGCGAGAACATGCAAACTCTAAATATACAGCAGCAGGCATCAGTAGCGGGATCGAACCCACGACCTCCTCTATACCAGGCGAGGGAGTTAACATCTTGCACCAGGGCCCACACAAACCACACTACGCCACTGGCCACCATAAACACGGAGAAGGCCGATGTCTCGCTGGCAGAAAATAGGTTCATCGTCTCCTCCTGGAGCTCTGCTGTACAAGAAGGACCTTGCCTGCCCTGGTATGCAACTGCATAACCCAGACGGTTCGAGAGTCTGGCTGGGCGTCAGATAGGCCAAACATGTTTCTCAGTTGGACTGGGTTCTAGGCTCAAAAATATTTTAATGAAGTTCAGCACGACACCGGTACCAGATCGCGGTCAACAAATCGACTTCGGCTGGCACCCGGACACCACAGAAGCAAATTCCCGGAGTGCGCCAATTCCCGGGCAGGTGGCAACCCTGACGGTTGGATGACAACCGGGTGGCAGACCGAGCACCCAGCCGTGGCCTCGCCCCGCTTGATTGCACCCTCGTGGAGACTTTGCTAATCGTTCGTCCTCAGGAGGCGGCCCTCACCAGCAAGACGTCGAGTTCTATTGGGTGGACATGAATAGCCACCCTTTCTCACAGGGGGGGGGGGGGGGGGGGGGGGGGGGGGGGGGGGGCGCTTTAATGAAGGTGGCAGAAGCCCTTTTTTTAAAGACCCACCTCACCGCTCCCCTCTCGTGCGCCGTGCCGGCTATCGGAGGCGGGCGGTCCGCTACCGGCGCTCGCCCTCAATAGTCCACGTGGGCTATGCTGGGGACGTTTTGTTTTTGCGCGCGCGAGTGTGTCTGTACGTGTGTGCGTACACGTGTTGGTGCGTGTGGTTTATCCACTCCCTTTCATCAAACGAAAGAGAATATTTTTTTTATTAATGCGTTTTAAATGCTGTTCTTGGATGCGTGCAAGTGGAAGCCAACTATTCGTGGAGCTGACAGTTCGTTTGGTGCAGAGGGACAACGCAAAGCTTGGATACACGTATCCATTACACAACAACCACTATTATTCGCCACATCAACAATTATGCATAATTTATTGAGAAAAAAAATGCCCCAGAATTTAACTTTGAAAATAAAGTTAATGACATGGCGTGTTCTTGATTGCGTTCAGATCGACTTAAGTTTTCCACTGACATTGCCTCTTGTGATCTCGTAAGGACGCAATGCAAGGTCCTTGCATAAAACACAAGCAAAAAGGACAAATATCCCTCGTATAGCCTTCACAGACTGTTGGGGCAAGTGCTGTTAGCAAGTAACACCTATGAAGGCCGGAATGGTACGCGAGGGGGTGGGTGGCCAGCACCACGCCCGACCGCCTTTGTCTCCCGAGTGGCGATGTTAACACACCGCACCAGGTACTAATTTGAGGCCGAGTCGACCTCGGGGGAGGCCCCGGACCGGTTCAAATAATCATCACTGGGTGTTGGCCGTGAGCGGGAATCGAACTCGGGTCGCCGGGTTCGTAGCGCAGCGTAGCGCTAACCGCTGCACCACCGCTCCCCCACATGAAACCTAAACACACACACCTGGGCCCTTTTGTTTACACCGGCGCTGGAAATGTCGGCCAGGTGGGACACTCTCTCTCTCTTCTTGCCCCCGTTCACCGGAGAAAACTTCCCCCTCCACATGAAGCGGTCACCTTCGCTCACGAAGTTTCCGCTCCTCACTCAAAACTCACACTAATTGTTTACCCCGAGGTCACCCCACGACCGCGTCATCTCCCCCTCATAACCACCACCGCTGCTGTTCCCTCTTCATATTCTCAACGCATGGCTATCGCTCGTCAACAACATTCATTCAATGCGTTCGTCATTCACTGTCGTCAATTTCGCTTTCACCGAATTCGCGCATCACAGAACTCCCACCCCCCCTCTCGTCTATCTCACTCGCCACTCCATTCGCACGTTGCTCTCGTACCGTCGTTAATTCTTCCTCAAGCGCCTTGGCTAAGACGCTATATACATTCCGTTAAGAGATCCCTCCTCCTTGCATCTCTGCTTTCTTTTTGTGAATTCACTTTTGCCATCCTTCCCCCCCCCTACGCCGCAGCTCCGATTAGCGCGGTTCGCTACGTACGTACGGTGTGTGGAAGAAGTTCAACGTAAATGCAAGGCAAAGATCCCCCACGTAGCCTTCACAGACTGTTCAATGTACAGTACGTACGTGCATTGCCGGGTTCCACCAATGATTAGCCCCGACCTAGATGGGGTCATTGCAGCGTGATTAGCTGGCCCGTGTCTTGGTCGACAGCCTCATCTCTGAAGTGGATGTCATTTTTTTAATGGATATATTTTTTAAAAACCTCCCCACTTAATTAATTCATAACAATGGTTAAGACGTTTTCAAGGTGAACGGATGCAACCGAAGTTACAGGTAGCCCGATACATCAAGCTGTGTGTCACCCACATTTTATAACTCCGCCCCCCCCCCCACTCTGATTGAATAGTGATGTAATTTTGTGATCAAGCTCCCGGTCGTATTTGTTTAAACTCAAAGAGAATTTAGCGAGAGACTCCCTCTTGGCGAAATTGGCTCGCGATAAACATTTCCCCACCGGCTTTACCGTGACCCAGTAAGTGCCCTTTAAAATGTTTGATCGCGAATGTGATTAACTTCGCTGGGCCATCTAACGAGTGAATCCCCAAAGGAAATAATTTTCGTGTCGGATTGCGCGGATGAAAGAGGGCTTTTGATGTCTCATTACATGCTCGGCGTTTCGTAACGCCGAACAAAAATGGGAATGAACGCACGGACACCATCGGAGCGATGTTTGTGGCCGCAGATGCAACGTCGCGTGGCCACGTGCAACGCACGTTCGACAGCAGCAGCAATCACACAGTGGGTGAACGGAGCTCGCGTAGGAGCAGTGAGATGGATTTTTGTCCGCGATTTAGGCTTCACGTCTCCGATCGCGTAGCTACCGAGTGTGTGCAGGCGGTGCAACTGCACAGGGGGCCCCACAGCCCCCGCGAGAGGCTCAGACACAGAGCGAAGAGGAGTGAGGCCCCATTGGAGTGGTGCCATTTTTTTATCGGGTGCAACAGCCATATCATACATGAGTACATCAAATTCGGCATAATCATATGGCTCACTGCAGCTCTAAGCCTCAGTAGTACTACACAGGCGTGTGGTGGCATTAGGAGATGCCCATGTGCCGCTCGGCATTTGAAGGCCTGAAGACCAGATTCAGCGATTTCGCCGACCAAATGTTCAGGGAGCCAGCCACGCCATGCCACCGCTTCTGTCCCCCCGCTCCACCCCGACATCATTTATGGTGGAGGATACCGATTCTTTGGTGGGATGCTGCTACGCTGTCATGGATTTGCAATCCGGAGGTCGCTGGTTTGGTTCGATCTTCCGGCGAAAGGCGGGTGAAAACAATTGCGCGAGGTTCTCAAATCCCCCCCCCCGCCACTGCCTCTGCTCAACCAGCATCTCTAATGGGTACAGCGCGGTCAGTCGATCGGAAAGGCCACGTGTGCGGTGGGATAAAGCGTGGGCACTCCCCACCTATTCCAAGAACCGTCTGTCCAGCGTCCCTCTCTCTCTCTCTGCAAGAGGGGTGAACCTCAGAAGCGGTCAGCCTCCGTCGCCATCGACAATGCACAATCATCGCGCTCATCAGCCGCGGGTGCTGCGAAGAACACTCGATTCCACGAATATAACCATTGTTTTTTTTATTTTTTTTATTTTTGTCAAATGGCCGTCTGCGTTCAAAAAAAATGTGCTGTGTGTGTGTTTGCGCACAGCTCTAAAGTGCCCCACGCGTGTCTGCTTATAACACCGGCGGCTGCTGCTGCTAAATGTTCAATTTACGCACCGATTGTCCAGTGATTGCGCCCCCCCCCCCCCCCCAACGTCCCTCTCCCCCGGCCTCGTGTTGCATGCGGTAACGAGGCGTGATGTCGTGTCGCTGTTTGTCCGTCCGCCCCTTTGTTCCTAGCTCGGCTTGCCGTCCTGTCGAGCGCACAAGCGCTCCTTCCCTCTGCGTGTTGTGGTGGACCGTGTGCCGTTTCGTTTCCGCTCCAAGTCGTTATGATTGTTGTTGTTATTGTTTACGGTAAAGCCTCTCAAAGCCGGACTGATCGGGAGGGAGAGATTGTTTCCGCTTTGTGGGTGGGGTGACTGCGACACTGCAATGAATCAATCAATGAATTAATCAAACAACGAATCGCTGAATTAATAATTACTTAATTAATTGTAAACGCCTACGTCGGACATACAAGTTCACGCAATATTTACAATTTGGGAGGGACATTCCGGTTTATGGGGGATATCCGCGACACAGAAATTAATCAATTAATAATTAACCAATCAATGCATTGATTTGTTAATTATTTGCTGTAAAATACTAAGTCGTTTGTCTGACGATACAAGTTCACCAAATAATTTAATAACACGCAAAATAAATCTCCATTGTGCAGTTTAACGCGAGTCGATGTTACCGTGAAGCAGACGTGGGCCGCTGCTTCCATCGGATGCGGAAGGAGCTATTCCTCTGATGGAAGCGAAGCATGCGATTGTACCGATTTGCGGGATAAATGTAAAGTAAATGTTGAAAAATTGCGGGATTGAGAAGAGAGGAATTGCACAGGCCTGGCTGATGAGCGCAGCATCCAATTGTACACATCTACTGGAGTTCCATACGACAGATAAGTGGAGTCTCCTACCACTTGCCCCTCGATAAGTGCACGCACAGTTGCACCCGTTGGAACGTTTTTTATTGTTTATTTTTGAAGCTATATTTTTTTTATTTTACTGCAGCCTTGTTGCTTTTCTCGGGTCCGGCTTCGAGGGGTTTTCATGATTTTTTTTTGCAAGACAACTTGTCGCGTTTTAAAAAAAATATATTATGATTGTTGTTATTCCATCTTGATTTGAAGCGTATTGTTATTATAATCATGATTTCTGTCTCGGATTTTTTTTTGTTCTCTTCGTCGTAATGTCTCGTCGACTGAATTTGTTCCCTGTGTTTTGTTTATTATTTCAGTTAAAAGACACCGGAAATTAAGTCTCCCAAGTGACCTTAAGACAAGCATAGGTATGCATGCTGCTGCGTTGAGCTTTGTCTGTGCGATGCGCGAATCCACCTTGAATGGCTTGAACAACACGACGGCGTGCCCGCTCACTGCGACTGTTTTGGCGGCTCATTTACCGACCCTACCCCAAGATCAAAGGTTTTGATCTTGTTTTGCCCATCGACTCATAATGCCATGCAACTTTCAACACGTAGGCCTTTCACGACCACTTTAAAATCATAACAATAAAATTGGGTTAGATCGCATCAATGTAAATGGTTTCGTAAACCCACCTCCCCCAAGCCCCCCCGCGGCACAGCCAATCATTAAGGTGTGTCACGTGGAATTAAACGTGTGGGTTGTGCTCTCCAACACGACGGTGTGCTGAAGCGGTAACTAATTGCCACGTTTTGTTCCACGTGGCAAAACCTATAAACTAGACTTTTTTACTTTACCAGATAAGTTTCCAATGATCTATTGATCTCGTTTTCAGAAGCGACCTGGCCATCGCAAATGATAGCTCAACGAAGTGACTTGTCACTTGGAAATTCATAGCAGTCAGATACTACAAACGCACGGTAATTCTAAATGTGGAGGGAAAAACCGGAGGACCCAAAGAAAAAGCACGCGAGCACGGAGAGAGAGAGAGACAGAGACACGCATATTCGAAATCTCCAACTGTATACCAAGGGAGACAACCTTACTTATTGTCGGTGTCCGGGGGAGGTGGGTTTAGGACACATTTACATTTACGTTATCTAACCCAAAAATACTTTCATATGAATCATAATGTCATGCTTCGGTCCACGGATGTCTAAATCTCTTGCCTAACGTTTTGTTTTTTCTTCCCCCTGCCTTGCCCTGCCCCCCCCCCCACCATTGGAGTTACCATTACTGGTGGTTCACATGGGAGTTACCATTACTGGGGGTTCACATGGGAGTTACCATTACTGGTGGTTCACATGGGAGTTATCATTACTGGTGGTTCACATGGGAGTTACCATTACTGGGGGTTCACATGGGAGTTACCATTACTGGTGGTTCACATGGGAGTTACCATTACTGGGGGTTCACATGGGAGTTACCATTACTGGTGGTTCACATGGGAGTTACCATTACTGGTGGTTCACATGGGAGTTACCATTACTGGGGGTTCACATGGGAGTTACCATTACTGGTGGTTCACATGGGAGTTACCATTACTGGGGGTTCACATGGGAGTTACCATTACTGGTGGTTCACATGGGAGTTACCATTACTGGTGGTTCACATGGGAGTTACCATTACTGGTGGTTCACATGGGAGTTACCATTACTGGTGGTTCACATGGGAGTTACCATTACTGGTGGCTCACATGGGAGTTACCATTACTGGTGGTTCACATGGGAGTTACCATTACTGGGGGTTCACATGGGAGTTACCATTACTGGGGGTTCACATGGGAGTTACCATTACTGGGGGTTCACATGGGAGTTACCATTACTGGTGGTTCACATGGGAGTTATCATTACTGGGGGTTCACATGGGAGTTACCATTACTGGTGGTTCACATGGGAGTTACCATTACTGGTGGTTCACATGGGAGTTACCATTACTGGGGGTTCACATGGGAGTTACCATTACTGGGGGTTCACATGGGAGTTACCATTACTGGTGGTTCACATGGGAGTTACCATTACTGGGGGTTCACATGGGAGTTACCATTACTGGGGGTTCACATGGGAGTTACCATTACTGGTGGTTCACATGGGAGTTACCATTACTGGTGGTTCACATCATATTGCACCGACCTTTACATCATTATTCCAAAAATACGTTACAGTTTGGGACAGCATTGCTGTGGAGGCATGAGGCGTATGCAGTGTTTTTCCTCAGGGAATTTGCATTAGATATACACACACAGGGATCACATAACCATGCATTTAAAATTGCGTTTTCATCCAGTTCATTTTGAGCATCAAAGCAAGCGGATTGACGTGCGCGACTTTCATTCGCGGACCTTACACGGTGGAATTTTAATATTTGAAGCCCACAGCAGTGCTGGCGTCTTGTAATGTATTTTTTTATGGCGAGCGTATATACACATTTCGCCTGAACGAGATCCATTGGTCCACGGTAAAGTTGTTTGAAAGTGCTTTAAATAACATTATTTCCCATTGAACCATGTCTGATCTGCATTTGAGCTCGGGTCATTTCCTTCCACACGACGCCACTAACCCCATTTTTCTGACATGTATTTTCTTTTGTAACAGCGTGCTTTTTCCATAGCATCTCTAAAAAAAAGACATCGGTACACGGGCAGAGCTCCGCAAAGTCAAGCATTGTGCATTGTGGCTTCGTGCACTAAAATTGCGCATTTTGCCAGCATCGCAATTGCACAAGTCCCATGCCATATCTGACCATGAAACCTGTCACATTAACCGGTGGACACCCGGTGTCTCCAATTCTTGGGAGAGCAGTGCAGCAGTGCAAATACTGCAATGGCAAGGGGAGAGGTTTTTTTTTTTTTGCAGAGGGTTCAATCAGAATTAGAATGTGTATGCATACTGGAGGAATCCGATGAGCTATAAAGCTATTTTTCATAGAAGTCCAGTAGGGGACGTGGGTCAGAACGTTACAACAACAACAAACGGTACAAAAAACACGATAGGTCTGCACAGTATAGGAAAGGTATACAAATCACTTAAAAAAATATATACAAATAAAACTAAACGATTTTTTTTTATCTTATCAGGCAAGGCCCACTGAGCTATTAGCTTCTTTTTCAGAAGGGACCTGGCCGCAAATGATAGCCCAACGAAGTGGCTTGTCACATGGAAATGTATAGCAGCAAAATAATCTAATTCTAAATACTCTAAATGGAACGGAAACTCATTGTTGGTTGTTGGCCAGAGGCAGAATTAATTGTGCCCCTTATGTTTCATTGTAACCCCTCGCTGGGGGTGATTTTAAATAGCCAATTCTGTTTGAATTGATAATTTCAAAATCGTCGGAGAGTAAGCCACTTATTTTCCCAAATTCTAAAGAAAAAAATTCGTTTTCTTTTTTTATATCACACGTACGTTTTCACGGCCAATATAATGACTCGTAATAATAGATTTTTTTAAAGAAAATTATTTTTTGTCAATTTTTTTTATTTTAATAGTATCTGTGTTTTTTTTTCTTCTCAAAGCAATTTATCCGCTAGGACGCCACACAAAACACCTCGTAAGAGACATGCTGGGCACTCGTGAACAACGTCAACAACGCCAAGCTCATCGCACTGAAACCTCATCGTCTGCCTCTTCTGCTGGGTCAAACCAGGCGCGCGTGTGTGACTGGTCAATGCAATTACTCTCAGACGAGATAGAGTCCCGAGGAATCGACTTGGATGTTGCACATTTTCTCGATCAAAACAAGACAACGTAATTGCTACTTGTTCGCTCTAATAATTATCGAACTTGTATTTCTGGTGCTTGCGAATGAATAACAAGTGCCACTCAAAGCCACGGTTATTAAAATTATGTTCCATACAGCCGCAGCTATTATCCACAACTGGTGATCAAAAGGGCACGTGACCTGGCAAAACGATGAGTGCTCGTTGGAATCAAAATATGTTCCATTAAAACAATTATATTTTACAGTCCTAGATTATGGCAGGTATTTTAAATTATCTTGCAGTTTGTAAGAACTTAAAAAATCGAGAGAATTCTGGAAAAAAATCTAGAGAGATTTCAAAGGTAAATTGACAAATAACGTAGAGAAATCCGATTATCTAAAAATAAAAATCCATACTCAGCAGATCAAGGCACTCTCTAGGCATTCATTTTCCCACAGAGAATAAATTACGTGGAAAAAAACCCAATTAAAATATCGACAGCAATCTTTGAATGGTCTATCCCTCGCCATAGGAATGTTAAATTTCCACCACTGAAGGAGCAAAAAAAGTTATTCTGGGTTGGAAATAACGCTTCAGGACCTTGCAGGATACCATGGAGAGAAATAACGAGCTTCAACAAGATCGCCCATCACATTTACTTTCAGACGAAGGACCTTCCGCTGCCTTTATCTCTCTATCTAAACCAACTCAGGCCTCACGTAAACCACGTGACTTCCATGATGGCCACAACTCGTCTCTGAATCCCTTCCCATTTTCCCCGCCCACTCTGAAAAACAGACGCCACTACGTGCAGCTCATTTTTGCCTGCTTCCCCCTTCTCTCTCCCTCGCTTCCCCTCCCCTTTCATCTTCACCCCCCCCTCCTCCCTGACATCTTGACCCGGTCATTACTTCTCCCATGCTTGCCCTGCGCATCTTCTCTGCTCCGAAATTTTCCGTTCCCTTCCCACCCTTTATCCTCTTCCCGTACTTTAATCCCTTCTCTTTCCCGCTCCTTTTTTTCCTTTGCACGTGTACGAAATCCTTTGGCTCTCGTTCCCTTCCCGTGGTGTGTGCCGCATGTCAAAGGTTTTACACTAATTTAAGTACTCACATCAGATAGACCGGTGGAGTGGACGACGCAGCGTTTAGCCGTGGCCCTATTAACCCCACCGCCTGAGTTTGATTTCCGGCCATGTTCGTGATATCTACGCTGGGCCTGAACTGGTCACTTGGGATTGTACATCGCAGAACAATCGTAGCCCTCCAACTGCAAATGAGACTATCCTGTGTTGGTCTCTAGAGTTCTCATCTGGTTAAAGGAAATAAACCTGAAACTTGAAATTTGGTGTTTCACCCCCCACCCTAACCCTTCCCCCCTTCCTCTTCACCAACCCACACTGACCAGCTTGGTGAAGTATGGTCAATCACCCCCCCATAACCTACACGGCATGATGAGGCTTTCATCCGGCATTGGACTGACAATGGGATGGTTTTTTTTTTCGCAGTCAGAATATTCCCATAATCAGCTCATGTGTAGGTGCGAGTGGGATCGTTGCAACTGCGGGATCATGGACCGATTGCCACTGCCCACGGGAATGCAATTTCTCGCTAACGCATCTTCACTGGCTGTCCTGTACCAGTGGTGGAAATTCCACATGACCATGGTGGGTGAGAGGTCGTCCAAAGGGAAACCACCGTTGACCACCCCAGCAAGTGGTGCTTGCAAACCACGTGGCGTTTACGAGCAGGGAGCAAGATGGATCGCCAACATCGCAGAGCCACGGGAGATGGCAACGGCTTCAACTAGCAGCGGATCGATCATGACTGATGATGATGAAGATGGAGTTTATTTTACCATCACAACAATTCGAAATTATGGTGCTGGTGATGAATTTCCTAGCAAGGTGGATTGACCGTGGCCGATTGACGGAGTCCCCGTAAACGCCGCTCGCTAAACAGGGGGTTGGTTATCTCTGCGTGGCCCGGTTGACCGGTGAGGCTGTGGGCTTTTGGGCAAGGGGTTAAAAATTAAATCGGGGTTTTTTTTAAATTCCATTCCAGGCTCGGTCCTATTGGGGTGAGGCTCACTGCATAATGCCGCCTCTGCATCCGCCGTAATATTAGCGTCTTGCGTTTTGAGCCGTGTTTCGAATTCATAAGATGACGATGCCTTCCTTCGACAGTCGCGCACGCCGTTGATTTGTCAGTTTGAACGTCGGGAACTTTTGGTGATTGCAATTTGGCAACGAACAAAAAGAGGCCGTCTGAATGGGTCACGCAAGGCGGTCAAAATAATTCTACATGCGGGTAACGTAACGCTACATTTTATATACGTATACATTTTTAAACGTGGCTTGGCATTTGCGTTTCCGAGAAAGCCGCTGTGGCTCCTCTATTTGATTTGACTGTCAGGGTTTGTACATGTTTTGGCTCTATACATTCTGGAAATTACAGTTATCTCTGTGGGTTTCTACGAAAAATTGCGGTCGTAATATTTTTTTTTTATTAAAGAAACTGTCTCGCATCTCGCAGTCAATCGCAATGACCCATTTATTCGGCGATTGGCGCTCGCTGAAAAATAAATAAGAATTTCGTTTCATTTTAAATAGCTCTGCGCTCACGGTAGTAGCGAACTAAAAGGGAGCGATGTAAAATGGCATCGCTCACCGCTTCGCACGAAGTCTCTATTTTTCAGTCGACCGCGAAAGCGACCGTTATACTTGTGGCGGTACTGTGCAATTAATATAATTGCGACGATTCGACCAGTCGGGTGTAAACTGCCTCGCGCGCGATAGCAAACCATTTAGTCGCGTCCGTCTGCAACTATCTGAGATCGCTGCACGTGCTGAGCACCCGGGGAGGCGCTGCTACGGGCCCCCGGTGATTACCCCACGCGGTTGGGGTGCAGCGTTTTTCAAATTTGAACGGGGAGTACAAAGCGAATGGGTTAGTGACGGCAGGGGCGGCGGAGGGGGGTAGTTGGGTGAAAAATCATCGGTGCTGCCGGGATAAATGAATGAAATGCAACCCCAGCGGTCAGGACCATGACTCCGAGGAGCGTGAACGCTGCAGAGTGATGTCATCGCAGAGTCGCACGTGCTGCAGCTGCTGCTTGCCTGCCGCCAATGCGAATGTCGCGCGCGGCTCGCGTGGATGCTGCGCTCCATCGTTGCCGCGTGCTGAATATCGCAAACCCGTGCGACGCTCGGTCGAGTCTGCGACGTGCTTGAATTGAGAACTTTATTCATTTCTTCCGACAACCATGGTCGACGTCGCTTTGGCCAGAATGCTAATTGTTTCACGCGTTCCTTCTTCCCGTCTGCGTTTTTTGTTTTGTTTCGGCTGTCGCCGCCGTCGTGACGACGCGCCGTTAATTCCATTTGTTCGATCTGTCTCTGTCTCGCTCCCATTTGTGTTCTTCACCCACTCATTAGTAGTTCTCCAAAAGAGCTACCAAAACAGCAAACGAGATGACGTAATTGACACAGGTATGTGGTCTTAAGGGTGCACGGGTAGATCCACGCGACCCTTGCGTCAATTCCCCCACCACCACCACCACCACGCGTACGCTTGGGGCAGGAAGTTCGAAATCACGAGGGCGAATGTGACAGCGTTTAGACGCTGGCGTCTTCGTGTTGACAAGCCTGACGGTGGTTTCCGTCAATTGCCCCAAGTGCGAGCACAGGCGGCTTCACCGATGGGGTTAAAACCTCTTAAACTCACCGGCTGCGTTGCCACCACGCGCAGGAGCAACGATGCAGAAGCTTGCGACGTGCACAGCGCAATTTGCGTTTCGCTCTCTGGCAGGGGGAGAGAGAGATGAGTCAGAGGTGCGGGAAACCACGGAACCTGTGCCAGCAATGGCCCAAGCTCTGTGATCCTATATTGTTGATGTTTGGCCAATTCCAGTGCTGTGTTGCGGCGATGTCCCTGCACTTGGCATATTGTAAATGTTACGGCCAGTGGCACCGTTCCAGAGCGCCTGCGACTTTAAATGCTTCTCCTCTTGATCTCCGAACAAACGTCGGATAGCACAGGAATGTATTTACAAGATAAGAGCGAGCGAGACGGTAAGCTGTCTTAAAACTCTCCAAATGAGGAAATCCACAGCGGCTTTACTCTTGTTAGGGTTTACCTGTTGATATTCACGCTCAGGGATTGTTCGTCATGTTGCATATGTATGTATATTGCTCGTGCGTGTGTTTGCTGTAGTGTGGAGCGGTAGTGTAGCGGTTAGCGCGCTGCACTATGAACCCCAGTGACTCGAGTTTGATTTGCGCTCATGGCCAACACCAGTGATGATTATCTGAACCGGTCCCTGGCCTCACCTAGGTCAACTCAGTCTCAAATTAGTACCTGGTGCAGGGTTTAAACATCGCCACTGGGCAGACAAAGGTGGCCGGGCGTGGTGTTAGCCATCCACCCCCTTGTGTGCCACTCTGGCCTTCATAGCTGCTACTCGATAACAGCACTTGCCTCACCAGTCTGTTGAAAGCTATACGGGGGATCTCTGTATTTGTCTTTGTTTGCTGTATAGTCATAGGCGGCTGGGGGTGGTGCTGGCCACCCACCTCCTCCTGTGCCTTGCTGGCCTTCATAGGTGCTCGCTAACAGCGCTTTCCCCAACAGTCTATGAATTATGCCCAAGGGATCTTCGTCTTTGCTATTTTCACTTGCTTTTGGACACATTCTATTTTTGAAAATGTAAATATTTAATCAGCCATGCGACAAGCATCTCTGCATCAAGGTGCGCGGTAAAGCGCAGCAGCGCGTGGATACGAGAGGTCACCTGCAGGGGAATATCAGATGTAGTTCTCTGATATCTCCTTCCACAGGCCGTCCCCCCCCCCCGAAACATAGAATCACGCAGCGAACCTGCCAGCGATTTCTTCGCCTCTAGGAATGACGCTGATTGCACAATCCCGAGTAGAATTTTGAAAAAAAAAACTACTTAAAAAAAACAGGTCTCGTCCATTGTCTGTAATGAGGTGACATTTAGGCCCTATTCATAGTGCCAGCCAGGAGACATCCTTGAGCATATACAAACCTTTAGTGACAGTGCACTAATGCATTCTCGGGAGACAACGAAAATGGGTCCTTGGGTATACAATAGCACGCGAAATAACGACACCTCGATAGCTTTTAGCGTTCGGCCTTGAACTATTTGACTGCCGCAGACGGGGTTTGTCGTGCGGCAGGGTCTATTTCGTTTTGTCTGGCAAAGCGTAAAACATTGGCGGTGGGAGGCAACGGAAGAAAAAAAAGTATTTGTCCTTTGAAAAAAAAAGTTTTAACAACCAAATTTGCATGAGCAGCGACCGACCCGCCGCCACTCCGGACGCGAATGATTAGCTATTATGCAGGTTTTTTTTTTGGGTTAGATCGCGTAAATATGAATGTTTTGTTAAACCCGCCACCACCCGACACAGCCGATTAGTAAGGTTTGTGACGTAAACAACACGTCACAGTTCGATACTGGTACAGCACTCACCGATTGTGTGTCTGAGAGTAAACCCACAACATTTACAATTCGAGTGCCGTGACATTCTGCAAGTAATTACAACCAGCATCATCAGGCTCTCCAACACACGACCGGTGCGTTGTACTAGTAACGAATTGGCACTTTTTTTTTAGGTTACAAACCTTACTAATTGGCCGTGCCGGATGGCCGCAGAGGCGGTTTAAACGACACATTAACATTCAGGCAATCTAACCCCAAAGAAAAAAACCTCTATTATGGATAATATTGGTCGCGCAAGCCTACGTTTTAAACTGCAAATGACTCGATAAGTGGCCAATTTGTCGGGTGATCCAATGTCATTCTCCCGAAAGGCACGACACTTTTCTTTTGGCCGTGACACCTACTCGGTTCGCTCGCACCGCCGTAACTGCCTGGCGGTAGGCGAGCGCGACAGCACACTTTAAAATGCGCTTGGCTGATACTTTGTAAAAACTGTGAAAAAAATTACTTTAAAAGAATGCTTCTGCATAAACACTTCAAAACGTAGCCTTCGTGTCGTAAAATTAAGACAACTTATGTCGAAAGTAGAATTATGTTTTATACCGCACAGTATTACACTAGCAACACAAACTTACAAACATCTAAGAAACCACTTTTATTCTTACTTATATCGCACCGTAGATTGACGAAATTACGTATTCGCATCAGTTAATTTATTTCGTATTTTATTCGTAGCTTTCTGTGTGAAACAATTGTTTAAACTTTTTTAAAAGATCCAAAGTTATACCAAAACTTCGTTTATCGAATGTACGCATATCGAGGTATTACTGTAAATGCGGGCATGTGAAAAGTTTCCGATCATGAGACCGCCTACAGAGCGATGATTCTCGTTTTTCCCAGCTGGGAGGAAACGTTTTGGAGTACTATAATTTCACGGCACGCAAGCCATGCTAGGATGCCAAGCAGAGACAATTTCCGAACTCGTACCTCGTTGTGCTTGGACTCTTTTTTCAGTTGCGTGGACGGTGAATGCAGAATACAGAAGGTGTCTTATTTACTGTAGGGCTGCCTCTTAAAATGTTCACCGTTGCTTTAGGTTTCAAACAGCAAAGAGCTGTGCATGAAGCATATGCCCATGGTGCACATGCAAATAAAACAACAGCAGCAGCATATCCTGAAGCAGTGCATTGTGGGTTATCTTAAGGGACCTTTTCAGCCAGTATCAAAGTATGCAAAAATAAGAACGGTTAATTCCTACTTGATTCCTTGCAAAAGGTATTAATTTGGTATTTGAACATCTTAATATTTGCTGTTTTTTTATTGCCAGAAAGGGTAAAAACCTATCCTTATTTTTCATAGCTGTGGGGGCATATTTGTCCAAGATGATCGCCAAAATGATGAACTCGATGCAAGTGTGACCAACCGACCGGGCAGCAGTCACACAGAGAGATGGACATCCGTTGACCCCCGGGTTGCATTGGCTGATGCTGGAGCGTTGAGATGAGAAAAAAAATGAACTCCTAAAATATCTCCAGTCAAATCTGAAAGATGTCGCTTCGAAGATGTCACGAAGCTTTGTGTTTCATTCCCAGGATTTTTTTGTTAGTTTGTTGTTGTTCACAGTTTGCCTGGAGCACCTAAAATGTGAAATTTAATGGTGTTTGTCAAAGCCGTGCCGCAGTCTGAGTCAAACTAGAGTATAAATAACAAAGTTTATTCATCCCTTCGATTGCGAATGAGAAAAAAAACCCAAATCTAAAACTCTTGGCTCTCAACCACTTTAAGACATCGTAGCATGATCCGTGTCATTATTTCAGAGGAGTTCGATTGAATCCGAAAGAGGCCAATTTCTTGGAAAAGTTAAAAAAGAAAACGAAAACAATCAATGTCGACATCTCGGTGACAGAATAAATGCATTCATGCATCTTTCCTAAATTGGGCTAATCGACCGAAGTGCCCCCCCCCTCCCCTCTTAACGAACCCTGTGTGTGTTGTTACTTGTTTATTTTCTTTGGAAACGTGCTATGATTGCTAAAGAGAAACACTTGCATGGTCAACAACTCTCGACTCTCAGCTCCGCAAGAGTTGCGCGTGGCCACCGCAGTGACCATCGCTCTCTGTCTACAGACGGAGGGTCCTGGGTGGGAGGTCAGTCGCGTTTCGTGCCAGCCTGAAACGGTGGTGCTCGCGAAGAGCGCGGTGCCCACCGTGGCTGGCACGCAAACAAACACAAAGATCCCCCGTGTAGCCTTCGCAGACTGTTGGGAGCAAGTGCTGTTAGCGAGTCGCACCTTCGGAGGGCGGCACGGCACACGGGCCGGGGGTGGGTCGCCAGTACCACGCCCGGCCGCCTTTGTCTCCCCGAGTGGCGTTCTTTACACACCACACCAGGCATTAATTTGAGGCTGAGTCGATCTAGGGTATGCCCAGGACCGGTACAGATAATCGTCGCCGGTCTTGGCCGCGAGCGGGAATCGAACTCGGGTCGCCGGCTTCATAGCGCAGCGCGCACGCCTGCGATCCGGCACCTCGGAGGTGAGGCGGGGGGGGTTGGTGGATCACGGATAGAGCTGGATCGTGAACCCCGACCCTCAACGGTGGCGGCGCTGTTTAGAGCAGGGCCAATTTTCCGACGCAGCCACCGGAGCGGTCTCCGCGAGCTCCGAGTTTTGTACGACCGTCGGTAAGAGAGCCGAGACGATAGCCGAAGGGACAGACCTCGGTGGTCGCTGCGTATCTGCCGGGCAAGCAGCTGCGGGGACCTGGCGGAGGGGAGAACCCAGGGCCGGATTACCCCATAGGCTGAGTCTCCCTCGAACGTTCTAGGGCCTCTTTCAGGGCCCTCCGTTGCACGTTGAGGTAACAGCTGAGCGACGGTAGCGCGCCCATCGAGAATACATTTTTTTAATTACTTTGTCACAATTGCTAAAGCTGGGGGGGGGCGGGGGGGGGAACTAAGTTTTGTTTGTTTTAAGTAATGAGTGCAGCGAGTGCTTTATGTTTGACGAATTTACCCCGAGTCGAATGTGTTAATTTTAGATAGGAAAAATAATTAAATATGTTTGATGACTTTTTTTTTTCCTGCAATATGAAAACACTTTTACATACTTAGGCGCTTCCCTCCGATTATCCTGAGTCCCCTCATCACCTTCATCTGGCCCTGTGTGGAACGTGTTGGTAGCGAAGGAGGTATGGAGGGGGGGAGGTCATCGATTCCCTTCGACATTTTGACAGCAAAGGAGCCTGAACATCGCTCAATGCAGGACTTACCTGTGCAAGAGTATTCAGACTCACCGAGGCTTTCCTGGGTAACTACGGGCACTCATCGACTTACGGACAAGTGCCTGTATTTACACCCGCGGCTTACAAACGGGTGTCTCGGGATCTAATTATGTTCGTAAGTCGAGGCCTGACCCTTAACAAATAAAAGAACGGTTGTCTCAGGATTGAGTAATGTTCGTAAGTTGAGGCCTGACCCTTAAAATAAAATAACGGGTGTCTCAGGATTGAATTACGTTCGTAAGTCCATGCCAGAACCTTACCAAATAAAAGAACGGTTGTCCCAGGATTGAATTACGTTCGTAAATCGAGGCCAGACCCTTACCAAATAAAAGAACAGTTGTCTCAGGATTGAATTACGTTCGTAAGTCGAGGCCAGACCCTTAAATAAAATAACGGGCGTCTCAGGATTGAATTACGTTCGTAAGTCGAGGCCAGACCCTTAAAATAAAATAACCGGTGTCTCAGGATTGAATTACGTTCGTAAGTCGAGGCCAGACCCTTACCAAATAAAAGAACGGTTGTCTCAGGATTGAATTACGTTCGTAAGTCGAGGCCAGACCCTTAAATAAAATAACGGGCGTCTCAGGATTGAATTACGTTCGTAAGTCGAGGCCAGACCCTTACCAAATAAAAGAACGGGTGCTTAAAGGGAAGCACGCGTGCACCCCCCCTCCCCCACCCCGTATGCAAAGCGGCGATCAAACAGCGGACGGGCATGACAGCCCCGGCCTAGAAAAACGGGGAACTTGCCCACAAGGTTTTAGGCGTAAACGCTGAGATGGCCGCGAGGTGAGGGCGCAACGTTTACACTTCGAGCGGGTGTCGTTGAATGCACGGAATTCGCTACGCGGCACGGCACAGCGTTGGGTTTAAGGCAATGCGGCTGGGTATATGTTGTGCAGTGAAACTGGTGCACGTTAACGATGCGCTAAAAAAATAAAGCACGTGACTGGGTATTGGCCAGAACATCCCCCCCCCCCCCCATGGCTGAAGATAATGCCCTGCGAATGCCCCGATGGAGATGACACGCAGGGCAACAGCATCATGATGAGAAGAAAATAAGAAGAGGTTTTACCCTTTCTGGCAATAAAACAGGTGTTAAGATGTTCAAGCACCAAATGTTATGCAATAAAATATAACCACCCATTAGAATCCTCATAAACGAGTGTCTCGAGACTCGGCGAGGCTTTCCTAATGCGCGTGAAGTTTCGAGCTGTGAGTAGTTTGCTTTACAGCGCTTTGAGATGTTTTCGATATGGCAGGCGCTTTATAAAATAAAGATTCACCATTATTGTTGTCGTTAGCGATAAGCCAACTTCGCTGGCTTGACGTTTACTACACCGCTGGCTTTTCAAAAACCTTGGACTCGTCTTTAAGTCTCTCCGTGGCCGTGCCTCCCCACCTCATCTCGCCTCTCGTCTCCTTACATGTCCCCTCCTCTCATCCTCTTCATTCCCAATCTTCTCCCTGTCTCCATCCCTCCTTCTCCCTGTGGCCAATCTCGTCATCGGTCCTTCTCCCTCCTTGCTCCCCTCCACTGGAATCAACTTCCCCTGTACATTGAGCGGCACTGCCCATAGACTCAACACTGCTACCCATAGACTCAACACTGCTACCCATAGACTCAACACTGCTACCCATAGACTCAACACTGCTACCCATAGACTCAACACTGCTACCCATAGACTCAACACTGCTACCCATAGACTCAACACTGCCCATGGACTCAGCACTGCTACCCATAGACTCAACACTGCTACCCATAGACTCAACGCTGCTACCCATAGACTCAACACTGCCCATAGACTCAACACTGCACCATAGACGCAACACTGCACCATAGACTCAACACTACCCATAGACTCAACACTGCCTATAGACTCAGCACTGCACCATAGACTCAACACTGCACCATAGACTCAACACTGCCCATAGACTCAACACTGCACCATAGACTCAATACTCCACCATAGACTCAACACTGTCCATAGACTCAACACTGCCCACAAACTCAACATTGCCCACAGACTCAACACTGCCCATAGACTCAACACTGCTACCCATAGACTCAACACTGCACCATAGACTCAACACTGCCCATAGACTCAACACTGCTCACAGACTCAACACTGCACTATAGACTCAACACTGCCCATAGACTCAACACTGCACCATAGACTCAACACTGTCCATAGACTCAACATTGCCCATAGACTCAACACTGCTACCCATAGACTCAACACTGCCCATAGACTCAAGACTGCTACCCATAGACTCAACACTGCTCACAGACTCAACACTGCACCATAGACTCAACACTGCCCATAGACTCAACACTGCACCATAGACTCAACACTGCACCATAGACTCAACACTGTCCATAGACTCAACACTGCCCGTAGACTCAACACTGCACCATAGACTCAACACTGCACCATAGACTCAACACTGTCCATAGACTCAACACTGCCCGTAGACTCAACACTGCACCATAGACTCAACACTGCACCATAGACTCAACACTGCACCATAGACTCAACACTGTCCATAGACTCAACACTGCACCATAGACTCAACACTCCCCATAGACCACCGCTACCCATAAACTGAAAACTGCCCGTAGACTCAACACTTCCTCAGTCCACGAAGCAGTCCCCTGCTTAGCCCCCATCCGTTCCTCTCTTAAAGCCTCAACCTCTTCTCCATCGTCCATTCCCTTTCCTTTTCCCTCGCCCCTCCACTCATTCCCGTCCCTCCCCTGCCCTCTCTCGTGGTCACTGATTTCTCGGCCGTTACACTGGCCCCTGCCATCTAAAATGCATTATTATTATTATTTACCATTAACACTTTCAAGCTATGACAAAGCACCTGGCGCCATGGCGCTCCGTAAACATATCCAATAGGAATAAGACAGACAAGCACAGCGACAACAACAACAACAATGATACATTTATGAGGCTAGACAGAAGTGGGGCCCTCGCTTGCCGCACGCGCCAGCTCGGCCCGGCCCGCCCCGTGTCCACGCAGTGCCACCACCGCCGCTGCCGCCGCCGTTGTTGCCGTTGTGTCTCTCAGACCAGCTGAACGGGGTGTGCACGAGTCCCACGGCGGTCCAGCAGTCGAGGAGCCCCGCGAAACGCCTCGCCCCCAGCGAAGCGCCCAAGGCCAAGAGCCGGGGACCCGTGAGACCTCCGTTCCGCAAGGCGATGTCCGCCGCCTGCATGGAGGTCAGCGCGCCCGCCGCGCCCGCCAACGGAGAAGGTACGGGGGTGAGGCGCTCGCTGCTGGACATCTGTGGAACAAAAAGGGCTTAGTAGCTCATCGGATTCCTCCGGTGCAAATAGCGATTCTGTTGCCGAACTGATGAGTAGGGAGGTCGCATGCTGACGACGATGATGACGATGACAAAAATAGGCCCGAACAACTTCTCGTGGCCGTACGGAGAGCCTGACAAGCATCATCATCATCACGATCCATGGGGCAGATAGCCCGTAGGGTGTAACCACTGCACATGGTACACACCTTACGGGCAGCAACAACCGCGAAGGCCTGCTCTGTAACGGCCGCGTGGCAGGTCCCGATTGTTGAGACTCCTGACGTCGACTTTGAATTGAGAGACTTGATTAGTTTACAGCGGTGAGCTTGGGTGAATGGACGACAGTGGGTCTGTGTCCACGACGCAGTTTACTTGTTGGTAATTTGTTGGAGCAAAACTAAAAAAGTTGTATAATGAGTGGTGTCAAATGTTAAATGAGTGGTTGTAAAACAGGGCCCTTTATGGCATTGTACTAATTGGGGGGCAATGCGCAGTCTTGCATAGTCTCAAGTAAACTAATTGGAAGAGAGTGAAGAAACTGGTACAAGACAATACTAGATAAAACAAAAAAATCTATTGAGTTTAACCCACCAGAGACATCTACATAAACGTTGTCCCCACAGCCTCTCTGTTTTTTCTTGAGCCAGTCCTGCGGTGCAGAGTTGACGTTTGGGAGAGTTGAAAATTATGGCCATTGGTGCTGCTAGGAAACTGAAAAAATCATGGAACCCAACGATGAACAACATTGGCTTCCCGCAGCCATGATGTATGATATTACATCTTAAATAAATCACAGTCCTGTCCAAATTGCATGAACGGGGAAACGGCAAGCTGCTGCACACTCAATGGCACCACATCCTGAACCCGACACTTAAGAAACTTAAATTAGAATCCCTTTATTTATTTTTTAAGCTGGCGCACACACACACACAGGGGATAATCGCTGGGTCCCGCTCGTCGGCACCTGCTGGGGGCACCACCCGTGCCATCTGGTGACAGCCCACGCTTTCGGCAGCGACAAAAAGAACCGCTCCAGCTTGTCCCCCCGAGACGTAGTACAACGAACGGGTGGCATCGGTTGTCAGATCGGCGGGGGAGCCCTGGTCAGCGGTACGCAAAATCAGCGATCGCCGCGGCATATTGGGTGGCGAAATGCAACAACAACCAAAACATTGATAATAAAAAGAAATGATATTAGAGTTTCACGTGACAGATATCGGGAGGCTGAGTTGGTGGCAGTGTTTCGAAATATATCACGTGCTCTGTTGAGGGGAAAAAAAAGCGTGTGAGCTACGATTCAGTCCCCGCGTGCGTTGAAACGTGCGAACATTCCACCGATATCGTTGTTGGTGGTACGGCGGTGCGTTGCAAGTGACACCACCACGCAAAACGTTGCCAAATGATATCAGGCAGATCCATCTTGGCAAACGATACAGGACGTTGTGTTGTTATATGCTTTGTGGACCGTTCACCCGAAGTCATTCGCCATGAACATTAAAGTAAAAAAAAAAGATGTGTGCCTTCTGTTGAAAAATTTTGTGATTTAAAATCTCACTATCGCTTTCTGCGCTATATTGTATATTCACATATAGTTATGAATTTGACTAATTTTGTTTACGTTTATAGCCATATCTGCACTGTATTGTATATTTACATATAGTAATGAATTTGACCAATTTTGTTTACGTTTATGCCCAAATATATGCAGTAGCGTAGAGCCAGTTGCATAGCACACTGCTCTATGAACACGGAAACCTGAGTTCGAATCAAGGCCACGGCTAACATCGGTGGTAAATGATATCTGAACTGATCCTAGGTACTGCCCTTCACCAGCCCGCACTGACCAGCGTGGTGAAGTATGGTCCAACAACCCCCATGACCAAAATAGCATGAGGTGGGCCTTCATCCAACAGTGGATTAACAAGAGGGCCTTTTATGACTTTACTGAACCTGTTGCAGTAGAAGCTGGACACGGGCACACCTCACACAAATAACAAATAACCTGGACACTTTCGTCAATAAGGAAAGAAAATATATAACAGGTGCCATTTCGGGAAATGGCCCTTCTTCAGAGCACATCCGTTGGCAGGCCAGCAGATAGGCAGAGTGGATGGTACGAGTGAGAGATTACATTTAACACCATGGGGCCTGATGAAAAATACAAAAATCTGATGCTCTGAAGAACGGCAATTGCCCAAAACGACGCCTCTCATATATTCTTCCTTTTAAGACCGCAGCGTTGTCGACGCATGCGATGAGTTTGTCGTCTTCTTTGGTTCTTTCGGTAAAGTCACGAAAGAACCAAAGAAGATGAATCCTTGCAGTCACGAAAGCTTTAAATCGGAGTTTGTCGTCGTTTGTTCTTGCGTGCCACTGCCAACGCAGCATTACCACCACCACCACCACCAGCAATGAGATGTGTTTGCCCAAGCACAGTTCCCGTACAAGTCGCGCACCCTCACATCACGCTGGCCTCGCTCCTGAAGGCACTGTCGCTAGTATCCAGCTTCGACTGCGCTCACTGTTGCGAGCTCACCAAAGCCACATCGTCGTAAACCGCAAGGTTCGCATTTGGGTACGCGAAGCCCCGTGGCCCGGTGATTACGTCGCTTGACACGCTCGCGCGCTCTCCCTGCCTTCGCGTTCCCACGTGACTTTTGACCCCTGTATTTCTCATGTTTCTGTGGAACCGCAGGTGCCTCCAAATCATTCCACATTGGCGTGGGCGCCTCCACTCCAGCTGGTATTGCATCTTTTTTTCTCAATCCTCTTCCTCCCTACGCCGCTATTGTATGATCCCAGTCGCTTTTTTTTTTACGCTCACCACTCCGCTGCACGTTAGGGGCTGAGCGGAGGCGCAGCAGTTAGCGCACTCAGCGGCTTACGCCGGCAACCCCTGTTCAAATTCCCGCCCCCCCGAGCCACGGCCAACATCAGTGGCGAGTGACAACTGAATCGGTACTGGGGCACCCACCTTCACAGACGTGTACTAACCAGGTGGCTTTCGTCCAGCGATGGATTCACAGAGGAGTGTACGTACGTGCATGCTGTACACTGCGGTACATTTCACGTGTGGACACACGGGTCTGATTTAATCGCTCCGTCTGCAAGGTGGGGCGCCACGGTGGCTAGGAGATGTTAACTTCCTCGCCCGGGATGCAGGAGGTCGTGGGTTCTATCCCGACGCTGACGCCTCTGTATACTTTGGGTTTGCATCTTCTCCCCGTGGTCGTGTGAATTTTTCTCCGCGTCCTCTCGTTTTTTTCCCTCCATATTTAGAATTAGCATGCGTTAGGAGTATTTGGCTGCTATAAATGTCCACATGGTAAGCCACTTCGTTGAGCTATCACTTGTGGCCAGGTTGCTTCTGAGCAAGAGCTCCGTGGGCCTTACCTGGTAAAATAAAAAAAAAAATGTTTCGTTGATAGTTTAAAGAAGAAAGAAATATAGTTTAGTTTAAGGTTGCTATCCTCTCAGACGCAATCCACCCATTGGCTGCTACATCATTGGCCGTCGTCCCCTTTAGCGGTGCGTCTCGCCCGAGGCCCACTTCACCTTTCTTAACGGACGCTGCACCGTCCATTACCGACAAGAGTCCATTCGGGAAAAAAACATTTGACGGCCTTACAATGGAGGCACGTGATGCCACGCCATTTTCGCGCGCATCTGGCGAGCAAGTCTGCAGCGGCCGTCCCCGCTTGCAGCATTTCCCCTCCGACCTGAGGGATGTGACCCGCTTCTGGCAGACGATGGTGCCGGTGTGCAGTGCATTATTGTTTTTCAGCGGTGGCAGCAGTAAGACGTGAGCGCGATTCGAATCGTCCGTTTCACACCGGCCGTCGCCTGCCACACTCGCTCCGACGATGCCGTTAAGCGCGTGGCAGAATGCAGGCCGCCGGCTGCCTCGTCAATTATTTACACGGATGGATCTGCGTTTGCGTGCCCCGTGACATTCCGAGTCGATACGACGCGGATTTTTCAACTTCATTATCGGCTGGGCTCACTTTTTTTTTCTCCTTCCCAGGGAGGTTAATCGCAGCACCACCACGACTCGCTCAAAATGACATTCATGTCCCTCTTTCTTGCCGGCTCACGTTGAGTTTGGCGGCCTTTGCCGTAGTCGAGAGCAACATTTTCTCTGCCGGTTATTTAACTTTCATTTTTTTCTCCATTAAATCCGCATTAACCGTTGACGCTCGGGCTTTGCTTTGGTTTCTGTTTAAGTAAAGGGATCGATTGTGCCCTGGTCCCGACGCGTTAACGACGTCGTTTGAAGCCCTCCGCTGACACCCGTGTCACGAGCGTGAGCAGCCAGATGCTCGCAGCGATGGCAGCGGGGAAGCCCGCCAGCGTGGCTGACCGCGTTCCGCATGTGAGATGTCTCTTTTGCAGGAGGTGGATACGATTGCATCTTTGTTTCTTTGTTAAACGTCGTCGCTGTTTTGTGTCCCGTCCGAAGCCCGTTGCATCGCCCCATGGTTTTACTGTCTTCACGCTAAGCGGAGTGAAGATATCAGATTTCCCCACGTCAAAGTAGCCAACTTAAATCTGGTTATTTTTATTATGTATTTAAACACAATCCGAAGGTTCTTAATAACGTTACAATATATATAATCTCGATGAGATGTGTAACTTTTATACATATTTACATACAAGAGAAAAAAACCCAACCCAGTGCATATTCCTACTTTGCATATAAATTATGAATAACTGATCTGTACCTAACTAATCACCGGCCAACAAAATTAAATTATCGCAAAATAGTCCTGCAGCCTTGTCCATGTTTTTTTTTATGATGTTTTTTATTTATTTGTCCACATCCTGTCGTCCTGTGTCCTCCATCCCTTCTGTCCGCGTCACTTCACATCTACGTCTGTCCCGGGGCTTGTGTCATCTCCTTCTTTGCCGAGTCTCTCCCCCCCCCCCATCTCTCTCTTCATAACCTAGCAGCCTACATCCAGGCTCTAGTACCCCTCCCATACCTAATACCCCTCCCCCAGTCCACCCAGCCCCCTCCCCTCCTGCCGACCGTCTCCCCATCGACCCCACCTTATCGTCTTTTGTGGCAATTTTTTTTTGCTGAAGCATTGTGTGGCCGGGCTACCCCCCCCCCCACCCCCTCTTGAGTAGCCCCCTTGTCTCCCGTGCCCTGTGCTTCGGCTGCCCGTGGCGGCTGGTCCTGTCTGATCAGCTGATCAGTGTTCGGCTGCGGATTCAAACGTCAGCGTGCGGCCTGACTGGGCAGATGCTCAGTCACCTCCGGTGCTGCTGACTTGCTGCTTTTAATTTGGGGGAGGGGAGGGGGAGGGAGGGAACGAGAGTGGGGAAGCATCAACCACTGCCCTTAAAAATATATATATCCTCGCTAAATTGGTAACATTGGTGGCAGACAGCGCTGGTTTTCAAGTTGGCCGTCAAACGACAAACTTTGATTCCTTTTATGTAACCGGTGGCCCTTTGTGTGCCTTCTGTCAAAGCACCCGTTTTATTTCCCAAACTTTATCCTTGTCAGTGCTAGAACGACCGCGCGCTCTCGAAACGCGTGCAAGTGTTACGTCACGAGAGCGGCCCAAGATACCGGCGAAAAAGCAAATCGAAATAAGTGAAGACCGTTTGAGAACAAAAAAGAAAGAAAAAAACCCCTTCAACTCTTTGCGTCACCGTTTGGGTTATCCTGCAGCGTCGCGAGCGAAATCCACAGCCTGGTCAGCAGCGACGGCAGCAGAGCACTCACTGCTTTTCTCCGCCAAAGTTCATAAGCCTAATCCCAACCGCACGTGGGGAAATATATCCCCGCGTCCTCCACATGTGCTTAGTCCTGATACTTCTGTTCCTACATTTATGAGCCTGAGATCTCGCCAAAAGCTGAACTGCGTGGTGTTTTGCTTGGGGTTCTAAACTCGCAGTCGGTGCTCGTTGACAGAGGCACACACATTGGCCCCGCTTAGCAAATGCGCGGGCATTCGGTGTTTTAAAACGTGGAGTCATTACAGCGCTAATGATGTATTGTTCAATTAAAATATCTATGCAGATGTTATATCGCCATCCGAGCAGCTGACCCCATGAAATGGTTTATAAGAAAACGAAATTATGACTCGCTAAGGGGAGATAATGCAGCGGTATGAGCCTTGGCTCACCAGCTGCACGATGCTCACAGATTAGAGGCTAACTCGTAAAGATGTGAGACCTCATGCTCAACTCATAATACGGGCAAAGGGGGCGTGGCTACCTAAGCAGTGGGCGGGGGTTTGGCGGATGAGTGGGCGGGGTGGGGGAGGGGCTAGTGGGTGAGTGGGTGTGGATATGTGAAAGTGGGCGGTGCTGGCAGTGGTGTGAGGGGCCCCTGGGCTGAGCCTCCCAGAAAAAAAAAAAATAATTGGAGCTTTTGCCGGGCCAGTGTCACGTGGTGGCACCTGGGATCGGCATTAACACTTTGGTCCCCTCTCGGCCCCTCCATGTAGCCACGACCGCCACGACGCACGGAGGCAGGCGAGCAATGCTTCAGCAATTACACAGCTTCAGTATATTCTCGCATGACGATCACCAGGCCTCCGGTTACGCGTGGAATGGCCGAGGTAAGACGCGCACAAAAGCTCCATTCCTCTCCTACATCACTCACCCCCCCCCCCACACCCCCCCCCCCCCTGCTCCAAGTCTTTAACATCACCAAACCTCACTTCCCAAAGTGCCTTCTTTCCTGCTATCTCTCTCGTCATTTACCAGCCAAGAGCCAGGATCTCAAACTGGCTCCACATATCCCATGCCTCACGCCACCACTTCTCACCAGAACTAGGGTTGCGGCGATATCGCCGGGCTGCGGGAATTCCGCTTCGATGCAATGTCCGCGGACCAAAAAAAAAATCGTCCGTTTTGAAGAATGCCCTTGCGTTGCGATTACCCTTGCTCGTTTTATTCGCCAAATATTCAAACGTTCGTGACAAAACGTTCCCGTAGCATTTATGAAATTAAGAATGCGATCATGAACGTTCTAAACGAGTAACTATCGCTGCGGGAAATTGAATGCTTTGCAAACGTTTTTTTTTCTTCCAGAGCGATTGACGCAGCAGGCAGATATATTGCATGGCGTCATAGTGTTCGCAGTTCATTAAATAACAATATGGAAAGATTTCCACGCGTTATTAACGGTGTACGAGTTATAAGCTTGGCAGATTGTAAAGTTGCAATGATCGTAAGTTGTATGTCGGGCTTGTGCCAAGTGAACTGCAGACGGAGAACATTTCAGTCATATTCATTCGTAATAGGAAATACAGCAAAAGCATAATAATGCAAAAACTTTAAAAAAGTTCTAAGTGCAATTCCAAACTTACGCGAAACTGGTATCGTGATGATCGATGCCACATCGTCAAAATTTGAAATAATTTATATTGGCGGAATCCGATGAGCTATAAAGCTCTTATTCACAGATGTCCAGTAGAGGCGGGTAAGAACGTGAAAACTACACACAGTACAAAAACACACCATAGGAGTTCAAAGCATAGCGAAGTTAAGCAAATCGCTAAAAACTAAACTCATTTTTATTTTACCACGTAAAGCCCACTGAGCTTTTAGCTTCTTTTTTTTCAGAAGCGACCTGGCTAACGCAAATGATCGCTCAACGAAGCGGCTTTCACGTGGAAATGGATAGCAGCAGCCAAATAATCTAAACGCAACGTTCATCGTGAAATTGATATCGCGGCAACCCTACTCAGAATCGCAGTCATCCCTCTTCATTTTCTCCCCCAATCCCCCAATCCTTTTCTACCCCATTACCAACCACTCACTCCCTGTTACAATGTAACCGGTGTCTCGGCATGGACACTTGTACCCCAGCTGTCAGTCTCCACACAATTTGACGGAAAGAGGTGCTTTATTTTTCAGCCGCTTGAGTATTTTATATTATTATTATTAAAAAAATATCTGTTTTATTTTCAAATTACCAATGCCAGCATTTGCTTTCCAACAGTTTGTCATTGTTGAATTGGATACAAAGTTGGGCTCGCGAGCGTAAATATCAACGTTCACCCTGCAAAGTCCCATCACATGGGAGAAACACAACCAAATAGGCAATTTATTTATTTGTTTGTTTTTGCCCGTACTGAAACGGCTGTACGCCATATGGAACTGAACACTCAATTTCCCTGTACAGGAATACGGAGTGAACCGTGTGGGTTGACATTGCATGCACGGCAGAAGCCGGCACACGGCACGACGCTAACCCGTGAAACTAAAAACGAAGAAACGGCAGAAATAAATCAATCCTAAAAGCATTTTTTTTTTAATTTGCGAAAAGTTTAATCAACAGAGGCGCGTGGATACGTTTTAAGAGAAGTTTTACAAACCCTCACAGACTCGGAGATCCTGTGATCTCGTGGGAGAGAGAGAGAGAGTTCCACGGAGAAGTGGTAAATTGCCTCTTGGCCGAAGCCTCGATCTAGGAGCATAGGGAAGATCTGGCATCCCCAGATGCTAGGAGGCCTTGAGGGGGTCACAATCGTGTCTTAACAATCTCCGCAAGTTTGATCGCTTCGCAGACTATAAGACGGAGATAAAGGTTCCCCGCGCAGGCTTACGGACTGTTGCGGCAAAACCGTGTTGGCGAGCACCTATGAAATGCGCCACGGTTAGCCCACACTCGTGTGCCGATGTTCGCGCATCGCGCCAGGTGCTCGTTTGAGGCCGAGCGGCACGTGGGTCGGGCGGGGGAGGGGGACCTGCGAGAGGCTCGGATGGTGCCTCTCGACTGACGGCGTGCGCGGCTGCAAATTTCACCGCCGCGCAGAGTCACGTCTGTCGAAGGCCTTCGTTTCATGGATCGTAGCCATCTGGCCCATTCACTTGAGCAAGTCCCACGGCTTTGCACTATGTGAGCTCGTGCGTGGTGAGCGGTGGCGCAGCGGTTAACGCGCTGCACTACGAATCCGGCGACCCGCGGTGGATTCCCGCTCACGCCGTACACCGGTGACGAATAATTGAACAGGTCCCCAGGCCTCCCCTAGGTCGACTCAGCCTCAAATGAGAACCCCGTGCGACGGGTAAAACGTCGCCACTGGGGAGACAAAGGCGGCCGGGCGTGGTGCTTGCTACCCACTCCTACGTGTGCCGTGCCGGCCTTCATAGGTGCTCGCTAACCGCACTTGCCTCTACAGTCTGTTAAGGCTATAGGGGGATCTTTGTCATTGCCTTTTGCACCACCACCTTGATGAATACAGATCGGTACCGACGTTCCTGAATGTGTGCACATATGCCGCACATTAATTCACGTAAATGTTTACACAGTGCGGGATAATCCTGCGGTGCAAATGAACGGCACAATCAAAAGAGAAAGCCATTATTTGGTGTGAATTTGGCGTATAAAAAATAATTAACACCCACGGGTAATTACATGTAAAATGCAGCATTTTACGAGCAGATTAGCTGGAGCTAGCACTGTTTTGAGAGAGTAAGGTGGTTTTGGCAGTGAGTTGCGTGCTTTTTTTTACCGTGCACGTTATACGGTCGTGTTGTGGCAGTGAATGAAGAATTGGACCCAACCATTGTGCACACGCCCGTGTAACTTCAACACTGACAGCTGCTTGGCTTTAGCGCGGGAGTAACCGCAGCCGCTTGAGAAATAACGCACCTCGTTCAAATTGCCTGCTGCGGTTTTTGTAACCCCCGTGATTCGCGTGCTCCATACGAACCCCAGCTCTGCAAGAAATCATTTTGCCCCGTAGACGCGTTCAAGATAGATACATTGCCGATGGGGATTTTTTTGCCAGTGAATTCGGGTTAAAAAAAAAAAACAATAAAAAGTCACGGCAACTCATTTGAAGCACGTTCTGAACGGTGTTCACTTCGTACCTGCAAACCAAAATTGTGTTATGTAATTGCTGTGTTTAATGACGTTGGTGTGTATTTTGTCGTGATTCTCACTTCCAGCAATTTGACGGCACGTTCCACGTGCATGGCCTTGACTCCATTTTTTGCTGGTGGTAGCAACAGCACCCACGAGGTCACATTGGTTAAACGCATTGGTGAAATCGATACGATATTAAATGACGAAGCGTCCGCACGCAATAGCATCGCGAGGCTATTGGTTGGGATTGTAGATGGGAGGGAGCTGATCGCCGGAAGCAAGGAGTTAAGGTTTGGCAGAGACGGTGGGCAATGCATACACGAGGTGTCCTCGAAATACCGGGCTAATGTAGGGGGTGGGTGCCCCATGTGTAGCCCCATTATTTCCATTTAACCCATGTATAGCTTACAATGCTCCTCACTTCGCTTTTCATATTATACAAATATAAATCGCAATATAATCACTTCTGCACCACACGAATGCAAAGAGCGGTTTAAAAGAAATGTATGCAAAAAACAACGAACCTCCATCGTGATCCGCAAGTCAGTTCTGGAACGCGCGACACTCCGCGTCGTGGTTAGTTGCTGTCGACTGCCGGACCACGCTGAGACTGCACCGGGCGCGTGACGTTCCTGCTCGCTCCCCGTGGCAACGGCACCGATGTCTCTGCACCGACAGCGTGTATACCTACAAACGTCGGCAGCAGTGCTGATTTTTCAAATCGTCACCAATTTCTGGCAGTTCCTCTTTCGGCCATTATACCCCCTCCCCAATATTACGTATGCGGGACAATATATCCAACAACCACAACAAACCGCCATTCGCCATATCACCACTTGTGCCAGGCTAGGTGCACTTCGAGGCCACCTGAAGATGTCGGAACGCCCGCCGGGAAGGGGGTCAATGGGACAGACCCAGCAGGTGCCGTGGGTCGACTGAATTCAGGCGACCGGCGAGATGCACCACCCGTGTGCCCCCCCCCCCCCCTGCCCAAATTCTGTACGAACGCTAAAAAAAATCACCCACGAAGTCGCCCGCACAAGCCACGTTATTTCGAGGACACGCTTTTTTCACTCGACGACGTAGTGAATCACCGCAGTGAGCGAGTGATGCGAGCTCGCGACATCCTCATCATCTTATACAGATTCACGTGAGCACCCTACTCCAAGGCTTTTTACATAAATTGTAAAAAAAAAACGATGGTGCACAAGATGACAGCGGTTGAGATAAAGAGTGTGGGTTGTTATTTGAAGTGGTGGTGTAGTCATGGTGAGAGGAGAACAGGCAGGGGAGGTCAGGGAGTGGTAGGGTAGTCGTAGGGGTAGTGATAGGGGTAGTGATAGGGGTAGTGATAGGGGTAGTGATAGGGATTGGGGTACACCTGGTCGTACCTGGGGGTGGGGGGAAGGCAGGAGAAGTAGGGGTACGATGTGCTGGGGGAGAATATAAGGCGGTTGTAAGGGGAGGAACAGAGGCAGGTTGTTATCGTGAAGATGATTGCATTACGCGCAAGTGAGAGTTTGTTCGCAGTGAGCAAGAAGGGAAAAGAAACGAAAACGCGATGGGGCGCACGGCGAGAGGCGACACACGGCGAGAGGCGACGGAGATCAAGCGGCCCCCACCTCTGTGTGCCCGTGGCGCAGAGACACGCGACAACTCGCTGGGCCAGTCGCGAAGCTCCAGCGTGTGCAGCATCGACAAGGAGTCGCGCGAGTCCGTCACGGCCCTGCGCTTCTCGGAGAGCTTCGCGCGCAAGGGCGACGGCTCCACGTGCCCGTGCCTCTGGGTCGGCACCAGCCTGGGCACCGTCCTCTCCGTGGGCCTCAGCCTGCCGCCGTCCAGCGAGCAGCGGCTCAGCCAGCCGGTCATCATCTCGCCGAGCGGTGCGTTTTCATTGCCATCGGTAGGGGGGGCGGCACAGAAGAGTTAATCCATACATTCATCTTCTCGAGGGCTGACTATTGTAATGCCCTCCCGTCAGGTCTGCCGGCAAGGGACTTTAACCAGTGATGATGTGTTGAGAATGTCGTGGCTCTGTTGAGAACTGCTGCTCCTTCCAAACACACAATCTCCAGTCCTGACCTCCTTGCGCTTGGCTCCGAGGCAGAGAATCGATTTCACGTTTGCACTCTTTACCTGCAAAGCATTAGGAGGGGGCTCGTACCAACGACCTACAGTATATCCGTGACCTATTGAACCCTCGCTCACCTCTTTCGGGGCAGTGGTGGGGGGGGGGGCAGCGGTGGGTGGGATTGCCACTCCCCCCAATCCTATGACAACCATGAAAAACTAACCAGGGAAAATAAATGGGGCTCATCTTCTTGGTTCTTTCGGTAAAGTCACGTAGAATGAGAATAAAACAATAAGACAATAAAATTCTCACGACGTTTCGGCCACAAGTGGTCTTCAGGTGAAGAAACAGGTCTATCCAGGAGACAGAGCTTGAATGGACGCTGTCACGCAAGGACCGAGTCTTTTTAAAGCTGTATGGGCGGAGTTGGATTAGCAGAGTTGGATTAGCATGTTATTGTTTAGCATTTTATTATTTTATTCTCATTCTACGTGACTTTACCGAAAGAACCAAAGAAGATGAATCCTTGCAGTCACGAAAGCTTTAAAGCGAAAAATAAATGGGACTGTTGTTTTTAAAAGAATGTGGGCCCCCTATTTAAAAAGCTTCCACTTTTGGAAGTTTATAAAATCCACCTTTGATCACGCACAAGCGCTCACACACGCGTGTGCAGTTTGTTTTGCCACGAGGCATAAAGGGTCAGTCCAGGTCTGCGCAATCAGTCGCGCACCTTGGTTGCACGCAACCGCTGTCAAACTTGCCATTTTCACATACAAACAACACGCAAGGCGAGGCGAAAAGATGCGTTGCAAAGTCTCACCAGACCAGACGAAACTTGCATAAAATTGCACTCGCCAAGTCTTCACAAGTGTAGCAGACATGCTTCTCACCAACACATGGATACAGGTACGCGTTGCAGTCCTTAATTTCCACCGTCTGCGTCACACACAGCTCCCTTCTTCATCCACAGCTCTCTCCTCTTCATCCACAGCTCTCTCCTCCCCTCACTCTTCCTGCCGACGTCCCCGCTTATCCCCACGGCCCCCTCTCTCACCCCCTCCCTCTTCATCCCTGTCTCATCTCCAGCCACCGGTCCCCCCCTCTCAATAGCTTGGGGTCACTCCCGGTCAACTCGGTGCAGGGATTGACGTCGGCGCTGATTTTCAGAGGGGTGGCAACATTCTCTGATTAGACATCACCAGTGTGACGGTGCCGCCACACATTCGAAACCATTGGGGGGCGGGGGGGGGTTTACAGCAGCACGATGATGATGATGATGGGGGGTGGTTCACATTCGCGTATTCTCGGGGAGTCGCACTCAAGGCCACCAGGGGCCTGCCAGCGGCCCCCCACGGGCCTAGCAGTGAAGACCACTGCTGTGGGGGGGGGGGGGGGGGGGTAGGCAGTGCCGACGTTGTCACGGGGGAGGAGGAGGACCGTTCACCTGACGTTCACACTTCATTTCCACCTCTCGCCGTCTGCCCCGTCGCCGCGGTCGGCCAGGCACCGTGACGCTGCTCAAGGGCCCCGTCCTCCGCGTGGACTTCCTCGACTGCGGCGGGGCGCTGGCGAGGCGGCCGCACGAGGCGTGGCGCGACACCAACTCGCACAGCGACGAGCGGGACGAGCGGGGGGAGCGGGCGCGGCGCCGCAGGCCCCAGTCGGTGACGCCGTCGGCGTCGGCGCAGGAGCTGGGCGCCGCCACCCAGTACGTGGTGGCGTGCTCCGAGAAGCAGGCCAAGGTGGTGGCACTGCCGGCGCAGAGCTGCGTCTACAAGCACAACATCACGGAGACGTCGTTCGTGCTGCGCGCCGACGCCGTCGCCATCGGCGCCAGCGCGTGCCTCGCGAGCTTCTGTGCCAATGGCCACATCATCATCTTTAGGTGCCGGTTGCCGTGAGCGCTCGCTCGCTCGCTCGCTTCGCGACACGTTCAGCGCCGTCATGATCTCACTCACTTCCTCAAGCGATTGCTCCGTGATTCGCTCACCCAGTCAATTCAATGCCTGCTCCATAATTCACTCAATTGAACCATCAAATGCTTGCTTCCGTCCTCCTTGACTTTAGCGCATCCTTTGACATGGTTGATCACTCAATCGTTTTGAAATTGCCTAGAAAGCAACGTTGGCATGACGGCACTGGCAGTCCAGTGGCTCCGGTAACTACTTTCATAATCGGCAACAATTCGTGACTCTGCGAAATTGTAAATCTGACTTTGGCGATGTCTCTTCTGGTGTCCCTCATGGTTCCGTCCTGAGGCCCACTGCTATTCTCCATCCACGTGACTACACTTGGCCAAAATTTCCGTCGATTTGGCATAAACCATCGCGTGAAACTCCAGTTGCAAGTATACTCATCACAGCGCCTCGTGCGAGTTCAGATACGCTCCTGCGGTCGTCTGGAATGCTCTTCCTTCTGATTATTGGAAGCCACTGGAGATATGCACTTTTAAAACATCGAGATTGAAAACTCATTTCTTTAGAACTGCTTTTTGTGTTTAGTTTGTTGTGCTCCCCCTGCACCTCCGATTAGCATGGTTCGCTACGTACGGTGCAAAAGAAGTTCAACATGCATGCATGCATCAACTGACATTTCTATGCCGATGACATTCGCATTCATTTATTTAACACATCAACTCCGACCTCTCATCTGCCGCCTCTCCTCTCACCGCTCAGTTCACCGGTGTAAAATCCTGGTTGCATCCTAATGTCCCACGACGTCGACAAAACCGAGGTGGTGCTGATCGGCTCCCCATATCTATTGCATAGGGTCGTCCTGTCAAAGCCGTTAAGTCTGTCGCTTGACGATCGTAACATTCTTTGCTTCAACCCTTGCACACACAAAAAAAACCTAGGTGTCATCGCGGATCCGGCTCTGTCTTTCTTTTTAAGTGCATGTCAAAAACACATGACGGACTTTTCTTGATGTCCATTTGCATAGCATCGCTTGGGTAACACCCTGCCTCTCCACCTCTGATGCAGAGGAGTTAATCCAGGCACTCATCTTCTCCGGTGCCGACCTATTACTATGACCTCCCGTTGCTCTTTAAACCATTGATAATATAGTGTTGAGAATGTTTCAAGTTTCATTTATTAGGTATAGCCCTGTGAGCCATGCGGCTCTTGAGTCGGGTGCAACCGCAACAAACAAAATATGAACAGAGAACATCTTAAAGCGACGACGCGCAACAGAAACATCCTGGATGAACCAGCAATTCTTCCAGGAAAAAAGAAACCCCCACCGTATTACAACGCTGTGTGCAAAAATCCCAGTGTGATGCAAGTCAAACAATAACAACCATAAGACAATTTAGATTAAAGTTATCAGGCCAACTCCGCACTTCCGCAAGAAACATGGCTTAACCATATCTTTTCGAAATCACCAAAATAAAACGGTTCTATTGATAACTGCTGCTCCTTCCGAACATTCAATCCCCCAGTGGTGGCCCCCTTGCACTGGGCTCACAGCAGCGAGGCACAGGGTTCCATTTCGAGATGATTGCACTCTTAACCTTCAAAGCATTCGTAGGGGCTCGCACCAACGACCTATATCCATGACCTATTGAACCCCTGCTGACCTCCTTCGGGGTAGTGGGGGGAGGGAGACAGTTGGTGGGGGGGGGGGGGCAGTGAGGCGGGGCAGTAGTTTTCATTTATTATTCTAACTTTTCTTTTGACCCACGGACCACGTTGCTCATACTACGCTAAATTTCGATTTAAAGCTTTCGTGACTGCAAGGATTCATCTTCTTTGGTTCTTTCAGTAAAGTCACGTAGAATGAGAATAACACGTATTATTGTGTTATTTTATTTTATCAATTTATTATTTTATTCTCATTCTACGTGACTTTACCGAAAGAACCAAAGAAGATCATACTACGTTATAACGGTGCGTGCGTTGTACGTACGCATGCACGTATGTCCAACTTCTTTTGCACTGTACTTAGCCGAACGCTAATCGCAGGTGCTGGCGAAGGTCAGCAAACTAAAGACAAAAAGTAGTCCTGAAGAAATGAGTGTTCCATCTAGATGATTTAAAAGTTGCATAGTTCCAGTGGCTTCCTAATGTCGGTGGAAAGAGCGTTGCAAACGGCCGCATGAGCGCATCTGAAAGCCGCGCGATGCGGTGAAGATCTCTGCTCGATGGCCAGCCAAAAGCCGCCGCTGCGAGGGTGATCGGAGTTTGCGTGACGGTTTAGTTCGCGCTCGCGTGCCGTTGTAACGCGAGATGCGTTACAGCGGCACGCGAACGCGGTGCGCATGTTCCACGTTGTTCCCCTAAATGGCAGAGCGTGCGGCTGCAGCGAAAACGCACCGCGCTCCCAGCGAGCGCTTGGCCGTACACTTTGCACGTCAGCACACCGTGCACATGGTGGGGAGCGGTAGCGGTTAGTGTGTTGCGCTACGAACCCGGCGGCCCGAGTTAGATTCCCGTTTATGGCCGACACCGGTGACGATTATCTGAACCGGTCCTGGTCCTCCCCTATGTCGACTCAAGCCTCAAATGAGTACATGGTGTGTGTAAAAATCGCCAGTGGGGATACAAAGGCGGCCGGGCGTGGTGCTGGTCACCTACCCCTCTCGTGTGTCGTACCGGCTTTCAGAGGTGCTTCTTGCAAACAGCACTTGCCCCAACAGTCTGTTAAGGCTATACGGGGGATCTTTGTCTTTGTGCAGCCTCCCCAGCCTGCGTCCCCTGCTGGACGTGAACTTCCTGCCGCTCGCCGACTTGCGAGCGGCTCGCACGTTCTGCTTCTCCAACGGCGGCCAGGCCCTGTACCTGTGCTCGCCCACGGAGATCCAGCGAATCACCTACAGCCAGGAGATGTGCGAGAGTTTACAGGTGAGCATCTGGAGATGTGAGAGAGAGTTTACAGGTGAGGACCTGGTGATGTGAGTAGAGATTACAGGTGAGGTTCTGGTGATGTGAGACATTACAGGTGATGTGAGTAGAGATTACAGGTGAGGTTCTGGTAATGTGCGTGAGAGATTACAGGTGAGGGTCTGGTGGTGTGTGAGATTACAGGTGAGGTTCTGGTGATGTGAGAGATCACAGGTGAGGTTCTGGTGATGTGAGAGATCACAGGTGAGGTTCTGGTGATGTGAGAGATTACAGGTGAGGTTCTGGTGATGTGAGTAGAGATTACAGGTGAGGTTCTGGTGATGTGAGAGATTACAGGTGATGTGAGTAGAGATTACAGGTGAGGTTCTGGTAATGTAAGTGAGAGATTACAGGTGAGGTTCTGGTGATGTGAGAGATTACAGGTGAGGACCTGGTGATGTGAGTAGAGATTACAGGTGAGAACCTGGTGATGTGAGTGAGAGATTCCAGGTGAGGGTCTGGTGATGTGAGAGATTACACGTGAGAACCTGGTGATGTGAGAGATTACAGGTAAGGACCTGGTGACGTGAGTGAGAGATTACAGGTAAGGACCTGGTGATGTGAGTGAGATATTACAGGTGAGAACCTGGTGATGTGAGTGAGAGATTACAGGTGAGGTTCTGGTGATGTGAGAGATTACAGGTGAGAACCTGGTGATGTGAGTGAGAGATTACAGGTGAGGACCTGGTGATGTGAGAGAGAGATTACAGGTGAGGTTCTGGTGATGTGATAGATTACAGGTGAGAACCTGGTGATGTGAGTGAGAGATTACAGGTGAGGACCTGGTGAAGCAGGTGAGTGTGGTCCGGGGACCACACTTTGAGAACCACTGCTCTATGCTAACTACCTCACCTGGTATGCAGGAAGTCGTGGGTTCTATCCCGACCCTCACGCCTGCTGCTGCTGTATATTTGGAGTTTACGTGTCTCTTTCACCGTGGTTGCATGGATTATTCTCCGGGCCCTCCGATTGTTTCCCTCCCCATTTAGAATCAACATCGCCACGCGTTTAAGATAATTTGCCTGCTGCTGTACATTTCCACGTGATGAAACGGCACTTCATCGAGCCGCCATTTGTGATCGCCAGGTCGCTGCTGAAAAAAAGAGCCACATGGCTCGGTTGGGCACTTAACCCGGTTCAAGAAATAAATAGGGAAAAATAAGGAATATGACCACTCCATGACCCCCTTCCTTGTGGGTCGCGGAGGACGGGTCTGGCGGCTGGAGCAGAGCAGAACGGACTAACAACAACAACCGCCATTCGCCACTAAGTGGCGGTGACGTCACCACGACGCTTGTGCCAGGCTATGTGCACCCTGAGGCCACGTGAAGTGTCGAACGCCCGCTGGCAGGAGGTCACGGGGCAGACCCAGCAGGTGCCACGGGTCGACTAAGCACGCACGCACTCACACACACAGAGAGGGGCTCACGGAGCGAGGTAGGACACGGACCTCGGTCCTCAGGTTGTTCATTCTGGGCCAGTTATTAGCCAGTATCAGCAGAAGCCCCCGCCCCACCCCCGCGGACACGCGAGCACTGCGACCAATCAGACGGTCCAAATGAGCTCGTCGCACGTGGGGCCCGAGGGCGGCCGTCCCGTTGTGTTATTTGTCTCGGGTGATTTCGGTCGGGCCGACCGCACTTTATCCACCCGTCGGTTTCACTGCCGGGGGAATAAGCGAGTAAGTAAACAAATAGGCGGAAAGCGTGAATCGATACGTGAGCGAGATAACCCCATTACGGGCGTCGTGCTTAGCAGTGGACGTGACGCTGACCGGGCTACTCTCGCATCGCATAGGAAGGCCTCCCCCCCCCCACCCACCCCCTTCTCTTGCGCGGTCTGAAAGTCGTGTAGACATTAAGGAAGCAATACGACGATTTGTTGTAAAGGTCACAGTGCTCCGAAGGTCCGCTCTTCTTCTAAGGTGTGTTTTCTTTGCACTCCTGGTGTCTTGTTTTACTCACGTGCGTGGGTATTCCCAACCGGGCACTCCAGTCTCCTTCCACGCACGGACATTTGCTCGATAATGAATTGGGCCAAAATTCGTCAGCAGCTGCTGCTGCCAGAGGAAAAAAAAATCTTAAAAAATTATCGACGCGTTTGCAAATAAGACTAATTTTTTTATATATATAGATTATCGAAATGAATGTTAATGCCCGAATCCTGACAATATATTGAATCATAGAGGAACTGAATTGTTTCATACCTTTGAAGCACACAGTATTGGCACTTTCTGGACAGACTGTGAGAAAACTAATTCATATATAAATACAATGTGTCTTATGTGCTCTCGTAAAGCAGGGGTGCAGCGAGATGTTAACTACCTCGCTCGATAATGAATTGGGCCAAAATTCGTCAGCAGCTGCTGCTGCCAGAGGAAAAAAAAATCTTAAAAAATTATCGACGCGTTTGCAAATAAGACTAATTTTTTTATATATATAGATTATCGAAATGAATGTTAATGCCCGAATCCTGACAATATATTGAATCATAGAGGAACTGAATTGTTTCATACCTTTGAAGCACACAGTATTGGCACTTTCTGGACAGACTGTGAGAAAACTAATTCATATATAAATACAATGTGTCTTATGTGCTCTCGTAAAGCAGGGGTGCAGCGAGATGTTAACTACCTCGCCTGGTATACAGGAGATCGTGGGTTCAATGCCCACCCTGACACCTGCTGTATATTTGGACTTTGCGTGTCTCCCTCTGATCGCGTGGAGATTTCTCGGCGTCATCCGGTTTTTCCCTCCACATTTAGAATCAACATCATCACGTGTTTAGAATATTTGGCTTTCGATACATTTCCACGTGAAAAAAAAGCCAGTTCGTGGAGCTATCATTTGTGGCCAGGTCCGCTTCTGAAAAAGAAGCTAATTGCTTAGTGGGCTTTACCTGGTACAACATAATAAAAAAAAGTTATTTTCTATTTTATTGCTGATTGGCTAACCTTTCCTTAACTTTGCACTCCCAATGTATGTTGTACTATTTGTTGTTGTAACTTTATGATCCCCCCCCCCCCCCCCCTTACTGGACATCTGTGTAAAAGAGCTTTATAGCTCTTCGAATTCCTCCAGTATAAATAATGATTCTGACTCTTATTCTGAAGTGAAGTCGTGGGCCGTATTCAGCCTTGATTTGGAGTAACTCTCTTTCTCTGCTGGTGACTGCCTCTCTTTCCACGTGGTGTATTTGCTCGTTCTCCACTTTGCATTCTCCCCTCCCTCTCCATCTTTGTAGCGTTCCAAACCCTGTCCATCTCCCTTGGTGCGGCCGTTCGAAACGGAGTCAAGGGACTTTTTAATTGACTGGACCCACGGGCCGTAGGTCCATAGATCCCCCACCGCCCGCCCTCCCCCACCCATCCCTGACGCAAAGAAAGAACGGCTCCTCGCGAGTGGCAGTGCGGAACGTAGAGCTGCCCCATCACCTCCACCGCCGGCTGGCACGCCGATCACACACGGCACCCCGCACGCGATAACCCCCCCCCCCCCCGCACCACGTGGCTGAGCGAGCCCCGTGGATCGTTGTCTGCCGCAGGACATGCTGGGGGAGCTGTTCATCCCGGTGCAGACCCCGGAGGCTCCCAACAAAGGCTTCTTCAAGGGGTTCTTCGGCGGAAACAGCCCCTCGCTCGACAGGGAAGAGCTCTGTGAGTGGCCCGCCGCTGTCCGGCGGACGCGAGCCTCCGCGCAGTGACGTCGGCGAAAATAAATACGGGAATGTTTTCAGCGGCGGGGATTCGTCGGCTTTTGCCGCTGGACAAAGGGATCCCACTGGCCGTGCCTTCCGGCGATGGGGTGCTATTTGGGTCGCCAACTGTCCGTGGTTGACCAGCACAGTCCGGGAATTGGCATCGTCCGTGATCGGGTGGCAGCGGTGGGATTTGATTTTGTAACCGAGCTCCCGTACCGGTGTTGCTGTTTTGAACTTTACATAGCGCCGCGGTGGCGAGATGTTATCTCCCTCGCCTGGTGTACATGAGGTCGTGGGTTCGGTCCTGACCCTGACGCCTGTATATTTGGAGTTTGCGTGTTCTCACCGTGGTAGCGTGGATTTTTCTCTTGGTCCTCCGATTATTTTCCCTCCAACATTTAGAAACATGCGTTTCAATTATTTAGCTGCTATAAATCCGTACGTGATAAGCCACTTCGTTGAGCCATCATTTACGGCCAGGTCGCTTCTGAAAAAGAGCTACATAGCCTTACCTGGTAAATAAAACATAAAGCACACAGTATTGTGAGAGATTACAGGTGTGGGCCTATAAATAAAACATAGTTTAGTTCGGTAACATTTTTTGGTCACGAACTTCGCGAACGGGAGCGATCGCCGCGAGCCGCGACGGCCGCCCCTCCTCGTGCCCAACCGGTGCGGCGTGCCGTTGTTTTCTCGGTCGAAACAAAGTCGGCGAGACCGGATCCGGCAGGGCGTCGCGCAGCCTCGCGCAGCACATCCCGGGCCACGGCTCCGGCTCCGAGGGAGTGAAGGCCGCGGCGGGCGGGGTGGCGGCCGAGATGTCGCGGGCGCGCCTGGCGCTGGACGAGCGCGGGCAGCGGCTAGGCGACCTGGAGGACCGCACGGCGGCGATGCTCTCCGGCGCCGAGAACTTCAGCAAGCACGCGCACGAGGTGACGGCGCTACCACGGGCACCACCGCCGCCCTCCGCTGTGCACCGCGCTGCCCACCGCATTGCGCCAGCCTGCACCGCACTACTCTGCACATCCACCGCACAAACCCGCACAGCGCCGCACCGCAACTCCGTTGCCCCATCGGCCCAGCCTCAGTCGCGGCATCGACACGCTCCCACCTGGCCGAGCGAGCCAGTGAAGTGGGATTACCCCTCTCCACTCGTCTCTCCCACACTCTAAGACATTCAGTCTCCTCCTCCACTCCCCCTGCCTTCCCGCCGCCGTGACCTTCCCGGTGGGTGGTGGGTTGGGTGTGATTGTGGGGGGCGAGAGCCGCTGGCAGGAGCACACTTCACCTAATCGCTCGCGGCTCTCTGACTCACTCACCAACACCCCCCCCCCCGCGCCGACCGAGTGGTGCCTCGGAGTGCGGGGAGTGCCGCGGGGCTCCCCGATTGGTGGATGTGATGTCAGGCGCTCATCAACTTGCAGCTCATCTCGGGCATATTTATTTTAGTTTAGCTTTTTTTGGGCGGGCGGGGGTATCGGCAACGACATTTTAACCCCTCGTGCTCTGATAATTATACACGATGGTAATACGTGATTAAAAATACATGATGACAATACGTGATAGTAATACATGATGATAATACGTGTTAATAGTACATGATAATAATCCATGTATTGTCTTTGAAACTGATTGGCCGACACCAGAGACAGCCTACGTGTGTATGGCCTAGTCTCACCACCAGTGTTAGGCCAGAGAACAGCAGCAAAAGGTGAACGCTACAAAAGCGATGAAGGTATCAAATTATTAATAGCTCGGGTTGCTCTTAATACTTTTGACACTTGCATCCGTTTCAAAGACATAGGCATATATGATCAGAGAATGTGTGTTTGCATGTATTTTGCCACAAGCGTGCGTTGCTACGTAGGTATATCAATGTGGTGTTTGAACATCTTAACGCCTGTTTTATATTGCCAGAAAGGGTAAAAGCCTCTTCTTGTATTTTTTTTTTATTTTCTTCATCATTTTGATACCGGCAATTTTTTTTATTTGAGCCTTGAACCTCTGCAGCGAGTGGCAAGGGCAATGCCACGCGGTGTTGTTGTGGAGGTGCCAACCCAAGCCTTAACGACGCTGAAGAACAATGACGGTGATGCTGACGACAATGATGAATGATGATAGAAAGGATGAGAGATCATGATGATGTTAACAATAAAGACAGTAGTCCTAACGATGACGATTATGATGATAAATCAAGTTTCAAGTTTATAGGTGAGAATTCACGCGGCCAGGATGAGCAAGCGAGAGTGACCTGGGGTCACCAATATGACGTGAGAGTTAAAAATAAGTAAAATAAAGCACGCCAATGAAGCGAATAGAAACCGGAACAAAAACAATGGTGTCACATGACAAAAGTGAAAATAATGGACGAACATCACAATCCTCCCTTGCCATGTGACTTGCCCACTACCACCGTATCAGCCGTTCTACGCAGCCCCTGGTCAACCCTCCCTCCCCATGTGACTTGCCCACTACCACCGTATCAGCCGTTCTACGCAGCCCCTGGTCAACCCTCCCTCCCCATGTGACTTGCCCATTACCACCGTATCAGCCGTTCTACGCAACCCCTGGTAAACTCGACCGTTCCCATGTGACTTGCCAACTACCACCGTATCAGCCGTTCTACGCAACCCCTGGTAAACTCCACCGTTCCCATGTGACTTGCTTTTCACCTTTGGCAGGGTCGCCGTGAAAAAAAAAGTCTTAGCTCGGTGGCCCTCATCCCGAAAAAAAACGACCGGTTGAATCGATAATTATCAGACTCGATCCTTTACACTCGTGTTGCATTTTACCTTTTGTGTGAATTGTACGCAAATGTTGCACTGAAGCGAACGGTGGTGATTCACAAGGCCACACAAATGACAAAGAATACCGACTTGGCAGTAGAGAAAAAAAAGGCCGCAATGAAATGAATTTGCAACCCTGAATCATGACAACTCATTTGTGGGTGCCCGTGTTCGTGTGTGGTGACAGTGTGACTCATTTAATACGAAGAAAAAAATCAATGATTCATGTATGAAATAAAAAAATAGCTAAAACGTATTACATTTCCAATTTTCATTCTAAAGATCTGGTAACTGTCAGAACACGAATGAGCCACGCTTTAGCAGGGCAAAACGAAGAAGTCTCCGGGTAGCTCAGAGGTCAAAGGTCAGAGACGCTGAGCTGGCATTACTGAGATCCTGGGTTCAAATCCAGGTTTCAGCCGCCGCCTGTGATTGATTCGGGTTCTCAAGTATCGTGAGTTGATGGTCTCAGTCTGGATACTCATGACCGCACACGTAAAAAAAAAAAACGAAAAATATTTGCCACATTCAATCAGCAAGGTCGCACTCATTACATGCAAAGTGCTTGCCACGAAGGAAGCAACAATACCTTTGCCGATTTCATCAAGGGGCATGAACCATCTCGCAAACTCCGGTCATCCTCGCAGCAGCGGTATTTTGGTTAACGATCAAACAAAGACGGTCACCGCATGGTGCGCTTTCAGATGCCCCTTTGCGGGCGCCTGGAGTGCCCTCCCTTCCGATATTAGTACGCTTGGCTACGTGCGGTGCGAAAGAAGTTCAACATACAAGCATAAAACATGTCTGCAATTAATTTTGCTCAATTCCTGCTCCCTGAATTAACAATATCCAAACGACTGGGAATGACTGCACAAACAACAACAACAACAACAACAAAACCCCATCGCATTAACCTTTTGGTTCTGTTCTTAATTTTGGATACATTTCTGCTCTGGGAATTAAAATATCAGTCTGACTGTCATGTACCATGGCACCATCCCCCTCGTATGCAGAGTGGGTGGGAAGGTTCTGCTCTCTATTGTATGGACGAGAGGTCACAAATGAAATAACTCAATTGGGATTGTATATATCAATGATTGCCCCCTGACCGGCAGACTTATTTATAACAGCGTTTTGTGTGTTTAGTCTGTTGTGCTTCCTCTCAGCGCACATCCGATTAGCACGGATGGCTGCAGAACGGTGAAAAACATGTTGACGTTCAACGCACATGAAGCCCCAGGTCGCTCTTGCAAATGAAACTCTTCTTGGCCTCCTGATGTCTCACGTGGTTCAACAAAATAAAAATGTGAAGCTCGGGAAGTTGAAGGCCTCTCCGGCGGTAGCTCTGTGGTGGCCAATTAGACACAGGCCATTCTCGAACGCAAAGGGGCTTGGCACTGCTCTGCGATGAATGGAACCTCTTGCTCGTTCTTATGCCGTTCTTACACGGGCAAAGGCGCAGCCCCTGCAATTAAAAGTGGACTCCGATAGCGCGATCGGAGGATCAAATTAGGGAAAAGACGATCATTATTATTACTACGATGAAAGTAATGAATGTTTTGTTACTACAACGAGTGTGCCTGCCTTTTGTCACTGTGCAGATGATGCTGAAGACGAAAGACAAGAAGTGGTACCAACTGTGAGGCAACGCGGCGAGCAGCGAGGAGCCGCGATCGCCGTCCCGCCCAGGAGACGGTCGGGGGTCGAGAGAGAGTCACTCCGAACGCTCGCCCGCTCGCTCTCGCTGAGCGCGCAAACACCGCCGGTGACCGCAAGCGCTCCTGTGCACGGAGACAATCCCAGCCCGCGTGGACGTCCGAGCGCCTGCAACCCCCCCCCCCCAACCACCACCCATCCCTCCGGGGAGAGAGGGGACGCGCCGGCGGTAATGGAATATTTACACACGCGAAAAAAAAATCGAAAACAAAACTACAACAACACATGGGAAAGATGCGACACGGACGGGCTCCGGTGTAAAGGTGCAGGGGGAGATTCGCAGAGGGGCGGCCCGAGTGGAGATGCAATCGTGCCAAGTGGCAACGCCGAGCTGTTAACCTGCGTCGCGAAGGTTAACGTAGCACACGTTCCCGCCTGGCACGTTCGTATCGAGAGCTCGGAGGCGGGAGTGTGCGGGTGGGAATGGGGGTTTCTGCGCGTGGATATTGTTCGTAGGGTTCAGGGCGGACGGGCGGGCTGATGTGGGGAGGAGTGGCAGGGGGAAGTGCAATGTTTAAAAGTTCATCACCGCATTGCCAAACTCTGTGCTGCACGATGGGAGCCGCATTCGACTCAGCTTTATAGGTCCTGGAGTGCGATACTGGGCGACTGTGGAAAAGAGCTTCATAGCTTATCGGATTCCTCCAGTATAAACAAATATTCTATGATACGTTTTTTCTTGAAAACCTTAAGGTGTCTTTTCTTTTTCTCGTTTATAAAGTTGGCTTTATCGTTTCGAGACGTGGCGCGTTAAAGGTTTTTTTTTCTCTTCTTTGTTTGAGATTCGAATTATGCTTTAATAAATAATAAGTTTATCTTCCATCCTTTAGAAGGACTCATTTGCAATATTATGAACCGTTTATTTGAAAGTATATTTTGACAAAAAAAATAATTCATTGCCGTTAACCGAAAACGCGTTAAGCGGACAACACGCTCGGGGCACGTCCACACGCATCGCAAGTATACGTTTATACGGCACGTCCGGTGGTGTTTTTGCGAGAGCATCAGTCACGCTTTTCCAACATGTGCGATGTTTTGTAAGAGATTATATTATAAGACGAACACGTATGGTTTTAGCTAATTATGCAGTAGTTTTCAATAGACATTTATTAGTCCGCAAAATATATTCGTAACCTCTCCGACCGTGTTACTGCACACCTTAATAAAATAACTAAAGTCTTACTATTCTTAATATTTATTGTTAATATTATATTACAACGTAGACATATACAATTACGGATACATTAAAGACTTGACTTTAATGTTCAATGGCTATCTGTTATGCCCTGTAATGCTCTTACAGCGGATGTATTTTGTAAACCTTTGCATCCTTTGTATTGGTCTGTACCCATCGTGACCTGGAGTCGCTCTCCTGCTGCACGAACTGGGGGTCTAGGCTGCCGTTTCTGGAGCGTTTTTGAGTCTCGGTGGCAAGGGGGGGATGGGGGGGGGGGTGATGAGACAATTTGGCTCGTGCGACTGGTCCTTGAATAAGTAAGGCTGCGTGCCCGTGTCTGGCGGGTCCTGGCGGTGGAAAGATTAACCAGAGAAACAAAAAAGAAATGCACAATTGTTTTTAGAGCATTCGTGCAGAGTTTACTGGCGGCGAGAGACGTGGCACTCGTGCGTGCGCGTGCGTGTAAGTCTCGCGTGTGTGTTATGATTTCGTGTTTGTTTTCTACCTAATATGAACGTGCTCGTCGCACGACGTTACGGGGGGTGCCGAGCACTTCACTGGTCATTTGTATTTTAGAGCGTCGTCATATTTTGCAGCGGTGGGTTTCTCCGGTGGCAGAAGAAAAAAAACAAATAATTTGACTTGATAAAAAAAAATCCGAGCGAGCGGCTACTCCGTCGATCGAATCTCTGCGCTCATTGCTCGCTTTAGAAGGATGCAGAAACATCTTCTGGGTAGATGTGCTCCCGAAAGAATCACCCGATCGTACACAATAAAGTTTTTTTTTTTTGTCACGTGCCGTAGTTTTATTTTGCGTCGCACAAGCTGCTAACGAAGACCGTGCGGTTCGTTCCTCCTCCTCCTCCTCCCTCCTCTTCTCGTTTTCGCTTCTTCGCCTCTCTCGTGCTGGGGATGTGGCGTGTGTTTTCGGTGTGACTCATCAAACGAGTGCCAATGATGTAATAGTTTAAACCTCCTTTGACGTTAACCTCTTGCCGTTTGAATAAATCTCAACTCTGGAAAACGACACCGGTCCAGTGCGTGTGGCGATGCCGTCGTATTAAATAAACGCCTGTGAAAAAATAACTTCAGAGCTCATCGGATACCTGCAGTACAAATAAATATACTGATTCTGATCTCGCCATGGCCATCAAGGAAAACGCGCACACAAACACCTATAACAACAATAGCATGACAAGTTGCGTGGAAATATTATTCATATGCCAAACAAATGATCACGTGTGTGTGTTTACAACTGTAGTTGTACCACCGCTTATTGTCACTGAAAACACTGTTAGCATCAGTTGGGTGGAATTCAAATCTCGTGAATGTTTAAGTGTTTTTAGATAACCGCTGACTCAAGCTACCGTGGCATACAGGTCATGAACTCACGCTTAATTAAAATGTATCTGTTAAACGTCCGAGTAATGTTAAAAGTTAACGCCTTAACAATTATTACGGCGCACTATGCTAAAAGAGAGCTAAAGAGTCGTTTTGATTTAAAGCGTTCGTGACTGCAGGGATTCATATTCTTGGTTCTTTCGGTAAAGTCACGTAGAAGGGAAACAATAAAACAATAAAAATATAAAACAATAACATTCTCACGACGTTTCGACTGCAACACAAGCAATCATCATCAGGTGTGAAAACCACAGCAAGAAAATTTGTGAATTTTATTGTTTCATATTTTTATTATTTCATTGTTTCCCTTCTACGTGACTTTACCGAAAGAACCAAGAATATAAAGAGTCGTTATAAAATGTTTTGCCGTGCTGTGCCGTTTTACGGTAAATAATTGCGTATTAAATTATTCAAGTTCGTTGTCAGTGCGGGGGGGAGGAGGGAGAAAGCTTCGTGTTTACAGGGTAGGGCGTGAAAGGACTCCACCCATGGCTTTCACTGCCCGTCTCTGCCGTTCATTTAATAAATGTTGGGTCACCAACCTCGATGTCATTGCGATGCGTACAATTCAAATTTTTAGTCGCACGGCTAAAGCCCCCTCAATTAAAACCAGACGAGAGCCCATGTATTCATGATGCCCTCCCGATTCAATTCTGATCATCTCTCATGCTGGGCGGGTGAGAGGAACCCAATGAAGTGAATGCTCTCTCGTGTTAGGGAGTTGCACTACAGCGTGCGCATTCGCGCGCAAACGCGGCTCTTGAAGCAGTAAGCTTTGTCCCGAATTCGAAAACAACAACAACAACAACAAAAATCGTCTCTTGTTCTTTGCTTCTGGTTGCCGACCGCTGCAACACAGGAACAAGATCCTCAATTCTCGTGCCGAGCAATTCACTCACCCACCAGTAGACATCCCATGGATAACATGGATTGTCTTTACAAAGGATACTGTACTGGGAAACTATCGCATTTGGTTCATCGCCACACTCTGCACTCGCAGGTGCAAAGGTCGTTTGCAAAAGTAGGTAAATTAATCTGAAAACCACAAATCACGATTGATTGAGGGTGGAGCAGTGGCTATCACACCGCGCGACAAAGCCTGCTCACCTAAGTTCGATTCCGGGCCATGGCTGATAATAATAACAATAATAATAATCGGCTGCGAGCAATATCTGAACCGGTGCTGAGTTCTACCACAACACCCCCCCACAACCCCCCTCTTCATCAGCCGCCGTCGGTGATCGCAGTGAGGTAGGGTCATCCAGCAGTGGATTGGCAGAGGGCTGTAAATTATTACATTAATATCCACTTTGCGATGCTCTTCATTGTGATGAAGCCAAGCTCTTGCCGCGAACGACTCTGGCATTCGAACCCAGTGTTTGGCGATGTGCAGGGAGCCAAGCGAGACCAGACGGCCTTCAGCCCACGTGGGAAATGTTGACCGTGGACAAAATGTGGCGGAGAGAGAGAAAATGCTTGATCGTCGCAAACCCAATCACCCCAGCCCAGCGCCTTACTGTGTTGACAAACACGTACACGTTGATCAGTGTGAGATTTATAAAGTGTTTTTTTTTTAACCAAATCCCAGTCGGCGCTGTGTTTGTTTCCAAAGCAGAGTTTTTGCAGAGCGAATGTTTTCGACAAAAAAATAGACCCTGACATGATTTTTCCCGTGACTGTGAGTCGTGTTGATTTGTCGGCAACGCGTTAATATTCCGCGGTGGATTGAATAAGCGAACAAAAAAACATGTTTAACGATCGCAAAAGTTGTCAAATTTAAAACTGATATCCGAACTAAACGCCTTTACCGTGAACTTACGAAAAACTGCAAAAAAAATAATTTTTGGGAAGATTTAACCACCGACTCTAGAAGTGAAATATTAATCATTTTGTCATTCTCATGTCAGTAAGCGGGAAATTATTATCCGCACTGCCGTTCCACCGCCCTGCAAACGGCAGTGCCACTTACGAAACGTCTGTGCTTGGTACTCAAATTGTGGAACGTCTCATTGGTTGAACGTGGACGAGTGGGTTCGTACACCCGACTTTTCACGTCACGTATACATATTTTTTTCGCACTTTTTCTTACATTTCCCAACGCCGCCTCGTTTGCCGTTAAGTTAAGAAGGAACTAGGCCACCGAAAAACAGAAACGACAAATAGAACAAGTGACGAAACGTAACGCACACACACACGCGCACACACGCACGCACACACGCGCACGCGTTACACCCACCATTTTGTTGATTCGTCCTGAGTTCAATACCAGCCGAGTGCATCTGTCCAGCGCGTCCTTGTCGCGAGCGAGTGCCAGGAAAGCGTCGTCGCTGTGTCGTCATGCAGCCCGGGGCCACCTCCTTTTTGGGCTCTTAACGGGTTTGTGTGAAACAGGGGAGGCGATGGACGGCGTGCTATGTGTACTATGTTTGAACTTCTTTCGCACCGTACCTAGCCACGCAGGTGCTAAATCGGGAGGTGCAATGCAGATTCCGCTCGCCGCCTGAGCCCGTCACTTGCCACACCTTACCTGCGGAGTTGGCCAAACATCCCGAATGTAGGATCACAGAGCTTGGGCAATTGTTTTGGTGCCAGTTCTGGCTGCCTTCCCAAGCGCTCGTCTGCAAGCTTCCTCTGATGCTCACAGAAACTGTACAATCGCCGAGTTACAATTTTCCTGAGTTTTTATTTTCGAGCCCCCACCATGCCCCCTGCTTGGGAGGGAGGCCTTCATCCAGCAGTGGGTAGATCATGCCTGTGGATGATGATGGTGGTGGTAATCATTAATGGGAATTTCAACTACACCACCCCTCTTTGAGAACATTAATCACTCAACACCGCTGACACATTAACTACTGTTAATAATAATCATAATAATTCCATTGAACTGACCGTAAAAGCCATACAGAGCCACAAGACTTGTTTTTAGGAAGGTCCTGTCTACAATACAAATACCAACCAGGCCCCAAGCCTGCATAGATTTTTAGATGTGATGAAAATTAATGTAGGATGTACAAGTCAGCTCATCCCTTCCACACACACGCTCTGCAGACGTCATTTAGATTGTTATATTGTGTTGCTCTCATGTCCCGAGCTTCAAAAGCCTGGTTTACACGGAGACCATTGGACACAAAACCCACAGACACACACACACCCATTGCATCATACAGAGAGACCCATCGACGACTCACACAGAGACCTATATACTTACACACAGACCCACACAGAGACCCATAGACTTACACAGAAACCGAAAGGCTTACACAGAGCCCTTGTATACTTACTTACACACAGACTGATAGATTCACACACAGACCCATCGACTCACAGGGAGACCCAAATACTTAAACACACAAACCCCCATGTACACACAAACAGAGACCAAATTACATTTACAGGTTTTTTTGGGCAAAGATTTACACTGAAAATTATCCCACTGTTATCCTTTGCGGATGGCCAAGGCACATGCTGTACCACGAGAAATACACCGCAGCCAGGCCACGCTTTGGCCTAGAGGGTTTCCCTGTCTCACACCAGTTGGGAACCCGAATGTGTTTTTTTTGTTATAGATTGTATACGGGGGAACATATCCTCGTTGTCATGAAGTTAGGCGGTGCAAACGCTGCCCAATATTTGCTTGTACACAGGCATACCCTTTGTTTGGATGTAACAATAAAGTAAAGTGGATCTCACGGTGGACTCTGGTGTCAATGTATTTACGTGCCAAGTGCTACGCAACAGGAGATGCGACCCAAAATAAGTTGGAAGATGCATGCATGTATGCACTTGTGTGTGCGAAGGTGAGCGATAGTGTAGCGGTTAGCGCACTGCGATATATGATTCCGGCGATCCCGAGTTCGATTCCTGCTCTGAACCGGTCCTGGGCCTCCCCTAGGTTGACTCAGCCTCAACGGAGTACCTGGTGCGGTGTGTAGTAAACATCGCCACTATGGAGACAAAGGCGGCCGGGCGTGGTGCTGGCCACCCACCCCCCCGTGTGCCGTGCTGGCCTTCAAAGGTGATCGTTAACGCCACTTGCCCCAACAGTCTGTTACGGCTATATGGGGCATCTTTGTCTACGAATTTCGCACCATACGTAGCCAACCGTGCTAATCGGAGGTGCAGGGGTTAATCGGGAAAAAAAATCCGTGCACCAGGACGGATTTTCTTCTTCTTTGTATTCAGCAGTGGATAATTAGCGGGATGGAAAGCTGCCAGGACAACAATAAGTGTTGGCATATTCTCAGCTCTTTCGGTAAAGTCACGTTGAAGGGAAACAATAAAATAATAAAACATATAAAACAGTAAAAAAAGTGTTGGCATATTTGCAAATACTGACGTCACAATGTTTTTCTGGTTTCTAATTTTGTTTCATATTGATCGCGCTATCGGCATCGCGTCCGCACTTCGTGTGTGTTCGAGAGAGATAGAGAGCGGCCCACAGGGAAGCAGATGTCACAGAGCTACCTCTGAGATCCCTCCAGGTGACCACACAAAGCCAACGCCACAGTAGAGGGCTATTTTTTTAACCCAAGGTCACTCTGGCAAAGTCAGACTCCATGCTGCTCTCTTGAGTTCTCACCCCAGTTAAACAAAATCAACTCGAACGCTGCCACCTGCTCTGCATATGAGAGCGAAGCTCGTCGCGTGAAGATCACGCACGCGATGTTATTTCTCAACCGCCCCAC